GAAGCTCTAAGAGCGGCTCACAGGATTGGTGTAGAGAACAGTAGATAGCCCTAACCCAAACAAAACTAACAATGAACCTTAACTCTGAAACAATAGAGCTTCGGGTCAACAAGAACCTATCAAGTTAGAGGTTCTAAAGAGGTTCTGGCCAACAGGAAACTTTTTGCGTTTCTATTGTTAGGTGATGAAAATTATTCAAAACGTGTTTTAATATCATGCTAAAGAAAAGACAATGCTGTATTCAAACTAATACACCTCACGGGGCAGTTTTATTTCCCGTGTAAAAATTTTTCAAGCAGACACGCAAGCTCACATTTCTCTTTAGAACAAACACCGATTAAGCCTGGTTTTCCTGTGTCGGGAAAATCCCAGACGATCGGGGATTTTACTGTTTACCCGACTGTCCTAGATTTTTCCGACTAATGAAAACTCGAAATCGTAGATATCTCCGATCGTCTAGGATGGACGGGGACAAATCTGGAGAATCGGGGCCGTTTCTATTTTCCCGACGCGACCCAGATTTCTGCGATGGTCGGCGATCATTCCCGACAAATGAAAACTCAAATTTGTACCGTCGGGGACGTCTGCGATGGATTTTGCTCATCACCAACTCTCTAAATGGTTTGGCTCCAGTCTCCCTATCATGCATTTATGAACAAATTTCAATTTTTGGCGCACTTTCCATTTTTGCCGCTAAATTCAATACAGAGAGAATCTGGGACAGACTTCTGGTGATTATGCGATACTATCGGCAAAATATGGGACGGTCGGCAAAAAGTAAAATCCCTGATCGTCTGGGATTTTCCCGACATAGGAAAACCAGGCTTCAGGCTCGATTACCAGTCGCTGTTCGGGACATGAGCCAGCGAATCCCTCCCCTTTTTCGCTGCGGTCTAATATTTATTGTGAAATAGAATATGTATTTTTATCTATGAAGTAAAGACCTATTATTATTATGGCGGTTTCACACCTCTGGATGCCCAGAATTAGTTAAAAAAAAAACAAAACAAAAAAAACAGAAGTTTGGCGTCTGACCGTAACCAACCCCTGCGCCGTAAAGTCTTTCTTATGTAAAAAGTATTGAAATATATTAAGAATATCACAGTCTTGTAAAATATCATAGTCTTGTAAAATATTAAAACGTTAAAATAAATAAAAGATGTTTCCGTTTTTCCTAAAAGTTTGTCCACCATTCTACTTAGGTTAAGATCTATGGCAAAATCATACTAAAAGTTTTAATATAAATTTTAATATACAATAATTTTTTTTCGTAAAAAAAGAACACTTTAGCAACAATCCTCTTTGTTTAAGCAAGAAGTTTGAAACTGTGTGCAATGTTTAGTGTACTCGATATGACAGATCTCTGCATTCTTTGTAAGATGGTGGCACTCTTTTCTCCAACAAGTTCCTTTACTGCTTGACTCACATCAGAATATCCTCCCAGAACATCAATAGTGATGTTAGACTGTTTCACTTGGTAGGCAGGATTTCTCTCTCTCAATTCGCACATTAGTGGACCATATTTCTGTGTCTTCTCCATCTCTTTAACTTCGCGGTTATCCAACCAAGGACAGCTCATTTCAATGGATTACACTCGTTTCTGCTCTTTGTCGACTATCCTGGCGTCGATTCTGTTGGCCCTCACCTCAATGCTATCTGCCGTAAACCGGTACATCCCATAATGCTTACGCACTCCCATTCTCATACGACGGTTAGGTTGGGTCTTTGAATACCATGGAGGCACTTCTGAAATAAGTCTGAGGTCCTTCAGGATCTCAAAGAACAAGATTTTAAGAGCTGCGTTATGTCTACCCTGTAATTTTCAGGGAGTTATAATAACTCCTCTAGTGGGGCTAATTTAACTCCTTACAGTGGAGTTATTTTTCGTGGAGTTACTTTAACTCCAAAAAGGAGTTTAAAGAACTCTTTTTCAGGAGTAAAAGTGACCCCAGATATTGAGGAGTTAAAATAACCCCCAAAAAGGAGTTATCCTGTACCTAAAATTTTTACTCCACTTTCAGAGTTAAATTAACTCCAAAAAGAGTAAAAACAACCCATGTAAGGAGTACAAGTAACCCCATTTCGGAGTAATTTTAACTCCAGACTGGGAGTAAAAAGAACTCTTTTTCAGGAGTAAAAATGACCCCAAATTCGGAGTTAAATAAGGAGTTAAAATAACCCCAAAAAAGGAGTTATCCTGTACCTAAAATTTTTACTCCATTTTTGGAGTTATAATAACTCCCTAAAAATTACGGTGTAAATCTGCAGATGATACTCAGCCTCATTCAATAATTGTTAACTATTTTTTCTTTCTGTTACATTACTTAAAAAGTGCAACGGACTGGCGCGACATTTTTATTTAACAAGACCCCCATAATGGAGGTTCATTGGGCTGCCGACTACGCTATGCAGAGGTTAATATTTTGGCAAGTATAGATTATAATTACACTTTTTTCCTGCTTAGGTGCATAGCGTCTACAGCCTCTCCTATCCTGTGGAATGGGATAGAAATAAATTAGATATAAAACAAAACTGAATGTAAGGCTGGCAGTACAGCAAAGGGCTGGTTTACTTTTTTATATATAGTAATCTTTTTCAGTGAGCTTTGGCCCCTGAGGAAGGCTAATTTTGTTCGCCGACATATAGGCCTCAAACAAATCAGCCCTTCGCCGTATTTCCAGCCTTGCATTCAGTTTTGTTTTAATTCCTACTTCAAGTGACGTCTGGCATTAGCATCTCTGCATTAGAGATCCGGCAAGAAATATGAGAAAGAACCAGTCGGTTTTATTTACGCGTTGAGTGCATGGAAGGGTTTGTAAATTATATGTACTCTCATTTCAAGTTGTATGAACGTCTAGGTTAAATTAGCCCTGAACAGTCATGAGTAGTGACTGAAAAGATAAATTCCATGCAAGAATGGTATTGTCGTTGCAAGTCCGTTTGCAAGATAGTAGTTTACGAAATACTAACGTTTCGTGCTTACGTCAAGAAAAATTGGTACCATTTTTAAGTCGTGGATTAATAGGAACTTCTACCATTATGAATAAATGCAGGCAAGTTTAGACTGCAAAACAGTCCGTATTTTTGCGTTTAGTTCAAGTACGCACTGAGGCAGGTTAGCCTTTTGAAACAAGAACTTTCGATTGGTACTACAATAAAACCCCGGTTGAACTAGATCAACCCTGCATGAAAGAGAAACGAAAAACAACTCGAGTAAGCGAGGGTTCGAGTTATCGGGGTCGATTGCAAAATTTAATTTGCCCCATTAAAAATTGATAGCCTGACTGATTTTTCAGTACTTCAATGTATAGTGTAGTGCAAATTTACATCAGAAACGGTAACATGATTAGGCTTTTTTAGGATAAAACGTGATCTCTCCGTTGCACCAATTAAAATCACATATACTGTATATTTGCTGTAGTGTTGACCAGTGTTAGTTTAATGCAGTGCCGGATCCAGGGGGCGGAGGTGGGGGGGACGTCTTCCCCCAAACTTTTTTTGGCCATTTGGGCCTCAGTTTGGTCTAAAAAAGAGGGGGCGGGCTCCCCGTTCCCTTCCCTGGATCCGCCGTTGTAATGTAGTGTGGGTGCAACTAATGAGATGGTATCCAAGTGGAGTTACAAGAACCAGAATTCGAGTTTTCGAGTTGATCAAGGGAAAGGAAATTAAGTTCGAGTTAGTGGAGAATTCGAGTTATCCGAGTTAAAAACTAAATATAAAAAAACCCATGATGGAAATATTTAATAGCTACAACGCACTGACTTAAAAAGTAATGTGAATTACAATTTTGCGACGCATAATGAATATCTAATTTTAAAATACGCGCGTTCTGAATGGTTAAAAACCTATGGATTATTGTACCGGTAAACTCATAGAAAACTCAAGTTATTTCATATAACGTTATTTTATAAAAGCAATAGACCACATTTCTATGAGTTTACCGGCGTGATAACCCACTTGGGATGTTGGAAGAATACGAGAAAAGCTTGTAAATCATTCGCTTTCGGCTCGTGATTTACAAGCTTTTCGAGCGTTCTTCCTACGTCCCAAGTGGGTTATCACGCCGGTAAACCCATAGAAAGTGTGGTCTGTTGCTTAAATAGTTTTTAGGGGTTAGGCCCAGGCACCACTCTATATTTGCGAAAATAAAACTTTTTTCGGATACCGAGCAGAATTCGAGCAGAATAGGGGTGTCCAAGCAGAATTTTGAGCAGAATAAATGATTTTTACAAGTACTGCAGGCAGGCAGAATACCGTAAAATTCCTAAAATAAGCCCCCAGGCTTATATTTTTCAAAGGCCCTTTTTGAGGGGCTTATTTTTGGAGGGGCTTATATTCGGAGGGGCATATCTAAGGAGAAAAATTTGCGTTTCAAAATCGACTGGGCTAGCCTTATAGTTGGAAGTAAATTTAACGTTTTTGCTTTGTTTTACTTTGTATTTGAGGGCAATTTTCTAAGTACAAGCCCCCAGGGGGCTTATATTTGGAGGGGCAATTTAACGGACGGTTTTTTGTGTTACGGGTTTGGGGGGCTTATATTTGGAGGGGCTTATTTTCGGAATTTTACGGTAAGTCATTTTACGAGCAGCAACCCTATTCATTGTTGCGTTCTTTAAAAAAATAAATGAAAATAGGCGCAAAAAATGTTTAGGCGCGGGTCCTGAAGGAAAATGGCGGGAAATGAATTGGTTGAAGTTGAACCAAATTTAAGAGAGGAAAAGGAACCGAATGTTTTTCCTGCAAAATGATCGTTCTTTTATTACAGAGAGCGTTAAAATTGTTATAAATAATTTCACGAGCTGTTGGGCGAGTGAAATTTGTGACAATTTCGAAATACCACATGTGGTATTTATGCCAAATATCACGTACAAATCATGCTATTATTTGTTTACACTACTACCAGCAAAAGGTTTGTAATTTTCACATGTATTTCACATTAGGCTGAAATACCACTGCCCTAAGCCAATCAAATTGCAGAAATTTCTCATGTAGAGTCATCATCATGATCGGTCGGCTGCAGAGCAGGCGACTACGAGCTTCCTCCAGCCACAACGATCCTGTGCCAATTCGAGGGGGACATTGGGGGGTACCTAATACCGCAATACCGTAAGAAAAAATGGCAAATACCGAAATACCGCGTCGAAAATCGTCTAAATACCGATACCGTATATTTTAATCACATTTATAATCGGTTGCGCATACTTATGGTTGCTTCCATCTAGCGCGTTTAATTATCTCAGGCATTTATGCACCAGATGTCCATGTTTTTTTTAATATTTTGGTAGTTCGCAATTTTCCGCAAATTTTCACTGAAAAGTAAACTACATTCGTTCAGCCTTTTGGTATTTCGACCCAACAGCTAATTAACTCCAATAAAAATAACTCTTGAAAGCGCGAAAAACAAACCAACCAAAACCCTTTCCACGCACGTCTAGTGCGAGTTTTGATATAAAGTGAGTCTAGTCTAGCACGTCAGTCTCTCAGGGGTCAGATCACACGTCGCGCCATCCTCGGAGACCCAGGGGCAGATAGTGGGGACGAGGGAAAGTCTAAACGGGCGGAAAAATTTATAATAAATAATAATAATGTTTATTTCTTATTTTGCGCAGTCTAGCATGCGATAAAGATATGATCGAATGCGCATTACAACACTAAAATCCTAAAGTAATAAATGGCTAATCCAAATAATGATAATAATAATAATAATTTACAATTTTCGGAAAACAATAAAAAGTAAAATATGAGTTAATAAAAGAACTAATAAAAAGCTAATTTAAAAAGATGTGTCTTTAGAAAAACTTTAAAAATGTTCAATGATTGACATTGTCTAATTTATATATGGAACGAAGAAAAGTAAAGAACGGCGAGAAGAGCCCCTGGGGACAATGTCTTACCAGACCAGTTCCAAACGGTCGCCGCCGTTTTGGCTTCTGATTGGTGCCAGAAAAACACAAGTTTTCTGGCACCAATCAGAAGCCAGAACGGCGGCGACTGTTTGGAACTGATCTGGTAAAATTGTCCCAGGGGCTCTTCTCGCCGTTCTTTACTTTTCTTCGTTCCATATATATTTTTCCGCCCGTTTAGACTTTCCCTCGCCCCTTTATCTGCCCCTGGGTCTCCGAGGATGACGCCGCGCTGTTAAGAGGCAAACTTACCAAATTTTCGCTTTTAACTTTAAAAGGCGTTTTTTAATTCTCGAACCCAACATCTAAACTTATTCTTGTTGCAATAATGTTCGCCTCCTTCGCCCTCTTCATACAAAATTGCCACACAGTCAATGATGAACACGCCGTCTTCAACCTCAGCGACCTCAGACATTGTGAGAAAACGTTTAAGACCTCGAATTACCGGCACAGGTACACAGATCGACAAACCTAGTAAGGTAACTTGAGACGACTCATTATCATTGGATGCAACAACAATCACATTGTATATTATCGACCATTAACTGTCACAAAATGACCCACAAATGGTGTAATCATTTACCGTTATGTCTCAAGACTTCTAAATATTAACTTTTATTGACCTTTATGTCTTACTGTGTTTTGTTTTGCGTATTGTATCGAAAGGAAAGCGCAAATAAACGGTACCGTAATACCGTGAACAATCTTTTTTCACCGAATACCGTCAGCCAAAATGATGAAAAACCGCATACCGCAGAGCTAGATGATACCGCAATACCGCACGTTAAAATTAAAATTACCGAAATACCGCATGAAAAAAAGCCCAATACCGCAATGCCGTAAACCCCCATGTCCCCCTCCAATTCAGACAGCTTGCCCGGGCCAATCATGTCGTCTGTGTCTCCCAAAAGGTGTTGAATGTATCTGAGAAACAGGGTTCGTTGCCTTCCTGGTTTTCTCTTCCCACGTGGTGGAATATACAGTGCGTACTCCTTGCATGGCTCATCATCAGGCATCCTGAGTACATGGCCCAGAAACCTCAGTTGGCGGGTTCTGACATTTTCTACTAGCGGGGCTTTCTGAGTTAGATCATAGATTTTAGCATTGGACACCCTATCAATTCTCTTGATGTTGAGCATAATTCTATAACATGAGGTACCAAAGGAGCCTATACTCCTGACGCTAGGTATTTTTCATAGCTAATCATAGGGTCTGGGGCCCGTTTCTCGCCGTATACATTAAAGGTCGAGGTTTCAATAGTTTTGCATCTAACGTGATATAACTATCAGTTAATGAAACAAAATGGAGCAGTTTGCTAGCCAGGACCCACGCTCTTATTCTTTATATTTCGAATTGAATATTTGACTTTGAGCCCGAACAGTTTCTGGGACTTTCAAGAAACAGGCGCCTGGTGATGCTCTTTGCAAGGACAAGAGGATGTAGACCCTAGTGTCCCTGGTTTGGCCTTAGTTCTTTCCTGGACTACTCGCAGTCTTTTGCGAGTTACAGAAGTTAAATGATTTAAAGCTGCAGGTTAGTAATATCATTTGAAATTTTGGGTTTCTGTATGTACAAAGTGCGTTGGGAAAAAAAAAGCTCGCGGGCAGAGAAGGCGTAAACTGGTGGTGAGGTAACCCTGTTTAGTACAAACAAGGAACAAAAAATTGAAGCAAACCCAGATTAGACAATTACACCCCGTTTACGACTTGTTCACCGTGATAGAACCATATAACCGGTTTTTGGACAGTTTGGCGGCACATCCCAGTATGGTCATTCAGGGAAGCATGCAGGGAAGTATGCCCCCCCCACCCCACCTTCCCGGATAGCTTACACTTCGGCTATTTTGTTATCATTATCATCATCATCATCATCATCATTATTTTTCAGTTATCTCTTCAAATCATTCTGTACTGTGTGAGTAACCTTTTCAATTTATTTTTGATAAAAATGGAAAAAAGCGGAATAAGGTACGGTAAAACAGGCAACAAAAACGTGCAACTTGTTTTGAAACATTTGGCTGCAAAACGAGTTAAAAAGCGATGTTGCGCGTTTTACCACCCACGTTCAAACATGTCTTGCAACAAATCAGGTTGCTGCAGGTTGCGAAAATTTATTGCAGAAAGTAGAGAGTAGTTCTACTTTTTGTAACAAACCTCTTCACATGTTGCGCGTTTTACCGACCCATGGCAAACTTGTTTTGCAGCAAGTGAAGCAACTCCCGCGTATGGTGTGGCTCCCGCGTAACTTAATTCAATCAGAAGTCAGTATTCACGTAACTTGGAACAGCCTTCATTTTTTTCGAGATAGGTTTGAATGTGGGTGGTAAAACGCGCAACATCGCTTTTCAACTCGTTTTGAAGCAACTGTTGCAAAACAACAGTTGCATGTTTTGTGCCCGTTTTACCGTGCTTTTAGATATCTGTCACGCAAGCATGAAAAAGACGATCGGGATTCGTTCTTCTCCCTTTCATTTATTTATTAATTTTTGAAACTCTGGATATATGACAGGAGTCTGATCAAGATATCAACCTCGTCCCTGGGGCTTTTCCCTTGGGAGTTGGGACGAGATTGATCTAGATATATCCAGTAGTTGTTAATAAACAATTTTCTGCGATTATATCATGTTCTATTTATCCTGTTTAATTTTCTGGTGAATTTTGCTCTCATTCAATTCCACTCTCTTTAATGAGCCTATTTATTTATAAAAACTTGTATAAAGGGACCACTAAAAACGAAGCCTAGAAATTAAAATTTGAACCTTTACAAAAATGCCGCATTGCTTGTTCTGGTAAATCAATATTATTAAGTGGATGCTTTTGACTCCTTCAGTAGTCGACTGAGATCAATTTGAAGTTTATTTATTCTCGTCTTTGAATGAAACGCTTAACTTCCGTAGACGTCTCGTGACCCTTACACAACGGGCTACACAACATCACTGGACGAAAATGGTCAGCGGTCTTCATAAACAAGATGGCGGATGAAACAGTGGATGAGAACGAAAAGAAGGAAGATGGTTTTACCAGGGTTTCTGCAAAGAATAATACACGAAAAAGATTTGTTGGAACTAAGTCAATTGTGGGGAAGAAATCAGATACGCTTGCAGGTATTTTTTTTGGGTAAACAGTGAAGCTAACTATTTGAAATCATGCTATGTGTACGGGCATGATGTTCATCACGTCCACATGGTTGTACATGTATAACATGGTGTAACTGTGGACTCCTCTGATACATTTTTCAGAACAAGGCTGCGCTCTGATAAAAATTGAAGGGAGCCCAGTGCTCTCAACTTGTGAAATCTAGGGGGTACAATTTTTTCCTATGTGTTTTAATGAAACTTTTAATTTAAGATACATTATTATTCATTTAAAATATTTCCCCAATTCTGATTGGCTAAAGGCACACGCATAATTCACCATAACCAGTTACTGATGACCAAATTTGGAAGAATTTTGTGTTTAACGAGGAAGTGACGTCAAAAATGCAGCCTTCTACAGGTTAATGCACCGTCAACCAAGAAGACCTGTAAAAACTAAAATGGCGGACTCTTCACTTGTTTCAAGACTAAGAACTACAGCTGGAACTAGGCGAAATAATGGCTAAAAACATAACAAAAACAGCAAGAAGACAACTTGGAGAGCGACATCTGCTATTTGGAGAATATTTGCGGAGGTGGACAACCTAAACGTAAACTATCGAAGATAAACTTAACATCGATGCAGGTAAGCTTGTTTTAGCTATGTTTCTAAACTAGGAATTTTTTTGAATGAATAATACAACAATTTATTGAATTCAGGTTTTGTATCTTATGAAGAATTATGGAGATCTCAGAGGGTGTTATCCGCCTCGGCCCATGGCCTCGATGGATAACACCCTCCTCGATCTCCATAATTCTTCATAAGATACTCAGCCTCATTCATTAATTGTTAAATAATTGATTTTAACACTCAAACACCATATTCTCACAAACTAAAAATGTCCACAAGAATGACTTTTAAACTGTGTTATAAGAATGAGATATTGTGGCAGATAATTCTTTTGGAAACGGGTAACCCCTTTAAATTCAGCGTCACAGGGAATCCAGTTTTAGCTGTGGAGAGTTCCTGTGCTTTTTCCCTGTTGCTTCCTTATTTTGAAACGGCTAGAGATTTTACCACAGGTTTACCAGGTAAACTGATGGAGGGGTAGCAGGGCATAAGAGGTAGAGGGATAGGGTTCTTTATTTGTTTGAGAGGTATTTTGGGGGTTACATTTTTGTGGTGTTTAACAGTTACTTGGAGGGTGGGGTTAAATTTTTTGTTGGACTTCTTCAAATCCTAAAAAAACAAACCCCCTACTTTAATTTAAAACACCTCTAAAATAGGGAGAGCTCCTTACAGTTTTTTCACTGTGCAACAGGTGTTTTTTTATTGAAATGTTTTACTGCTAAGGGACAAATGCAATATGCATACGCTTAACAAAATATCTTTGACATTTACAAATGAGTCATTCTTATTTTTTTATTGCAACTGGTCACACTTCATCTTCATGTCATAATTCATAAATTTGATTTTTCATACATATACTGCATTACTGTAACTTTTCAAATTGATATTAATATTATCCCAGTTTCTATAGCAGTTGCTAAGTTGTGTTATTTTGCTTAGTGATATAGGTAGACTTTCGGGCAAAAAAAAATGATTTGCTCCTGCAACCACCTAATCTAAGTTGTTACCTTCCTTTAATAAGGTCATTGCCAAGGAATGTTTCATTAATTTTTTTTTTCAGAGATTGGCACAAATATCAAGAGAGTTGTAAGGCAGATTCCAGAGGAAATTCTAAATAATGCAGATTTGCAGGATGCCATTAGACAGGTGAATATTAGTGGAATACTCTATTTAAAATACATGTGTACACATGTAAATGCTTTTAAATGGTACAGTCAAGACATCAAATCAGATACTATAGTATATTGAATTTTGTGATGTGTGGAGCAGTCCAGAAGTTGCATTGTGTACCACTGTGTGATCAGTACCTAAGAAATTTGATGTTTGAATTTATTATTTTTGTTTTCTTCTAATATCTGAGTTGCAGGGCATTAGTATTAACTCTTTTTATTGCCAGACACCATTGGAACCATCAGGGCTGTGTGCTAACAGTGCCTGATAGCCCCTACCTAATACTTCCTCTTTGCTCTCAGACTGATTATCATAAGAATTTAATTTCCTATAAAGCTTTCAGTTCTTTGTAACTCTCTAGACAACAACACAGGAGCCTCTGAGAACATCTCTAAAATTGACTCATAATTAAGACTTACATTTTAAGTTATTTGTGACATGTACATAAATAGATGTTAGGAATTTTTAGGATTTCTGCTTTTCTTGTAAATGTAAAGTAAGATTTGTAATTTGTGGGTTGTTAGGTTCTTACTAATAGGTTTTGATGTAATTTATGTGAGATTGGTAATTATTTGTAATTATGAATTTTTACTTTTGAGATAATTGTGAAATATAGTTTTCCTTACAACCACACATGCTTAGCTTACATGTAGCTATTGTTTTATCATGTTTGCATAAATGCTATTCTTCTTCTTATTGTTATTATTATTATTTTAAATTGCAAGGTGTTTGTAGTGTGAGAGTTTACTGTAATGTAGATTGTTAAAATATTTGAAATTCTTCTTCTTCAGTTACCCCCAAACTACAATTTTGAAATCTTCAAGACTGTTTGGAGGATCAAAGAAACAAGCTCTAAAAGAGGTAAAAAGATATAATCAAGTCTCTTGTACTCTGTATAATCAGCGTGCAAAGAAATTAGTGTCCGATAACCTGGGGCTAGTGGATTTTGCTATTGGGCAAGTGAATTCTTTTCTTAACCTGCCTGATGAGAAAGTGAAGGTTTTTGAGGAATTCAAATTACAGAAGAACTGTGAAATCAATTCTGCCCATCAAAATGTTTTTGGGGCTAGTTGAAATGACATTTGGGCTAGTAAATGCTAGCTTCAGCTTGCCCGAATGGCAAGCTTTAAAAATGACTTTCTTTGCACCCTGAAAATATTGTGTGACTAACATGATGATAGAAGATCAGCCTGACTGTAGATATGAATAAGAGATCTTTACAAAATTCTGACTGGCCAATCACACACAGACTACTGCAACAGGGAGGTGGAGGGGACCATTTATTTTTAGTTATTATTTGGGAAGGGATGTGGTTTCTTGTCTCTTTAAGCAGAAAATAATCTGTGTTAACTGAAGACTGGCTTCCTAAAATAATGTTATTTTAACTTTGGTTTCTGGAGTTGTATTTTCAAGAATGATAATAGGGACCCAGCAAACTACGATAGAAAAAGCAACTGGAACTTCAAAAAAGCAATAGGTTTACGGTGTAGTGAGCAAACTTACAACTCTGCACGTGCATTATGCTTTTTTGCAAATCTCTTTGCCATCCCTGCACATGAAATGGTCAAATCGTTTGTTCTCTTGAAAATGGGAACAGGAAGACAATAAATTCTACCATCTCTTTCTGAACTTGGGGGCATTTCCCTCTCCTCAGTTCCAACATAAATTCCCTTCTTTTAAGTAAGTGAGCAACTTAGGACAATCGCAAAAAAGTTTGTAAGGATGCAAAGTCTATTTTTCATCGGCGTTTTCATGGACGTGGCCATTGTTGGATCATTAAAACATCATAACATGCAGTTAATGGAACAGAATGCATAAGGGGGCAATTGGATTGAAGTTTGTAGTGTGATTATTTATTCTATGAATGTGCTCTATTCTTTTAGCCCTAAAGAAAAAGAGGTTTCCATGGCTAGACGTATCTTAATGTAGTACATGCTTGTCTACAAATTGTAAAATTCGAAAATAAGGCCCTGGATTTGTCCATAAGCCCCTTTTAAAAAAAACCTCTGTTAAATTTATAAGGCCAGTTGTTTATTTTTGCCCTCAAATACAAAGTAAAACAAAGCAAAATCTGTATTTACTGTATTGGTTGAACTTTTGATACCTGTCTTGATATAACTGCTGTAAGCCCCACAAAAGGGCCTTTGAAAAATATAAGTCATTCATTATTTTTGGAATCAGTAATTGCAAAAAAGAAAATGGACAGTTTCAAAATATTTTTACCCCAGTCGTTTATTTTCATAGATAGAAGATAGTTTATAAAAATACACCACATTTTTGTATTGGTTGAACTTGGATACCTGTCTTGATATAAAATGCTGTGGCTTGTCACACCAGTGGTCATTGTTTGTCAGCTTGCCAAAAGAAAAACTTTCAAAATGTTTGCCTTCCTCTTTTCCTCCCTCCAGCCTGTGCAGTCCTGGGGGGATGAGAAAGGATCTGCCAATATTCTTGTCTTACCCCTCCCCTAGTTGAGCAGTAAGTTCCATGAAGTTGCCCTACCTGCCATTGGGCTGTCCATTTATTTTGACTGTATGCCTCATTTTGTTCCATGACTTTTCATGAGGATTTTAAAGTGGATAGTGGAGTGCAGGGTGCAAAGAAAGTCATTTTTACAGCTTGCCATTCGGGCAAGCTGAAGCTAGCATACTAGCCCAAACATTATTTCAACTAGCCCCCCAAATTTTTTGATGAGCAGAATTGATTTCACAGTTCTTCTGTAAGTTAAATTCCTCTAAATACTTCACTTGCCTGTCAGGCAAGTTAAGAACAGAATTCACGAGCCTGATAGCAAAATCCACCAGCCCCAGGCTATCAGGCACTACTTTCTTTGCACACTGCAAGTGACATTAAAAACAGAATTCACCAGCCTGATAGCAAAATCCCCTTGTCCTGGGCTATCACATGCGAATTTCTTTGCACATTAAAATATGGCATTTAAATGTTCTTTTGTGTTTTCTGCACTAAAACATTGAAAATAATAATCAACAGTGCATTGAATCAATTATAGTTTGATGTGATCTTACACTGTATCTCACTACCACTTGTTCTTTTGTATTGTTTTAGTGGCATTACAGTTCCCAGAAGGACTTCTCATGTTTGCTTGTACAATAGCTGACATCTTGGAAAGGTACATTGTATGGTTGACTTCCATCATTTTGCCCCCAATTCTTGATACACTTTTTAAATTGTTAACACCAAAGAAGGGAGAGTATTTTACAGCTGTAGCAGGGTGGAGATTTACCAGTATCAGTGAAACTGTGAAGAACCCTCGAAGTAGCCAGATTTCTTTGCTTGACTCCCTTCGCACGTTTAGAGAAAGTACCATGAATGAAGTTTCCATCTTGGATTATTCGTTTACCTTTGTTCCTGTTGCTCAACAAGTTTTGTTTCTTTGTGAAAGTCGCATTAATTTCCTTCATTTTTGAACTGTTACCCCGTCTTTCGCGTTAATTTCACTTATTCGAAAGTCGTTTTTTATTAAATTCGTGTTCATTTTAGTCGCGTTAATTTCCAATACCTTAATTTCATGGAGTGTTAATTTCCTTTAATAAGGTATAATCCTTATTCATTAAGAGCCTGTTTACATGGAAGTGTGTGACTCCAGGTAGGTGAGGTAGCCTGCTTAGGTGGGGTTACCCGCCTGTCGATATAATCTCTCACTTTAATTTGATCATGTTTACATGATAGGTGGGGTGACCCGCCAAGGCGGGTAGCCTGGTCTACCACACCAGGTAACCCTCTCAGCTAGAGTCAAATTTTGCCATGTTAAACGTTTCAAGGTGGGGTGACCCGCCTAGCCGGGGTCGGATTCATGATACATCAAATTCATGCAAAATTCACTTTGGTGGTGGCTTTGCATCATTATCAAAGGTAACAATAGAAAGCCAAAGCACTGAGGGTTGCAGCAAGAGCAACAGGTGAGTGTAGAAGAGCAATAATCGTCACCAAAACACGTGGTTTGCCAGTATTTTTTTTGTTTACAGTGTACGTATTTAGCGACAATTCAATAATCTTGAAAAAGTGCACCCTGGGATGGAGGAGTTGTAAGAGATTGCATGTAAACGAGGGTTACTTTTTACCCCAGCTAAGCAGGTTACCTCACCTACCTGGGGTCCCCCACCTCCATGTAAACAGTCCTTAAGTGGATACAGGGGATAGTTGCATTCTGTGTTTCACAGTCAGTCTCTTGTTGTGTTTAGATTCACAGAGTGTGATACTGTTATTATGGGAGATGTCACTTATGGGGCTTGTTGTGTTGATGACTTCACTGCTAGAGCTCTTGGTTGTGATTTGATGGTTCATTATGGCCACAGCTGTTTAGGTAAGGACCTGTATAATTAATTAATTATAATAATTATAATTAATTTTATCATCAAAGTTGGACTTACAATAGCGACCAAAGCAGAGGCGGAGTCAAAAAAGGCATAATTTAAAAACAAACAATGAAAAAGATATTATTTGAAGTTCAAAATTTTCAGGAAGTTAAATTTTCAAAAACACACACATAGATTTTTTTCAAACTTTGCCAAGGTAAACTGCCTAAAGTATTCAATCAATCAATCAAAGAGTATACCGTAAAATTCCGAAAATAAGCCCCGGGGCTTATATTTTTCAAAGGCCCTTTTTGAGGGGCTTATTTTTGGAGGGGCTTATATTCGGAGGGGCGTATGTACGGAGGGAAATTTGCGTTTCAAAATCGAATGGGCTACCCTTTTATTTGGGAGTAAATTTACCGTGTTTGCTTTGTTTTACTTTGTATTTGAGGGCAATTTTCCAAGTACAAGCCCCCGGGAGGCTTATATTTGGAGGGGCGATTTAACGGAGGGTTTTTTGCGTTACCGGTTTGGGGGGCTTATATTTGGAGGGGCTTATACATGGAGGGGCTTATTTTCGGAATTTTACGGTAATTCATTTAACTTTGAATTATTTGATAGCAAAATTCAGTGCTAATATCTCTGAAGAAAATTAGCTCACTAGAGGATTCTAGCAGAATATTACTAGATGTTGAGAAAATTCCCAGTTATCATGTCATCGCTATTCTGTTACTATGGATGTGGTGATGAAACCAAACGTAATTATCAATGCTTGATAGACAGGTTGTTTCATTTTGAGGCTTTTCCGTACATGCACTACAGCCAAAATTACAGGGCATCAAACACGAAGGATAAGTCCTTGAAAAATAGGTGCGAGCCTCCTTAATTGTTTCGGAAAGAAATTAACCGTTTGCCTCAGAAAAGTAGAGCTGTCACTGAGATTTCAAGTTACCAGTAAATCGGTGGGGAGTGAAAGACCTGGGGATTTCTTTTGGTTCTATTTTTCTTTTATTTTCCTATGAAAGTAGCCGCGTGTGTTCATTGTAACCGGGGGAAATCTTCCGCTCTCCGGCCTTTAGTGACCGCCTTGTGATAAGCCAAAATGTCAACCATTGACCGTATACTGTTAACTGCCGCTTATACGTCTTAATTAGTGGTTTTGGGAGGGTTTATTAACGGAGAGGCTTATATCTGAAGGGGCTTTTCAAGGGACTGTGTCACGGCTGTCTAGTTCTTTTGTTATTTTGCCAGTTACTCTTCCTTATTTAAGGAACAAATTACTTCTGAGCAACAAAATCAGAGCTTCCCAAGAATTATATCAAACGTTACGAATGACAAAAATGAAGTTTGAAAGACTGTTAGTCTAACACGTTTTCAGAAACCCACAATTTGAATCCGTCATAATCTTCTTCAAGTTTGTCCATCCGTACCTACTTTTGTATTTGCTGTGTTATTAATACCTCCTTTTAATGTTTTTGAAGGATTATTTTTATGTTTTACTCAATCTGCTGGCAGTTCCTACTGTCAGAATTTTGATAAAATTCGTGACACAGCTCCTTTAACTGGAATAGAAAAAGCACTTCAAAACAAGCTATAATAGCAGTACTGATCAAAATGCATTTAAGCCTGGTTTTTATCTGTCGGGGAAATCCCAGACGATCGCGGATTTTACTGTTTCCCGATTGTTTCAGATTTTGCCGACTAATGAAAACTCGAAATCGTAGATATCCCAGATCGTTTAGGATGGACGGGGACAAATCTGGAGAATCGGGAGCTTTTTTATTTTCCCGACGCGTCCCAGTTTTATGCGATGGTCGGCGATCATTCCCGTCAAATGAAAACTCAAATTTGTACCGTCGGGGACGTCGGCGATGGATTTCGCTCATTAGAGAGTTTTAGATCCGAGTTTACAACGAACCTCTAACCGCTGGAGGTCACGTGACAAGTCTTTCGCGTCACGTTTGAGGTTTACGACGTGCGTTTTAAACGTGGGGAGGTAGGTTTTCACGTAGGTCATTTACCTGAAAGCTTTTAGCGTATAATTCTTGTTTTATCTCACGTAATGATACAAAAATCGTGTGGAGCAAGTCTTCATCCATTAACAGAGGCACAAATTCGGGCGAAATGCTAAATTTGATAAATCCTATTGGATCTTGAAAACAAGTGCCATTCATGGCTGCTGATTCAAAATGACGGCCGTAAATTTGCAAGAAGAACTAATGTAAGAATTTACAGTTCGTTGCTGCTAGATAACCCAGTGTTACCGTAAATTTCTTTTATTTTCACTGATTGATATTTCTTGTATTTCTAAATGGAAAAATAAACCAGAATCCACTTGTTTAATCCACTGCCAATCTAAATCGAATTATGTTTGAACGGTGAACCGCAAACCGCGGTTAGAGGTTCGCGGTAAACTCCGATCTAAAACTCTCTATTACCAATCCTACCAATCCCCTAAATTGCTGGGCTTCAGTTCCCCTATCACGCAAGTTTCAATTTTTGGCCCACTTTCCATTTCCGGCCAAATTCATTGTGAGAATCGAGAGACAGAATTATGGCGAATATCTGAACGGCTACGTGACGAGCTTCGAGAGTTCGAGAGTTCGAGTTCGAGCTTCGAGACGCGACGATCGAGTCTCGAGTTTCGAGCTTCGAGAGTCAACTTACTTTTGAGCGGTACTGTATCTGGGACGGTCGGCAAAATGTAATATCCCCGATCGTCTGGGATTTTCCCGACATATGAAAACCAGGTTTTCTAGTATACCACCACCACATTGAGACCGTATGGATGGCTAAGAACGTTTGCTGCTCCCTTGGCGGGGGCGGTACTCCCCTATAAAAGTGACGGGGGTGCTCGTCGGAAAATTTCGAGAACATCCCTAAAAGGCCGTACCAGAATCTTGTTTTAAGGGCGTGTCCCAAATTCATCTCCACCCCGAAGAGGTACTAATTCAACAACAACAAATAATATAATTGGTACTGCAAATTTTAATAGTAATAAAGATAGCTTTCGAAAACTTTCTTATCAAGGCTTTTTTGAAAGTATTGTGATAAATCTTCTCCTTATAAAGCATATCAACTCTGGCAGCAGTCATTTTAGGTTTTAGCACCCTAAGCGGTACCAGTCCACAAACTTAAACCCCTAAAAGGTACGACGAGCACCCCCATCTCTTTTATAGGGGAGTACCCCCCCCCCCCGGGTTGCTGCTCTGGTTATTTGGAAAGCTGTAATCAAGAGTAACTATTTCTGTTAATACCTTTACAGTTCCCATCGACTCTACAAAAGGAATCAAGATGCTGTACGTATTTGTGGATATCAAACTGGACGCTACACACTTTGTTGATACTGTCAGGCATAATTTTGAAGTTGGTTCTTCTCTGGCGTTAGTGAGCACGATTCAATTTGTGGCAACTCTTCAAGTATGTAAATGTTTTATACGTATCTACAATGTGAAATTTTTCTGATGGACTGTAGTTATCAGTCCTCCATTGTTCGTTTCTCTCTTGGCCTGTACTGCATGCAAGAGAGATTGATTCAGGCGCTAGGCAATGGCACACTACGAGAAGCTCGCCCTCGTTTCTCGCAGCTTGCAGCTTTCTCGCTCGCTACGCGCGTGTTGCGCTTGCTACCCGCCATTAACTTTGAAGAAAAATATTACACTACACTTATCTTAGTGTCAGCAGTGTCAGCTCGTGTACTGACTCTTTTATTTGTACGCTCTTCATTCTCTCATCTCCTTCTCGCTCACGTATTTTTAATAAACAAGAAGATCAGGAAAGCTTTTAAGCTCTTAAGGTGGATAGCTTGGATGAAAAAATCGGAGCTGTCCAACTTGAAACCACTGAAGCCCTTTTCTATTAACCCATTCCGCGTCAAAAAGCAAACACATTCGCCGCGAGATTATTGTTATAGTGGTAACTCTTCAGTTAATTGCCGGCCGCATTACGTAACAAATTTACACATGTAGTCAGTGTCAAAGAGTACTGCTGTTGAGTCTCTTTTTTGTGGTGGTTGTTAGATTTGCTGTTTTAAGTGAGAAAATCAAATTTTTGTTAAGAAGAAAAGGGTAGTTTTTGCGAAGGAAACTGAAACTCATTTATTTTGTTGCTGTTATTTGGAACTTCAAGGCCTTTGACAGCGTCATTTTCTTTCGCAGACCTTTCGTGTTAGGTAAAAAAAATTAGGTATTTTTTTTAATCGTTAGGTCAGTGATTAGATTTCTCTTCCGTATAAATATGTTATCTGTGAATTTAGCCTTAATTCTTTCAAAGTCTCCCTTTTGAGATACTTGTGCTCAAATGCCAATTCTGCGTGAGTCTTAGCAAAATGCGGCGTCAGTCGATCAAGCTAAATTTCAGGTTATGTTAGCTCATTGGCCATTCTTCCATGTGGGAAAATAAATACCACCGAAAATGTCCAGTGAATCTGCCTCCCAGCTGCCCAAGATGTTTTGCCATACTTACTGTTGACAAGAAATAAGAACAGTAAACTTACCGCAAAATATTTGCTCGTCTCATTGTAAATCACCTACACAACGTGACATTCTTTAACAGTGCTCCATGGGAACTTATCCTTTTTTAATTCTAAGTAACTTTTTGACCATCTTTTAAGCACATAACTTGGACGAGAAAGTTATTTTCTTGTAATCTTTGAGGAAATCTTTACCTGATAAGGCGAGAACTTAATGCACAGTGCTCCTCTGATCGTTTTTTGAGAGTTTATTGTAGGAAACGGTTTTACTAACATTTCAATGGAACACTGTTTGAAATCCAAATGGAAGATGTTTATTTCACAATTTATAGCGCATTTTCTATAGAATAAACTGTTGCTTGTCTTTTGAGGAAATTAACAAATCGACCAAGGAAAATCTTGGTAGAGGTGTGCCGCCGAGGCCTTCAAACCCCGACCCTGTCTAAGACAAAGATTGCTCATTTCGCTACCCTGTTTAAGACAGGAGACACTACTTTCTTACTCTGATTTGTTTTATTTTGCATACAGAATTAAGTACTTTTTCACACTAAAATCGTGGAAATAGATATTTATGAAAAAATATTGGTATTGCAAATTTCACACTCTTTGAAAGGCCTCCAGTCCAAAAAGACACCCTGTTCAAGACACTGGTAAAATTGTATACCCAGTTTAAGACTCAAGACCTTGAAAGCCATACCTTTTCCAGCGGCACATACCCGTATAGGCCGAATAAGGGAGTGCCCCCCGGGAAAACAAGGTTTCACAATGGACTTTATTCGATGAAATTGCATCCCAAGACGTAACTTTTGGTAGCAAGCTTTTTCAAGTTTACAATAAGTATTCGATTCATGCATTCTAAGACGCAATGATTGGATTGATTCGCTAATGGCTACTATGAGACGTCTGAGACCAGATTGCATCGCCCTGTTTTAGAATTCGTTTGAGGATATGGCGTTCCATTTGAATTTAAAGGGCCTTGTCCTGTAACATATTTCTAACAATATGAAAGAAACGTATTCAACAAGCCGTTTTTAAGCAAAGTCTGCGAGGGGGATTTTGGTACAGCTCAGGGCGGATATCTTTAAGCCAATTTTGCCGCTAAATTGCAAACGTGGGAGGAATCTTCGAATCTTCATCTTCTTCGATTTTCGTATGACCTTGAAAAATGGTTTCGGTAAGTGTTCGTTATTTGTTTCATCACCCAATGGATGAAAGATTTTAAAACATGGCCTCTTCGTTTTCCCGCCAAAGAAACCCTAATATGGAGAAGGCATTGTTCGATTGGCCAGTCATGTTGCAGTATGACGTCAAAGTTAAGTATCGGTTGATTTCTAGAAAGTTCTTCGGGCATGAAAAGCGTTTGCTCAACCAAACAAAAGCCACCCACGTTTGTATCCGTTCGATAAACCAATCAAATCGCTCTATTCCTGTTCGTTTGTTGTTCCTGGTTTGTTCGTGCGTTTTCACGTGAAGGTTTTACGTAAATCGCTCTATCCGTACCAAAAAGACGATGTTTGTCTCAGCACCCAGTTGTTCCAAAACTCCCTGGAAATTTCTCTGCCAAAAAAGGTGGAGAAAATTTATTTGTGGAAAACTCAACCTTTGCTTTGATTAAGAGCTACTCTGAAACGTTCGCTCTGTCCTCTCACTGCCGGGCTTCGATTGACTCTGGACTCACGCTTTCGTTTCTTTTCACACTGATTTCCCGGTAGCTTAATGGCTAAAGCTGTGGCTTCGACTGATATTTTTCTTCTCGAATTTGCCGTTTGCATCGAAAATCCTTATCTTCTACTAGTACATTTACCTGCTTGAATAAGACTAAAAAAGGCTGCACTACAAGTAGCCAATGAACCCTCTCTTGTTTTATAATACCATGTATACTGTGAATACTGTGATTTTACACGTACTTTACATTTTAACTGAAAAAGTGCCACTTGACATGGTATAGTCATAAGTAGATGTACTACAGATGCAGATGGCGAAACCAAGAAAGGACCTCTAATCCATTCCAAGTTGAGTGTAGGCTCTGTGAATCCAGAACTAGTAACTATTCATCCGAACATGCTAAAAATCCAATACTTTGGTCCTGTTTGTAGAGACCAAAATTAAAAAGTACCAAATAGTAACATGTGGAAGAGATTTTGGAAAAGCAATCCTCCTAACCAAAAGGTTTTGGGACACCTCCTCTAATCTTTTTCACATGTATGGAATTTGTAGCTAACCCGTATAAACACGGCTTTAACACGATTTTTCACCCCCCTTCCTTTCCTGAACAAAGTTGAGGTCCTTAACATGTGGAAGAAATGTAAGAGGTGTTTGACTTTTCCCCCCGGCACTGTCCGGGTAGGGGTCAACTTGAACTGCATACATTTTCCTCACCTGAAATACAAAGTGTCTCAAACGTTTTGACGAGGATTGTACTTTTCTACACGGCTTGAGCGGTTGTCATAAAACTTCGTTCCGCGCTCGTAATCCGGATATAGTTTTTGACCTGAGACGATACTAGTGTGTTGAAAATGATAGAGAAAACCACATCCAGTCATCAAGGAAGCAGAGTTTCTGGCCTTTTAATGAAAAAATTTATTTCATCTTATTTTTACAAATCCCTTATTTAACCGCTTTTTAAAACCAATTAAAGTTTTCTAGCTGCATTTTAAGGCCGCTTGAAGGCTGTTTCTGCGTATTACGGCTCTTATTGGACTAAAATATATCCCATCGCTTTGATGTGCTGCCCGCCATTATCTCCTTCGAGAGCTTCGTTGCCACACGTGTTGGAGTTATCATGGTGCCCTGCTTTTCCAAACCCGATCCTGGAGTCACAGCTGCTACAATCATTCTCGTTGTTGCCAACGATACCAATTCTCGCTCTGCTACCACTACCACACAGTGTGTTGAATCCTTCCTTGTTACAGTTGGGTTGTAAAGAGGCCCGAGACCCAATGAGCTTCTTCCAAGTGTTACGGCCCAGTGAAGAAGCTCGGTATTTGCCATCTGCGATCAGTGAATACAGTGATCTGGCTGGATGATTGATGACAACAGACTTGAACTGCCGACCGATCTTCATTCCAAGACAGATCTTGTTAAACGGTGTGTTCCAATATGTCGGTAACTTGGTCTCGTGAGTGTCCAACCCAGTCTTCCCTCCTGGAAGATTGAAGTCGAATTTGTTGCTCCAGAGGTTGGAATTGTAGTGAAAGGTTCTCTGAGTGCGTTTAAAACAAAGGTTAGTTAATCATTTTGCTGGCGTCTCTGTTTGGGCAATTATGGTTTGAAAGCCATGTGTCATCGCCAAGTCTATTACTGCTGTCATTTCTTTTCTCATGCTTTGTCGTAATCTGAATGTATCATTTCGTCACTAGCTTTCAACATATAAGCCCTGGACTTCTTGAATTTCGTCTAGCATCATAAGTTCACCTTTTTAGGGGGATTAAGCTTTTTTCGGACCGACATAGTTACTAACTTTTGGAAACATATATCTTATACCTTTGAGCCATCGATCTTCATGACCAGCGTCCATCCACCTCCTCCGCATGCGTCAAGTCCATGCGTGGTCATGTGACAATATACGGGAACCTTTATAGACCCAACATCCAGCAAGTATGCTGTGTTTCCTTTGGACCTGGTCAAGCATGCCACCAAATTGGTTAAGTTAATTTAGAACTACATAGTTTGTCTTCTTTAATTTGTACGGACGAATTTTAATGTGGATTATGTGTGGTTTTGAATGTAATGTTTTCGTTCCAGCCCGAATCGTCGCAGCTGTAGACTGACTTTAATGTCCACCTGAACAAACATGCGACGCTATGATTCACGAAATCACAGAATGTTTGCAATGTTTATATCAAATTTCAGTGCCAAAAGGCTGAGAATGCTCGATATGTAATATATAGATTTAGCCAGGGCTAAAAGCGAAGCTCTCATTAATAAGGTTATACATGTAATTTAATCCGCAAACAATAAACTTGTAATCCACAAATCAGTTAACTTTATTACACATTCATTAGACTTTTGAGGGAAAGGCTAAGAGTGATTTAAGATAAAAATAATTTGCAACAGTTCAAGAGTGAAAAAAAATCTTACATAGCGTTGAATTAATAATCAGGTAGTCTTATATGTGCACCCCAAAAAATAGTATCCTTTTTCACAACACTCAATTACTCGCGCTCATTGTTATTAAGATATGGGAAAATTGATCGAGCGCCCTTGAGGAGGTGGAAACTGTAATCGATTCCCGATCCAAACACGAATTTTCAGCAAAGAAAGGGCTGGGGAGGGTGGACCGTTCCACCTTCCTCCTTGGCGCTGATCAGAGACTGAGCGGAGAGGGAGTGTTCAACAGCATTTATTATTGCCCCTTGGGATTCAGGGCCCCGTGCACCTGCATACCCTTGTGCATGAGACTTGTTATTTTAATGTTTTGGCTTCGCGCTTCGATTTTGAGTATTGTGAATAGCAATTATCTTCGCTCACATTAAACGTAATGGCTCTTGATCACAGTAGATTAGGCCTGGAAAACACATTCTTGGAAAACAAAATCAGGCCGAATTTTTTGCGTTCAACAAGTTTATTTTACAAAATCTTGCCAACAAATCTAGTGGCGTGTAAACCAGCCTCTTATACTTTTTATACATCACATCTGAGGTAAACAGTACTATGAGGCGCTGTTTTTGTCATGCAGACCTCGGGAATGCACAACAAATTATAGAATTGACCACATAAAATGTTTCAATGAAGAGAATTCCATAATGTCTGGCCTGAGCAATCTGCTCCTATGTGGTATACAGGGTAATAAGGGGCTCTTAGCGCCAAATTTCAATGAACCTTAAGAGAGTGACGCTTCAACATAATACTAGAATTCATTATGTTTATTTTTCATTAAGCGTTATAAGCGTTTGATACTCCTTGCTTTATTAGCTTAAGTACTCCTGCAAGCGATGTTTTTATAATGTAAGACTGAAAACAACCGTCACTTCGATTAAAATTGCAACACAGGCAGCCCAGACGTAGTATGTGTCACTGAATGAATATATTAATATTCACATGGACAAATTAATGCGATGAGTCGTCGAAACTCCCATGGACTAAAATAGTCTAAAAGTCAAAATATAACAAAACAAAGCTTAGATACCTTCAACTGAACGTATCCTTGTCTTTCCTGGCCGGTTTAAGTGGTATTTTGTTGAGTTTTGCAATTTGTAGGTACTATCCACTAAAGAAGAATTAAAGGCTGGCTACAAAACAAACAGACCATCTCCACGCGCCTTCACACGAAGCGCTATAAATTCGAGAATAATCGACGAATCCGCTCCAAATAACCATCGGCTAATCTGCAGGTAACGTGTGCTCCTGCTTCTGGCGCGCTTGCTCCACAAAACCCATCGCAACTGCACCATAATTGCTCGCTCATCAACAACCACTGCTGACCTTTACGCTTCGATATGACCGCAAACGACCAGGTTTAATACGCGACGTGAATATTCAAGCTTAGCGACCGCGTTCGCACAACAATGCAGCACTTGCTATGGGAGGGATGGTACCATTGCTTCTAGGTCAATCAATCGGTAAAATAATATTGAAGCCCTTGTAATTTTAAAAAGAGCCAATTTGCCCTAGGAACACCGAACAGATACGAATCTTATAGCGGAGCTAAAAAAAATGAGCGGCAGTGGAAAAAGTGAACAAAAACATGTACCACATTTTCTCCATAAAAAGTGAAAACCAGGAAGTTTTCTGGACGTTTCACGTTGCAGTCATGCAAATCAACGGCAAGGAAATGTACAAGAAAGTGTGCTACAATTAGACCTATTGTTGTTTTTCACAGTTCTGGTCAAGGGCATCCAACTTTTAATTTTTCACATTTCACTCAACGGGTTAGGCTATTTTTCGTAGAGAGTAAAATGAAATCCTAAAATTTTCGGATTAAAAATTGTGATGAAAGAAAGTATCTGAAAAATTATCTCCTTCGTAATACGTTAAATTGCATCTAAAATTTTCGGGAAAATAATTCTGAATTCCTCGTAATTTCGAAAAGACTCAAGTTCCTCTAGAATGGCCGAACACTGAGATGCGAATTTTATAGCGCCACTTAGAATGCATTTCTATAGAGCTAAAAGTACTTTATGAATAGCTACAAAAGTGTTTTCAATTAAAAGTATTTGAGGAAACAGTCGTTGGGTGGCCCTGTCTCGTTGCCTTCTCCGCTTAGCATGACACGATATATTTTATATTTAGTATGAGCAAACTATAAATCATTAGCTTCGCTTTTAGCCCTCCTGACTAAATTTATGTAAGCGCTGTTTAGAATGCATTTTTCGATCAAAAGTACTCTGGACAGCCTTAAATGTGTTTTCAATGCATTTAGGGGGAAATCATCGTTGGGTGCCCCTGAGTTTTGAGAATAATAATAATAATAATAATAATAAAAGATATCGCGCACATAAATTTTACTTTACGATATCTTCAGCTGTATCTTCTATTCAGCTGCATAGCGGGGGCCAGATTTTGCCTTTTTCCTGGGCGGAAAATTCTCGTCCTCCTTCACCAGTTTGGACAACATATTATGGAGAAGGACGTTGTTAATCTAAGCAAATAAGTCTGGTAGAGTCAAGAACCTTTGCAAGCGGCTGGACGAACAATGTGACAGCAGCTCAGACAGCGAACGTTAAAAGAATTCGAACTTGAAAACCAGGGCTGCCCTGTTGAAAACTTACGGACGGTCCCGCGATCGCCTTTTGTTTTCTGGTAAAAACTAACGCAGCGAACCTTCGGTCAGTCGATTGACCTAGAAGCAATAGTACCATCCCTCCCATAGCAAGTGCTGCATTGTTGCGCGAACGCGGTCGCTAAGCTTAAATATTCACGTCGCGTATTAAACCTGGTCGTTTGCGGTCATATCGAAGCGTAAAGGTCAACAGTGGTTGTTGATGAGCGAGCAATTATGGTGCAGTTGCGATGGGTTTTGTGGAGCAAGCGCGCCAGAAGCAGGAGCACACGTTACCTGCAGATTAGCCGATGGTTATTTGGAGCGGATTCGTCGATTATTCTCGAATTTATAGCGCTTCGTGTGAAGGCGCGTGGAGATGGTCTGTTTGTTTTGTAGCCAGCCTTTAATTCTTCTTTAGTGGATAGTACCTACAATTGCAAAACTCAACAAAATGCCACTTAAACCGGCCAGGAAAGACAAGGATACGTTCAGTTGATGGTATCTTAGCTTTGTTTTGTTATATTTTGACTTTTGGACTATTTTAGTCCATGGGAGTTTCGACGACTCATCGCATTAATTTGTCCATGTGAATATTAATATATTCATTCAGTGACACATACTACGTCTGGGCCGCCTGTGATTGCAAGAGAGACTTCTAACATATAAATATAATTCTAAATATAATTCGGTGAAACATTTACAGAGACAACAATTTTCATTCACGAAGACAAGTATTGAGACTAAAGTGTCTCCAAAAATCCTGAGTCATGTAAGCATATAGGGTTAAAACGGTAAAAACCCAAGTCCGCCTGTGTTAGTTGCGTTTTAAGCCGACTTCCCCGTGTTTGCTATTTTTCAAGATGAACTCGAGGCAAGAAAACCATTCAAAGCTTTCTTTTTAGAGACAAAATTATAGCTAGATATTCTTCGGAACGCTTTCTTTCCATTTGCGGTTTAATAGAAGATATCTAAAGGCTTTTTAAAGTTCTGTAACTAAAGATTTTATCAAACCTGATCCTAGGTGAGATTATTGTCTCAAATCTTACAAACGTGCAAAAACTAACCGCATAAACAACGCTCGACTTTACAGTCTAAAATCGGAAAAGAAACAAGCAAACATCAAATACAATAATTACTCAGGCTTACCAGTCGAGATGCAGCTGCTAAAAGCCATCATCGCTTGAGACTTTTCAACCCTCTTACTTATCAAGCAAGGTGAAAAACGAAAACGACGCCATGTGAAATCGGATTTCCAATCTTGGACAAGCGGCGCATTTCTCAACCAAAAACCCAATAAACAAACGAGCCATGAATAACAAAAGAATCTTGGTGGCAGTTGTATTTCATTTTGTACATCCAGTGGAAAAAGGTGGTTAAAAACATCACAAGATGACGACACAAAACTTTGTCAGCTTCAGCTATCAAAGTAAACAAGTTTTCAGATGCTGCATAAACTCTCCGCATGAACTCACCTGTCAAATTTTGACCAATCAGAACATAAAAATTGGACGTAGAGCGTGACCAACGCGTGTCCATGGCGAGAAAAGTCAAAAGCAACTGCCTTCCTTGTTTTGCCCGTAATAGCTGGCTGAATTTTCGCGTCCGAGGTCAGATTGAAATCAAAATTTTAATAGTGCGGCTCAACTCATTTCTTATGCATTTAAAAAAATGAACTTGAGCCTGCGATCATTTGAAAACTAGTAAATTGTCAGCGGATAACAAAAAATACTCGATGGGTCGATACTTGAGCCCGCGGTACGGTCAGGTGATACTAGTCAGCGGATACCCTGTTTTCCCAGCTCGATTGATCGTAACAATATCAGGTTGCATCTGGGCTAGAAAGTGTGAGATTAAACATTGGTTACCCCGTGATGCGGACGGACGGTCGGTCGTTCGTTCGTTCTGTGTACGGTCACGTGATTACCAAATTTTCTGGGACGGGTAGACATACTTACCCCTGGTGCTCCGGTGGCGCGCGCTTCCCACGCGCGACAGCTCCGCTATAACCCTACGTCTAGCGACTTAGGGAAAGAATTGTGTTCTTTGGAATTCAACCATTTCGTAGTTTTGGTAACTCCCGTTGTGTGCCGGGAGTTAGGTTACCGGGTTCTTTTGTTGGAATTAACACAATTCATTTGTTTGTAGAGTCTTATAATGTATCGAAAAGTAAAGTTCGTTTCTATCTCAAAAAGAGGAGTTTTTTTCTTTTTTCAAAAAGAGCAGTTAGTTAGGATGTAGAGGGGACCGAGTTTTGAAGAGCTGACATTTCAAACTTGACATTCCGTCCGTCGCAAACATTTCACACAGAAGAGGTAGACTTTCTTCTTTGCACATGCTATAAAGTGCCCTTTACAATCTTTTGAAACGGCTGTTATTTTATCTTTCGGGAGATTCTGTATCGCTTGTACTTACCAGTCATTGTCATAATGGTCTTTGCACGTTGAAGCTGTAAGAAATTAGACAATGATATTACCTGTTTTACAAAAACTGATTTTTTTTTAAGCAAGGAGAATGTTGGCTTAGTCTAAAGCAGGGCGGTGAAACGAGCGCACCCGAGCAAAAAGGTGTGATGCAGTGGACTGGGACCCTGCTTAGAAATGTCGCTTGTTTTCGACTTCGGTCAGGGCTTGCGATGTGGTTTGTCCATTAGACACTGCCGCTGTCATTGAATTATGGCGGCTTGATTTGTTTTCTTGCACTTCTTCCTCGCTCCTTTGTGCTGGTACGCTGTCTCCGAGAGGCAAATGTGTCTATTTTTTGCGGGAGGTTTAGCTGGAGTAGACAAACATGTCTTTCAAAGGGTTTCTCTTATTCAGTCTTATTACTTCCATGACTCTACCACCAAATTATATTTTCGTTCTACTACTCGCCAATGTCGATGTTATTCCAAAACAAAAACAACTAAGTACTGTCAAAAAAAGGAAAATCTCATCCATGGCAAAACTAAAAGACAGCAGATCGCGTTTCATAACTAGATGACGTGTATTTTATAAATGAGTGCAGCTCGTGCAAGTAATTTCAATCACCATCATCCTTCTTTTTAATTTTGAAAAAAACATCTTATACGTCTTTCTGTTTCTTCGAAACTTCAAAATTAGTTTCCCCTCAGTTTTTACTGTTTACCTTGTTTTGTTTTAGAGAGAAAATCGGAGAAAAAACCTTAGCACTAACCTCAATAAATTTTTTTTACATGTGGTTGCCGGATTTGCGACGCATTGCGCGACTGCTATGGCGCGTTGCACCCAAGAAGCAAAGTTTGAAGCAGTACAACGCTACTATATCAAAATATATCAATCTAAGTTTTTTTTTATCCCGCTTTAACATATGTAAAAATTGAGGTTAAGAAGTGTTAAGCTTTTGCAAACGAAACGGCGAAAGACGATTAGGTGATATTTAGTGGAAGGAGGAGGTATTCAGCACTTTCAAATTAAACTCAAATTTTGGCATTATACGACCAACAAGTTTGACTTATAGGCATACAGACACAAACATATGAAACTGTTTATTGATGTTTTTATGAAACGAATTTATCTATTTAACATTGTGGCCTGAAATTACAGAAAGAATATAGGATTTCCGGTTTGCAAAAAGGAAAATTTCGCCGGCCTTCAAGCGCACCGGAAGCGCGGAAAGAGCGCTCGTGCCAGTCCTACTCCGCATCACACATTAAATGAAGAGCGGAGCGCTTGTTTTACCGCCCAACATTTATCCGCCCTGGTCTAAACGGCGTCGCAGCACTTTTCCAAGGGTCGACTGCATTCGTGATCATGTGACCATTTTGTACCAACTGCTGTACAAATTAGTGAAAAGCCCAATTGTCCATTCTGAAAAACAGGAAAACGGGATAACGTTTTCTTGGTCTCGGTGATTGCTATTATCCCATTGAAAAATTGATGGATTAAACATGACCTTGTTGTAGAAGAACCGCTTTAAAGTGATGCCAAATCAGATAAAGATACTATAAAAAGAGTACAAAAACGTACTACACGTTATTCACCGCAAACAACAGCCGATTTCTTCTGAAGCTTTGGCGACCGAAATGGCTGAATTTTTTTAATTGAAATTTCTCTATGTAAATGATACCCCAGGTCTCTCCTCTCTCGTATCCTAGGGTAGTGGACGTCGCAGAAACGTGCCAATAAGGTGTGATGCACGTGTTCATAAGACAATTGCTTTTTGACGTTCTCGTTGCCGTCGTCGCCGTGGTTCAGTGCATTGGAAATATATACATTTGGAGATGAAGCCATGGAAATTAGAAATAGTAGTTGAACACATCTCACCTGGAAAAGCAGGGGGCTGTAGCAGTTTAATTAGCTGGTCTAACTTTTCATCAAGTTTTTTGATAGCTTCGCTAGTTTCAACTCCCTGTCCAATGTACTGGTTGCATACAATTGTTTCACCATTTCTGTTAGCGCGAACTGGAGTCGAGCTGTTTGTAATTTTAGCGCCATTAGCCACATCTACCATTACAACCAAACAGAAAGCTGCGCTGAGCCAAAATCGCATCTTGAGAACCAGCTTTGTCGTGTGAAAACTGCACTATTCCGTTAAGTTTCTTCAGCAGAATAATCCGTGCGGTATAAGTTTGTGTGTTTATACATAGGACGTGTTTTAGCCGAAACGGAAATTTTAAGTTTCAGTAAAAAAATGCGGATGTGTTAATCTTGACTATTCTTTTATATACAGAAGTCTGCTTGAATACGCACGAACTTACATCTTGTCAATTTTAGACTCCTTAAGCCTGGAAGTCGTACGCACGTGTGATATTCAGGCCAGTTAAACCCTTTATTTTAACGCCAGTCATTAGGCTGCACAACAGGGGTGATGAGGGTGGAGAGGGCGGGACAGTGACGTACGCGGAAGAGAAAACAGATAGTTGCTTTTATTTCCTCAGTTCCCCTCTCTCTCTTCGCGATTTTCCTCCTCTCCCGCACTCCCCCTGTACCTGTCACTCATGCTATAACGTCCTATCTTTGAGGCAAGGAGGATTCGATCATATAAGCACTGTTTGAATTTTTAGTATTTTTTTTCCAATGAGTTCAACTCGCAATTGTAATCAAGGCTGTTGATATCCACCTACGAGAATAGATTTAAAATCAGCTCATGCTATTAGACACCACCTCCAGAACCTCGTGATTTTACGTTTTCTTACTGCTGGAGACGTTTTTGCCCAGTTTGTTTTTTTTTGTAAAATTATACTTTAGTGACTTCAATTTGTATTGGAAACAAGGAAGTTGAGGTCGTAAGTTCACCATGCGAGTCATGAATTACGAAAACAGTCCATGCTGTTAGACACCATTCAAAACAACTTCATAAATCATTTGCCGAGGTTTTGTCAAGAAAAAACGAGTAATTTTTGGGTCGGCCAAAATTTCTTGCCGCGAAGAAAACTGGAACTTGATTTTGTAGTTGTTATTTGGAACTTCAGCACTTTTGATTGCGTCGTTTTCTGTCACGGATGGTTTATTTTATGGTGGATTGTTGGAAGCTGTCCATGCCTATTGTCAATTACCTTTTCACGGTCAAGCCACATTTTTACGAAAGTGATAACCATTCTCATTAATATTGATCAAGATTGACTTTGTTAAATCAGTTCTTTTTATTTCAGCGCTAATCCTTTATTTGATTGAAACCTCATATTACAATAATCAAAAGTATCTTAGTTGCATTTAGGGGTCGCCTCTGCCATTTTTGAAGGCGGTTTAAAGGTAGTTTCTCTGCAAATCACAGCACTTATTGAACCAAGATATATCCCATCGTTTTGATGTGCTGGTCGCCATTATCTCCACCGTGAGTAGCTTGGTTGCCACACGTGTTGCAGTCATCAAAAAGCCCTCCAGTGCCAAACCCGATTCTGGAGTCGCAACTGCTACAGACATTTTGATTGTTTGCGACGATACCAATTCTCGCTTTGGAGTGGTTGCTATCGATGCATAGAACGTTGAATCCTTCCTTGTTACAGTTGGGTTGTAACGAGGCCCGAGAGCCAATGAGCTTCTTCCACGTGTTACGGCCTAGTGAAGTAGCTCGGTATTTGCCGTCTGCTATCAGTGAATGCAGTGATCTGGCTTGATGGTTGATGACAAGAGACTTGAACTGCTAACCGATCTTCATTCCAAGACAGATCTTGTTAAACGGTGTGTTCCAATAAGTCGGTAACTTGGTCTCGTGAGTGTCCAGCCCAGTCTTACCTCCTGGAAGATTGAAGTCGACTTTGTCGCTCCACAATTTAGAATTGTAGTGAAAGGCTTTCTAGAAAAAAAAAAATCAGTTAACTCATTCATAAAGAATACTATCACTTTGCTGTTTTATCTGTTTGAGAAATATGATACAGTCTCGCCTTGGTTTTCACTGGTCTTGTTGCGAAGTCCTCACATATTATTCTCTTCATAGCTTGTACTACTTAAGCTAAAACTTTTCAAACCTACACGTACTAGATTCCTTTTCTTTCATTTGACGTGGACTTGTGACTTACATTGTAAGTTTACCTTTATATTGGGAATGAGGTGATGACAAACGTGGCAACTTGTGAAAACATTTAACTTTTAATACCTTTGTGCCATCGATTTTCATGACCAGCGTCCATCCACCTCCTCCGCATGTATCAAGCCCATGGTTGGTCATGTGACAGTATACGGGAATCTTTGCAGATCCAACATCAAGCAAATACGCTTTATTTTCACTGGACCTGTTAAAACATGACTTTACTGATTACTCCCATCTTGTTTGTTTGTTTCTGTTAAAGTTAGGACGCCATGGAAAATCAGAATTCTCGTAAAAGAAATCTGTCTTATCAGATAAGCAATGTTTGGTCGAAGTTGAATAATCTTATAGAAATATCGTGTAGTGTTGTTATTACTGACTTTGTCGATAAGAAGGACTCTTCTTTACCGCCATATATATGATAACTGTTCAATCCACTTAAGTTAGTGATTTATAAACTATCCTTCCAGCTTGAGTGTTTCGTAAATTGTCTTTTGTATTTTAGTTTATTTGTAACCATCTGGGCACCAATTTTCACTTTTTATTTTTTAAAATACTGAAGAATATTCAGAAGCAATTCTCTGTGTTTTTCGTTTGTGTCCTTAAAGGAGTCTTTTTTTAAAGATCTAATCTAAATCAGTTCAAGGTTTAGTGTTTTAAGGGCTTTTAGCGCTGCAATGTTTGCCTACATCAAATGAAACCCACAAATGATAATTTTCCATCGTAGTTACATAAATTTACCGATACGAACTTTATTCAGGAACCAATTTGTTTTCCTGAAAGTTTTTGTTATGACTGTTTGTAGACGTATATACTTACAAGTTCTTGGTATAGATTCCCTTGCACGTTGAAGCTGTGGGACCGAAAATAAAAGGATATAAAGCGTGTTATTTGTAAAAAGAAGACTTTCCACACCATTCTGTAAGAAACACTTTGAGATATGAGATATTTTTTCATGGTTTGTATTCAGGTTTATCACTCCTGAAGTCTCGAACTATTTCATAATGAATTCATCACAAAATGCTGTTCAAAGAATTTCTTACCGGTATTAGAAGACGGCCGTAGCATTTCAATTATCTGATCCAGTTTTTTGTCGATTTTTTTGATTGCTTGGTTTGTTTCAGAGTTATGTCCGTTGTACTGGTTGCAGACAAATGATTTGCCATCGGTACTTTTCGTTCCATTCGTTGCGTTTGCCGTGAGCAACAGAGAAAAAGCTAAAATGAACCAAAATCTCATCTTTCGATTAATGTTTGCTGTATTGAAGCGTTTGTTATCGAGTAAACTACAATATTCTGTAATGTTCCTTGAACCGGAATACTTGTACTCGGCAATGCTGAGTCTCTTTTTTACCTTAGTCTTGACTCGTATTGAAGACAAGAAAATTTTCCAGTCGAAATATTAATTAATTAATTACTTGGTTCATCGTATCCGTTTGAAATGATGGCGGTGAAGTCTCACCTATAAGCGCTGGCAGTTTGAACGCTAAATTTGTAGTAATGTTCATGAAAAGCTCTTAAATTCTATGGGAGTAACTTGTAAGAATAGACGAAAATTGTGGTTGAAGGCAGACGGCTGTTTATAGCCGTGCCTCAGTTCCTTTACGTATTAAGACAAAGCAGAAAATTCATAGAATGATAAATGACTTAATTAAAGCATTGGAAGTCGTGAATTAGTTTGAAATTATCCCTTCCTTTAGGCAAGTTGTCTTTAACTTCGTTATGTTTTTTGTTGTAATTGAGAGTTTCTCGAATGAATTTATGGCTTGCTATTTAATCACTACATGGATGGCTGGCTAAGGATACATCAGACATTTGCGTGCGGGAGCGAAGGAGGGAGGGAAGGGTAAGGAGAAACTCTTATTTTCCCTCAAACCCCGGTCTCCCCGAGAGCTTGCTCTCGTCACCTCTGGAGCCAGGGTAACTAAGAAAGTGATCGATTCAATGGTGCGTAACTCTCTTTGGGAATGACAGGTCTTTTTCGTACGTTTTTAATGGTTTTTAACAAAGCGTGAATAGATTTGCAAAGAAATATTTTCTCCTGTAATTGGTTTATGTGGAGGAAAGAGATAGCCTATGTTGCGACTAAGTAACCTATAGAGGTTGTGCTTCTTACTTATCCATTTAATTTAATTTTTTTTTCTGACTCGATCAGTGCAGTTGTCATGCAGTTGTTTTGCTGATAATGGAAATTTACCATTTTCACATTACCCATAATACACCTTGCTGTACGCCCTCAAAGTTTGCATAAAGCATTGTCCTCTACTTCCCTTGGGACGACTGTTATACCCAGGGAGAATTAGAAACAACGGCTAATATGCAAAACTTTGTAGACTGAAGGGTGTTTAATGGGCAATATAAAAATGGTCAATGTGAACAGTTTGGACTATACGTACGGATTTAGAAATTTAATTTGGCACTTTTACTCGCAGTTATGAAAAGAATAGCTTCCCGAGGCTATCACAGTGAATTCGTTTATTATTTGCTGTTGACGTGTTGGGCGTTTTTCCACTTAAAAACTTTGTCCGTGCCGCCTTTTGAACTATGAAAAGAAAACCAAAAAACCAACAGCAAGTAATAACACTACGTTTGATAGCAATTGCGCTCAAGCATGATTTATTTGTAGTCTTTTCATGAAAGACAGTAAGCATGAAAACTTGTGTGGGACTATTTTTAATGGTCTGCCCAAAGAGGCATGTTCTTTGTAAAATTCAATGTGTAAAAACTGCATTCATGAATCAGTGTTTTTAGTATACAGCAACTTTTGAGATCAGAAGTTGACTAAGCTGAAGGAATGTTAATTTTTGCCATTGTTGCCTTTTTGCGATTGTGACTGAGCTTAAACTCGCGCTAAGCATTTTTTGCCCGAATAACAATGTGATTATTCCCAGTGTAGACATCCAGGTCCCCATGAACAGCTGCTGCTGCTGATTCGCCTCATGTCCAACGAGTTTAACATTAGAGGGATTTAGAGTTTACGACCGCAAACGGCAAACGTCAGATTCAAGTTGATAAATTCTTAAAATAGGGGATAAACAGATTTAAACACCTTAAAACAATTGGCGTGAATTGGCTGTTTTTTATTTTAGTAATTATAATGAATAGTAAACGAAAAGGATAGGAGAAACTGCTCACATGGTGCAAATGCATGTTTTTACTTTTACAACGTGTTTCGACCATTTTACGTTTTTAGAACTAGACATTGTAAACTAAGGTTATTCAGGAATACGAACATGAAAGTCATGTTTAAAAATTTTTTGTGGGTATATTTTGTTGAGGAGCGCAAAACTGTTAGTCATACCACTGCTCAAGGAAGCTAATGGTGTTTCCTTGACGATAGTGTAAGTGATAAGAAGGAAAAGGTATAGTGACGTCGCTCAGTTGCGTTTGCAACAACGGAATAATTCAAACAAAAAATAGTCTCTGAGCGGACGTCCTTCTTTCTTCAGAGCCACGCGCGGCAAGCGAAAAAGTGACATTATGCAAATCATGTTAAAATGTATGAGAAATTGGGGAAGAACTTGGGCGGGGACAGTCCTTTTCCCTCTTGGCATGGGCTTCCGCCTTCGTTCCTCGCTGCTTCACCGCTTACCACTCCTCTCGATCTTTTGTGACTCCAAAAATAATAATAACAATAATAATAAGAGACTGCTCCCAGTCTAACAAAAATTTATGCACGCAAGTTTTTCTGACCTGAGACGATGCTTGTTTACTCAAAGTGATACAAAGACTGAAAAGACTGAAGCATATCAAAGAGAGACACTTTCTGGCCTTTTCAATGCAGGATTTTATTTCACCTCTTTCTTACAAATCCCTTATCCTAGATTCACATTTTAACCGCTTTTTAACAAGAATCAACAGTTTCTTCATTTTAAGGCCTTTCGAAGGTTTGTTCTGCGTTCTGCCGAACCTATTGGACCAAGATGTATCCCATCGCTTTAATGTGCTGGCCGCCATTATCTCCCCCGGCAGCTTCGTTGCCACACGTGTTAGAGTCATCTTGGAACCCTCCAGTGCCAAACCCGATCCTGGAGTCACAGCTGTTACAATCATTTTCGTTGTTTCCAATTATACCAATTCTTGCTTTGGAGGCGTTGCTATCGGTACAAATTGCGTTGAATCCTTCCTTGTTACAGTTGGTCTGTAAAGAGGCCCGAGACCCAAAAAGCTTCTTCCATGTGTTACGGCCCAGTGAAGTAGCTCGGTATTTGCCATCTGCGATCAGTGAATACAGGGATCTGGCTTGATGGTTGATGAGAACAGACTTGAACTGCTGACCGATCTTCATTCCAAGACAGATCTTGTTAAACGGTGTGTTCCAATAAGTCGGTAACTTGGTCTCGTGAGTATCCAACCCAGTCTTCCCTCCTGGAAGGTTGAAGTCGACTTTGTTGCTCCATAGTTTAGAATTGTAGTGGAAGGTTTTCTGGGTGCATTTGGAAAAGAAAAAGAAATACCATTTACATAAAGTGCTACCGCTTTGCTCTTTTATCCATTCGACAAATATGGTACAGTCACATCTTGGTGTTTACTAATCTTGTCCTCAGATATTATTCTCTTAGTACCTTGTCTGGTACTAGTACAGTGAATTGATACATCATTGAGCTGACACTTTTCAAACCTACACGTACTATATTTACTTTTTTCTACTTGTGTTGGACACTTGACTTGCACTGAAAGTCTACCCCCAGTGTATAGTGGCAGTTAGGTGGTAAGAGACCGAGCTACTTGTAGTGAATGGTTCTCTGATTAAACTAATTAAAAGGAACATCATGTCAGTTATTCCGATAACGTACTACATGTATCGCTTTTCTCCTTTATAATTTGACAAATATAATATCAGCATCTTAGTCTTCACTGAATTGATAAATCATCGAGCTAACAGTTATCAAACCTACACTTACTAGATCCACTATTACCCTGTATGTTGACCTTAATTGATAGTGTGAATTTAAGTGACAAACTGACAGAGCTGCTTGTGATAAGGTTGAACTTTTAATACCTTTGAGCCATCGATCTTCATAACCAGCGTCCATCCTCCTCCTCCGCATGCGTCAAGCCCATGCTTGGTCATGTGACAATATACGGGAATCTTCGCAGATCCAACGTTCAGGAGGTACTCTTTGTTTCCTTTAGACCTGGTTAAAAAAATAAAACTTCATTGGTTCACCTCATTCTGAAGTAATTGCCTCATTCGGGGTGATAGAAAGGCTGACTTAGAATGGGCCCCAAAGAAATTGAGGAGAAAGTCTTTCATATCAAGTGGACAACCTAAGTGGAAATCTAAGAATATCGAGTGACGCTGTAATTGCTGACTTTGGCGATAAGCAGAACTCTTCTTTAGGGTCTCAATTTTTTCCCCTTGTTTATATTGTCACAAGTCTTGGGCGTCGCTCCCAATTAAATTATAAATTACTTAATCCTACTAAGTTAGTAATTCATATACTGTCCTTCATCTTGAGGGTTTCGTTAATTGTAAGTGCTTTCATTTTTCCTGATTTTTTTCTTCGCACAAAAGTAGTGATCGTTATTTGAGTTTATTTTACCATTTCTGGACCAATGTTTGCTTTTTGTACTCTACAATCATAATTGACTATAGCGAACACTCCTGAATAAATTCATTAAGTTTCTTTTCTTCGTTTGATACCGACCTTCGGTGTTTAAGTATTTGATTTACTGCTATATTTCTCATTTTAATTTCGTCGATATTTTGTTACTGATTTTATAGCAGTTACCATTGTTTGTTATCCAGAAAATCTTCTCAACTTTGACTTCCCCGATTTTCGTGTGTTTGACTTGCCAATTGGTAGAGAAAATTAAGAAGAAATTTTAGCAATTTTAGTTCGGAACGCTCAGAAATTTTAAAAGTATATTTCAAAATTTTCGGCTCAGTGTCTTTTTATAGTAGGTTATTTTTTATCGCTTGTACTTACAAATTCTTTTCATAAATGTCTTTGCACGTTGAAGCTGTAAGAAGTAAGATAACGATATTAGCTACAGTGTATGTCACAAAAAATGAATTTATTAAACAAGGTAAATCCTTTTAATTAGTCGTTTCAGTCGACAGCATCAACATCGTTGTCTTTGTCCAAATGGCGACTGTACTAGGTCACATGACCACTGATCATGTGGCCAGCATGGTCATGTGATCATTTTGTGCTAACTGTTGTACTTTCCGGGTTTTTCCATACAAATGGTAAGCGCTTAGGGTTTCTTTTCTTTGTTATCCTGGAGCCGTGGACGTCGATAAAAAGATACCAAAAAATGTGATGCACGTGCAGAGCAATTTGTTTGCTTATAAAACCAATTGCTTTTGATATTCTTATTGCCAAAGTCGTCATGGTTGCTTTTGCCCGCTATTTCCTTGCACTTATTGCTAAATTGACTAGTATCACATAGAAAATGTAAACTTTCGTAGATGAAGTCATGGAAATTAGAAGCTATAATTGAATGCATCTTACCTGGAAAAGCAGGGGGCTGTAGCAGTTTAATTAGCTGGTCTAACTTTTCATCAAGTTTCTTGATAGCTTCGCTTGTTGCAACTCCCTGTCCAATGTACTGGTTGCATACAATTGTTTCACCATCTCCGTTGGTGCGAACTGGAGTCGAGGTGTTTGTCATTTTAGCGCCATTAGCCGCGTGCACCATGAGAGTCACAGAGAAAGCTGCGCTGAACCAAAATCGCATTGTGAGAACCAACTTTGTTATGTGCACTAAAACAGTATTCCTTAATGTTGTCTTCAGCAGAATAATACGTGCTGCATAACCTTGTGTGCTTTTATATGAGACGTGTTGGAGCTAAAACGGAAATTGCAATGTGCTGTATAAACATGCGGATGTGATGTCCGGCTTGTTCATTTGAGACTCATTTGAGCCTGGACGACCCTTTGGGCCTTTATTTTAACGCAAGTCCTTTGGCTGCCGCTACACAGTGGGGATTGGGGAGGGGAGGGGAGGGAGCGGTAAAAAAAACGCGAAAGGGAAAAGGGAGAATTACTTTTCTCCGTCCATTCCACCGACCCCTCACTCCCCCTGCACCTGTCAGTCATGCTTTAGAGTCCTATCTTTGAGGCCAGAAGTATTCGCACTGTTTCAATTTTTATAGCTTTTTTTAAAAAACGAATTCAACTTCATGCAGTGACTCGCAATTATATCGTAATTACGGCTGCTGATATCCTAAGTTTTCCACAACGTTTACTTTATTTACCCATTCCTTCGTCAGCTGAAACTTGGAAAATCGTTACAAAGAAGGTGTGTCAATTTGTTTTCGCTTGAGCTATTTTAAGCGAGAAAAACCCGTATTTTGGAAAACATCTTTTTTGTAAAACAAAGACTGATTACGCGTACAAGCTTCGTGCACAAGACTTCGCGACTAGTAGGAATTTCTCTTTTAGTCAATGCTCTAAGCAAGAGAGTTTTGTTTTTTTTTCTCGTGAAAGTTATTTTATAAAAGCAATAGAAACATTTTTCCTGTGTTTGCATATCCTGATATAAACACTCGAGGGGTTGGGATAATTATATCAGGCAATGCAAACACGGAAAACGTTTTTATTGCTTAATTATGGTACTGTTTAAGTGTGTCAAGGTTCGTGGATGCTAAGAAAGTCTTCTAACCAAATTAAACTTTCCTACGCGGTCGTGCAAGGGTAAAAATTGCCACGAGAGGATGAAGTGCTCTTCCGTTTTGATTAGGTATCATTTATGTATTTAAAAATGGTTAATTAAAACTTATTTGTTTTCCGGGTCGCGCAAAAGAATATTTTCCCGTGAAAGCCATTGCCGATAATTCTAAGTGTTTCTTTTTAACCAAGGTTAAAGTATAGGAAAGAAGAGAAGGGGAAAGTGTTTTCTTTAAAGTTGACGTTAATTAGCCCCGATTACAGTAATGCGTTTTTGTGAATTCTTGTACGTTCTTCCCCAATAAGATCGTGTTTTTCGACATGTTAAAATTCGACAATGCTCTGCTAAAAAAGCTCTCCAAAAGTGTCAACGTGGAAACTGCGGGCTGCGTGTCACGTCTCTTTCCTTATAACAGTCGCTCGTTGGTTTTTAAAGAAGTGAACATAAATTTCAAGACCAGGGGTGTAGCCAGTTTTTCGATTAGTTGTAGGCCTGGCTGACTTTCATTTCCACATATCCTGAGAATTGCACGCATAACTAGTACGCACTGACTTCACCAACACTTTGAGCTCTGAAGCTTTTTAACTCACCCCAAGAACGCTCAATTTATTACAAACAAAAGAGTGATCAAACCAAAAATTTGTAGGCCCTGGGTTGGCTACACCCTTGATTACGTTGATACAAGTTTGGCAAAAAAAACACCTTAAACGCTCCCTGATAGGGCTTGACTAAACCTTTTTTCCATGGTTGATATGGTGAAGTTTTTGTGACCTGAGACGATTGTTCTTTCATCAAAGTGATACAGAAAAGCACATTTATTGAAGAAGGAAACTTTTTGGCCTTTTCAATGAAGTACTTTATTTCATGTCATTACAAACCCCTTTTTCTAGTTTCACTTTTATAACCCCAGCCCTTTTTAACGAGAATCAACAGTTTCTTAGTGCATTTGAAGGCTGCTGGAAGGGTAGTTCTGCGTATTACAGCTCTTATTGAACCAGGACGTATCCCATCGCTTTGATGTGCTGGTCGCCATTATCTCCCCCGTGAAGAGCTTCGTTCCAGTGCCAAACCCGATTCTGGGGTCACAAGAGCTACAGACATTCTGATCGTTGGCAACGATACCAATTCTTGCTTTAGAGCCGGTGGCATCGGTGCATAGTACGTTGAATCCTTCCTTGTTACAGTAGGGCTGTATAACGAGGCCCGAGAGCCAATGAGCTTCTTCCATCAGTTTCGGCCCAGTGAAGTAGCTCGGTATTTGCCATCTGCGATCAGTGAATACAGGGATCTGGCTTGATGGTTGATGAGAACAGACTTGAACTGCTGACCGATCTTCATTCCAAGACAGATCTTGTTAAACGGTGTGTTCCAGTAAGTCGGTAACTTGGTCTCGTGAGTGTCCAACCCAGTCTTCCCTCCTGGAAGATTGACTGAGTCGACTTTGTCGCTCCACAGTTGAGAAGTGTAGTGAAATGTTGTCTGGAAAAAAAAAAGTTAACTCTTTTGTATAGAGTACTATCACTTTGCTGTTTTATCTGTTTGAGAAATATGATACAGTCGCCTTGGTGTTCACTGGTCTTGTTGCGAAGTCCTCATATATTATTCTCTTCATACTTTGTCTGTTACTACTTACAGTCAATTGAGCTAAAACTTTTCAAACCTACACGTAATAGCTTCCCTTTCTTTCATTTGACGTGGACCGTGACTTACAATGTAAGTTTACCTTTATATTGGGAATTAGCTTATGACAAACGTTGGACCTTGTGAGAACATTTAACTTTTAATACCTTTGTGCCATCGATCTTCATGACCAGCGTCCATCCACCTCCTCCGCATGCATCAAGCCCATGCTTGGTCATGTGACAGTAAACAGGAATTTTTGCAGATCCAACATCAAGCAAATACGCTTTATTTTCACTGGACCTGTTAAAACATACCACTTTACTGATTACTCCCAGCTTGTTTCTCTTAAAGTTAGGACACCATGGAAATTTAGAATTCTCGTAAAAGAAATCTTTCTTATCAGATAAGCGATGTTTGGTCGAAATTGAGTAATCTTATAAAATATCGTGGAGCGTTGTTATTACTGACTTTGTCGATAAGGAGAATTCTTTTTTACCGCCATATATATGAAAACTGCTCAGTCCTCTTAAGTTAGTGATTCATAAACTATCCTTAGTTTGAGCATTTCGTAAATTGTCTGCGTTTTCTTTTTGAATTTATTTTCAATTATTTTTTTCTTAATATTTTCTTACCATTTTCTTATCGGTATTTTAGTTCATTTGTAACCATTAATGCATCAATTTTCACTTTTATTTTCTAAAATACTGAAGAAATTAAATTTACAAGCAATTCTCTCTGTTTTTCGTGTGTAAACTTAAACACTAGTCTCTTAAATATCTACCCCAAATTTCAAGATTTACTGTTGAGGGCTTTTGGTGCTGCAATGTTCGCTTACATCATGACTTATTTCGTTTTCAACTTAGTGGCCGGTTGAAATGAAGGAACATTACTGAAATCCAAATAGTAATTTTCCATAGTATTGAAGCATTCTCTAGATTTCCTCGAGCTTAGCTAGCTACATAAATTTACGTACTCAGTTTACTCTGTAACCAGTTCGTTTTTCTGTACTGAAATACTTTTTGTTATCACTGGGTCTAGACCTTGTGCTGTTGAGTCAAAAACAAATGTGCATTCTTGGTCCTTTAGTTCTTGAGCTTATCTTAAACACTTAATACGACACGTTATATTTCACCTGGTATTCGTTTTTGGATTATTTAACATTCAATTTAACGCTTATGGGGTTTCTTTTTGCGTTAATTTGTTGACAAGTTGGAAACTGTGTTTACGATTGGAGTTAACGTACGTGTAATAAAAGTGAAAACAATTAGAGTATCCTTTTTCTCATATACCTACAAGTTCTTGGTATAGATTTCCTTGCACGTTGAGGCTGTCGGACCGAAAATAAAAGGATATAAAGCATGTTATTTGTAAAAAGAAGACTTTCCACACACACCATTCTGTAAGAAACACTTTGAGATATGAGATATTTTTCATGGTTTGTAATTAGGTTAATCACTCCTGAATTATCGAACTATTTAATAATAATTCATCACAAAACTCTGCTTAAAGCGTTTCTTACCAGTCATAGGAGAAGGCTGTAGCATTTCAATTATCTGATCCAGTTTTTTGTCGATTTTCTTGATTGCTTGGTTTGTTTCAGAGTTATGTCCGTTGTACTGGTTGCAGACAATTGATTTGCCATCGGTACTTTTCGTTCCATTCGTTGCGTTTGCTGTGAGCAACAGAGAAAAAGCTAAAATGAACCAAAATCTCATCTTTCGATTAAGGTGGCTCGACTGGATTTCTTGGGGTTGAGACCTCCCCAGTTTTAGCATCAACTACGTCGGCATGAGTAAAGATATGGAAAAAAGGTTACCACAGCTGTATTATATAAAGATGAAAATTTCTTATGATCTGGGTTTTATTTTAATCAGAGTCGCCATGGCAACGTAATGACGCCATTACGTTTTTCATTTATCTTTGTGTTTCTCTGTACCAAGAGTTTTTTGAAGAAATCGCTTAAGGGAGTATGTCCCTGCCATAATTGCCTCCATTATAGCAAAGTTTAAACAAATTCTATGAGAGCGTTTTCGAAATATTTTCAAATGCAGTTTTAAGAATCATAAAAACAGTGAAATAGCATGCTAGCCACACTATTCGCTGGTATTTTAAGAAAATTATAAGTTTTGGGAACGCGGCTTCATCTCATAGTGGTTTGATTCCATTGAAAACTGCATACAAAAAAAGAGGGGAATTGCTCTGGGCGATCGCGAGTACGAAGAATTTCATGAACTTGCATTCGGCTGCTTTTGATACAATTTTTGGACGTAATTTGGTCCATGCCTAAAAATTTCGCATTTTTCCAAAAACCGCTTGATAAATTTTTTGTAAATTCCACAATCCCGAGATCAATCGTCAAGGAATATTCCCTGCAAGTTTCAAGAACACTGAAAACAGGGAAGGCTTTTAAATAGGGCCTCAAATATTGCCAATTTTCCCCCCAGATTTTGTGTTTACAAGTGAGCGTCCTCATTATTCACTGGCATTGTTTTCAAGTTTTATATACACGCGCACATTTAGCAAAAAGATAGAATTTGCCTCAAAAAGGACCCTCGGTTAAATCTCCGGGATATGCTAATTACTCGGTAAAGAGTTTAGTGATACATTATAACATCAGAGCAACTCTCTGTGAGAGTTTCTGTGTTGTTATAACCCGAGTAAGATAATTAAGTATTGCATCCTACACGATGATCCGTGACGTTCACCGTTTCGGCTCTCACTGCTATCTATGACGACAAGCCAATTATTTGCATATTCCGGATATTTCTTCGGAAAGTAATCGAGAGTTCTCTTTGATGCAAATTTATATCTTTTGCTGGTTGTGCACGTGCATATGAAACTTGAAAACAATGCCAGTGAATAATGAGGACGCTCACTGGTAAACACAAAATCTGGGGGGAAAATTGGCAATATTTGAGGCCCTATTTAAAAGCCTTCCCTGTTTTCAATGTTCTTGAAACTTGCAGGGAATCTTTCTTGACGATTGATCTCGGGATTGTGGAATTTACAAAAAAATTTATCGAGCGGTTTTTGGAAAAATGCGAAATTTTTAGGCATGGACCAAATTACGTCCAAAAACTGTATCAAAAGCAGCTGAATGCAAGTTAATGAAATTCTTCGTACTCGCGATCGCCCAGAGCAATTCCCCTCTTTCTTTGTATGCAGTTTTCAATGGAATCAAACCACTATGAGATGAAGCCTCGTTCCCAAAACTTATAATTTTCTTAAAATATCAGCGAATTGTGTGGCTAGCATGCTATTTCACTGTTTTTATGATTCTTAAGACTTCTTTTCAAAATATTTCAAAAACGCTCTCATAGAATTTGTTCAAACTTTGCCATAATGGAGGCAATTATGGCAGGTACATACTCCCTTAAGCGATTTCTTCAAAAAACTCTTGGTACAGAGAAACACAAAGATAAATGAAAAACGTAATGGCGTCATTACGTTGCCATGGCGACTCCGATTACCATAAAACCCAGATCATAAGAAATTTTCATCTTTATATAATACAGCTGTGGTAACCTTTTTTCCTTATCTTTACTCGTGCCGACGTAGTTAATGCTCAAACTGGGGAGGTATCAACCCCAAAAAATCCAGTCGAGCCACCTTAAAGTTTCCTGAATTAAAGCGTTTGTTATCGAGTAAACTACAATATTCTGTAATGTTCCTTGAACCGGAATACTTGTGCTCCACAATGCTGAGTCTCTTTTTTTGGCTTAGTCTTGACTCGTATTGAAGACAAGAAAATTTTCCAGTCGAAATATTAATTAATTAATTAATTACTTGGTTCATTATATCCGTTTAAAATGACGCCGGTGAAATCTCACCGATAGGCGCTGGCAGTTTGAACGCTAAATTTGTAGTAACGTTCATGAAAAGCTCTTAAATTCTATGGGAGTAACTTGTAAGAATAGACGAAAATTGTGCTTGAAGGCACACGCCGTGCTTCTGTATACATCAGACATTTGTGTGCGGGAGCAGAGTAGGGAGGGGAGAGTAAGGAGAAACCCTTCTTTTCCCCCGAACCCCGGTCTCCCCGAGAGCTTACTCACGTGACCTCTGGAGCCAGAATAACCAAGAAAGTGATCGATTCAGTGTTGCGTAACTCTCTTTGGGAATTACCGGTTTTTTTTCGTACGTTTTTAATCGTTTAAAAAAGCGTAAATAGATTTGCGGAGAAATATTTTCTCCTGGTATTCGTTTATGTGGAGGAAAGAGATGCGACTAAGTAACCTATAGAGGTTGCGTTTCTTATCATAAATACGTTTTTATTTTTTATATCTCTCTGAAATACAGTTGTTTTGCTGATAATGGCAATTTACCATTTTCACATTACCCATAATAAACCTCGCTGTACGCCCTCAAAGTTCGCATAAGGATTGTCTTCTATTTCCCTTGGACGTCTTTTTTATCCAGGAAAAATTGAAAACAACGGTTAATATGCGAAACTTTGTAGACTGAAGGGTGCATGTTTAATGGGCAATATAAAAATGGTCAATTTGAACAGTTTGGACTGCGAGTACGGATTTAGAAATTTAATTTGGCTCTTTTATACTCCCAGCTGTGCAAAGAATAGCTTTATGAGGCCGGATAACTATCACAGTGAATTTGTGCAATTCCTGTGTTATATGCTGTTGAACTGTGCGGCATTTTCCAGCTAATGAACTTTGTTCGTGAAACAGTCGCATTTGATAGCTATTGCGCTCAAGCATGATTTTCTTGTACAGTCTTTTCAAATGGTTAATGACGGTAAGCATAAAAACTTGTGAGATTGTTCATGATGGTCTGTCCAAAGAGTCATTTTCTTTGTAAAATTCGATGTGTAAAAACTGCAAGCATGAATCTGTATATTTAGTATAAAGCAGCTTATGATATCAGGAGTTGACTAAGCTAAGGAATGTTAATTTCTGCCGCTGTTGATTTTTGCGATTGTGATTACGCTTAAACTCGCGCTTGCGCCCTGGATCGCAATGTGGTTATTTCCAGTGTAGAGATCCAAGTCCCCATGAATAGCTGCTGCTGCTGATTCGCCTCATGTCCCACGAGTTTAACATTAGAGGGATTTAGAGTTTACGGCAAACGTCAGATTGAAGTTGACAAATTCTCAAAATAGGGGATAAGCAGATTTAAACACCCTAAAACAATTGTTAATGATAAACTGGCGTGAATTTACTGGGTTTTTTTTCAATTATAATGAACAGTAAACGAAAAGTATAGGAAAAATTGGTCACTTACCATTTACCACGTACCGTTTAACGTTTTTAGAACTGGTCGTTATAAAGGTTATTCAGGAACACGAACATAAAAATCATGTATAAAATTTTTTGTTGGCATATTTTGTTTAGGAGTGCAAAACTGCTAGGCAAACCACTGCTCAGGGTAGCTAACGGTGTTTCCTTGACGATAGTGTAATTGATAAGAAGGAAAAGGTATAGTGGCGCCACTCGGTTGCGTTTGAGAACAATGAAATAATTCAAACAAAAAATAGACCCTGAGCGGTCGTCCTTCTTTCCTCGGAGCCTCGTGCGGCGATCAAAAAAGTGAAATTATGCAAATCATGTTAAAAAGGAGGAGAAATTGGGGCAGAGCTTGGGCGGAGAGAGTCCTTTTTCCTCTTGACACGGGCTCCGCCCTCGTTCCTCGCGACTTCGCCGCTCACCCCAGTTCTCGATCAAATAAGAGACTGCTCTCAGTCTAAAACAAATGTACGCACGCGAGTTTTGGTGACCTGAGATACTTGTTTATTCAAAGTGATACAAAGACTGAATTATATTAAAGAAACTTTCTGGCCTTTTCAATGCAAGATTTTATTTTATCTCATTCTTACAAATCCCTTATCCTAGATTTACTTTTTAACCGCTCTTTAGCAAGAATCAACAGTTTCTTATTTGCATGTTGAGGCCGTTTGAAGGTTGTTTCTGCGTACCGCAGAACTTATTGAATCAAGATGTATCCCATCGCTTTAATCTGCTGGTCGCCATTATCTCCCCCGACTATAGCGTCGTTGACACACGTGTTGAAGTCATTAGGGTTTCCTCCGGTGCCAAACCCGATCCTGGAGTCGCAGCTGTTACAATCATTTTGATTGTTACTAATGATAGTTTGGAAAGGTTGGTATCGGTACCAATTGCGTTGAATCCCTCTTTGTTACAGTTAGGTTGTAAAGAGGCCCGAGACCCAATGAGCTTCTTCCACGTGTCACGGCCCAGATCGGTATTTACCATCTGCGATCAGTGAATACAGGGATCTGGCTTGATGGTTGATGACAACAGACTTGAACTGCGAACCGATCTTCATTCCAAGACAGATCTTGTTAAACGGTGTGTTCCAATAAGTCGGTAACTTGGTCTCGTGAGTGTCCAACCCAGTCTTCCCTCCTAAGAGGTTGAAGTTGACTTTGTTGCTCCACAGTTTAGAATTGTAGTGAAATGTTTTCTGGAAAAAAAAATCAGTTGACTCATTTATTTAGAGTAATAAATATAAAGTACTATCTTCTATTTAACTTGTAATTCCATTTAATATTGTAAGTTTACCTTTATATTCGGAATTAGGTTGATGACAAACGTGGCAACTTGTGAGAACATTTATATTTTAATACCTTTGAGCCATCGATCTTCATGACCAGCGTCCATCCACCTCTTCTGCATACATCAAGTTCATGTTTGGTCATGTGACAGTATAGGGGAATCTTTGCAGATCCAACGTCACGTAACGACGCTTTATTTTCACTAGACCTGTTATAAAATACCTCTTCATTGATTAATCCCAGTTGGAGATATTTCACTCTTTTGAGTCTATAAAAAGGCTGTTAAAGTTAGTACGCCATGGAAATTCGCAACTCGTGAAAGAAATCTGTCTCATCACATACCCAAAGGTTGGTCGAAATTGAATAATATGTCGATAAACATTCTTCCTTAACCACATATTTCTGATAATTGCTTAATCCTCTTAAGTTGGTGATTCATAAACTATTCTTCCAGCTCAAGCGTTTCGTAAATTGTCTGAGTTTTCTCTTTTTTGTTGAGCATGTCTACTTACAAATTTAGTTTAATGGATTGTTATTATTATTATTTTCTTATCGTTATTTTAGTTCATTTGTCACCATAAATGTACCAATTTTCACTTTTTATTTTCTAAAATACTGAAGAAAATTAAGAAGCAACTCTCTTTGTTTTTTTGTTTGTGACCCTAAAGACTAGTCTCTTAAAAATCTACTCACAATTTCAATATTTAGTTTTCGTTTACATCTCTTGTTTCGGTTTTAGCTTTATGGATGGCACTGAAGGAACATTACTGAAACCCACAATGGTAATGTTCCATAATATTGAAGCATTCTTTAGATTTCGTCTTCCTTAGCTAGTTAGATTTACGTACTTCTACTCGATAACCTGTTCGTTTTTTAGTAAACAGTTTTTGTTATGACTGTATGTAGACCTTGTGCTGTTGAGTAAAAAACACATGTACATTATTTGTCCTTTAGTCAACTTGGGTCGTATTTTTTATCTTTAACACGCAATAGTACAGTTTACTTTTCATTTGGTATTCGTTTGAGGTGATGCCATTTTACATCTGTTTGCCAGATATGTTATAGAAATCTCGTTTAAATTTGTGGAAGATGGAAACTGTGTTTACGACTGCAGTTGACTAACGTGCAATTAAAATTTAAAAAATTAGAGTATCCTTTTTCTCATATACTTACAAGTTCTTGGCATAGATTTCCTTGCACGTTGAAGCTGTGGGACCGAAAATAAAACGATATATTTAAAGCGGGTTATTTTTAAAAAGAAGACGTTCAACAACATTCTGTTAGAAACACTTTGAGATACGAGGTATTTTTCGTGGTTTGCATTCAGGTCAATGACTCCTGAAGTCTCGAACTATTTGATAATAAATTAAATTCATCTCAAAACGCTGTTCAGAGAATCTCCTATACCGTTAGAAGAAGAAGGCTGTAGCATTTCAATTATCTGATCCAATTTTTTATCGATTTTTTTGATTGCTTGGGTTGTTTCAGAGTTATGTCCGTTGTACAGGTTGCAGACAAGTGTTTTGTCATCGGTACTTTTCGTTCCATTCGTTGCATTTGCCGTGAGCAACAGAGAAAAAGCTAAAATGAACCAAAATCTCATCTTTCGACTAATGTTTGCTGTGTTGAAGCGTTTGTTATCGAGTAAACTACAATATTCTGTACTGTTCCTTGAACCGGAATACTTTTGCTCGATCACAATGCTGTCTCTTTTTTCAGTTTAGTTTTGACTCGTATTAAAGACAAGAAAATTTTCCAGTCGAAATATTGATTAATTAATTGCGTGGTTCATCATGCCCGGTTAAACACGGCGGTGAAATCTAAACAATATTAAAGCGCCAGCAGTTTGAAAGGTACATATGTGATAATGTTCACGAAGAGCTGTTGAATTCTTTGGAAGTAACTTATAGAGATAAAAAAAAGTTATGGTTAAAGACACACACCGTGCTTTTGTATATATTTTGACAATAGCATAAGGCTCTGTCAAGAGCCATAATGGCCTTTGGCTCTGTACAGTGCCTTTTATTGTTCCTTTACTTATAAAGACAAAGCAAAAAAACAACAAAAAATCGTAAAACGACAAGTGACTTCAAGGTTTGAAATAGGGAAGTTAAGGGTCTCGACGGTTTACAAAGCAAGTCGTGAGTTATTTTGTAATTATTGTTTCTGTTAAAGACGTCAATTTAACGGCGTCATGTTTTGTTTTTGTTGGAAGTCAGATTTTCTCGAATGCGGCTGTCTCTTGCTCTTTCTAAAATCACTACATGGTTGACTGGATGGAAAGACTTAAGCTCTCGTTGGGGCGGGGGTTGGGAGGGGGGGCTCCGGTAAGAGGAAAAGGAGAGACCTCGTTTACCCATACCTCTGCCCCTCATCCCTGATAGCTTGCTGGCAATCTAGACAGTTATAAGAGGGAAAGAGAAAACAAGAAAAAGAAAGGGATAGAGGCAATATGAAAACAGTTTGGACTATGCATACGGATTTAGATTGGCACCATGCCATTACGTTCTTGTGGATAATTATCATATTAAACTGATAGTTCAATAAATGTGTTATTTGCGGTTGAGCTGTACAGAGGGTCGTATAGGGTAGTTGGGGGGGGGGGGAGTCTCTCGCACGGTTCACGAACAGAAAAAAACAGCGAATCACGGATCACGGCTATCAAAATTTCATGTACAGGTTTGTCCCACTTGTAAAATTTGCAGAGAAATAAGTCGCCTTCTGTAGCTTGAAAACAAACCAAAAAAACTAACAAGTACACCGTATTTAATAGCGCATGCGCTCAGCCAAGATTTCCTTTTCTTTTTTTATCTAGTTAGTAAAGATAAGCATGAAATCTAGTGGGTTTTTTTTCTATTGCCTGTGTCGCACAGGCATTTTCTCTGTGTAAAAACTACCGTCATGAGCTTGTATTTTTAGTTTAGAGCTACTGATGATATCAGGAATTGTTTGATTTCTTTGTCACTGACTCACTTTTTGCAAATTGACCAACCCGAATCCACCGGCATTAGTTATGTCAAGTTCTCGATGTAGGTACGCGTGGTAGTATTTAAAATTAATAAAAACATGCAAAAGGTTCAGTTAAGGGGCACACCATAAATGAGTGATTGTTAAGCTTAAGTTCGCTTTAAAGATTTTTAGACCTTTGTGATAACAATGTGGTCATTCACAGGGTTGGGATCCACGTCCCCTTGAAGAGTTGCTTTGTGGTATTTCGAGTTTAACATTGTCTAAGACAATATGATGGTTACATTCTTAGAAGAGGTTACGGACGTTGGAATTGTGGTCAGACATTTATTTCGAAAATCAGAAAGTCTTTTTATGCTTGGAAATCAGGGAGTGTGATTATTCATTAAACGGCTGCCACCACCGATGCAGAGGATTGTTGACACTCTTGCTTTAAGGTATTTAAGGAAGATTTCTTTTCAATACACCGACGTCGACAAAGGAGTCTAGTGTAAATGTCAACCCGTTTATATAAAGTAGTGTACACCGGACGGTGTACTTCCTTGTAAATATGAGAATCTAGGTTAGCAGGTGAGAATAATGTGCGAATCTCTCACCTTTTAGTAGATTAGCTCTCCTATCGACGGACTTAATAAAATCTGATCAAGCTGAGAAACACCGAGAACAGTGATTCATACTAGAAGGGGAGTGTTAAATGTTTGGTCATGGATATTGTTTCTGTGAGGTGGAAAGGAAGAGGTCTCCCTATGTTAGTTGTTCACCTTCCATTGAAGTATAGCTTTTATACTATTTTAATACAACGCTTTTTTTGCGGGTTGGCCAAATGTTACTTTTTGAACCGAAATGTGTCGAAACTCTTTATTTCTCATTGATTTCATTGGAACCCTAAATGTCGCAGCCCTTTTGTTTTCGCGCTATGTTCCATTCTTGAATAGGTTTGTACGGTAATTTTTTTTTCAGCGAATCGTGTGAGGCTTTGTTACGTACGGCATTGATTGGCCTTTTTTTTTCCCCGAATTCTTGCTGATTCCTGTTACCTTGTAACCGTCAATTATCATGAAAAGTTAATGACGTTGACACAAGGTTGACCAAAATCCAAGTTATTCAATTACTCGTTATTATTACAAGTTATTCAGTTATTCGTCTTTGTTGGCTTAGTGCAAAGTTGTATTTCATCCCAGTCTTACAAAGTCCCTTATTCTAGATTCACTTTTTAATCCGCTTTTTTACAGCAATCAACAGTTACTTAGTTCCATTTCATTAAGGCTGTTTGAAGGCTGTTTCTTCGTATTACAACTGTTATTGAACCAAGATGTATCCCATAGCTTTCATGCTCTGGTCGCCATTATCTGTTTCGTCTTTATCAGCTTCGTTACCACATGTATTGGAGTCATTAGGATACCCTCCAGTGCCAAACCCGATCCTGGAGTCACAGCTGTTACAGTCATTTTCTCTGTTGCTATAGATACCAATTCTCGCTTTGCTGTGTCGGCTAGAACTCAGTACGTTGAATCCTTCCTTGTTGCAATTGGGTTGTAAAGAGGCCCGAGACCCAATGAGCTTCTTCCACGTGTTACGGCCCAGTGAAGTAGCTCGGTATTTGCCATCTGCGATCAGTGAATACAGGGATCTGGCTTGATGGTTGATGACAACAGAGGAGAACTTGTGACCAACCCTCATTCCAAGACAGATCTTGTTAAACGGTGTGTTCCAATAAGTCGGTAACTTGGTCTCGCGAGTGTCCAACCCAGTCTTCCCTCCTGGAAGATTGAAGTCGACTGTGTTGCTCCAGAGATTGGAATTGTAGTGAAAGGTTTTCTGGGTGCATTTGAAAAAGAAAAACACCATTTATATAAATTACTATCGCTTTGCAGTTTTATCTTTTCGACAAATAGGGTACAGTCACATCTTGTTGTTTACTAATTTTGTCCTCGGATATTATTCTCTTAGTACCTTGTCTAGTACTCATGACTTATAGTGAATTGATACATCATTGAGCTAACTCTTTTTAAACCTACACGTACTAGATTCCCTTCCCCCTCCCCCCTCGGCTTAGACTCTTGACTTGCACTGTAAGTTATCGTTTATAGTGGGAATTAGAAGGTGCCAGTTCAAATTACTTGTGAGAATATTTAACGTTTGATACCTTTGAGCCATCGATCTTCATGACCAGCGTCCATCCACCTCCTCCGCATGCATCAAGCAGATGTTTGGTCATGTGACAATATACGGGAATCTTTCTGGATCCAACATCAAGCAAATATGCTTTGTTTCCTTTGGACCTGATGAAACATACAACTTCATTGGTTCACCTCAGCATGCGTGATATTTCGCTTATTTGGGATTGGAGAAGGCTGTCTTATTAAGGGCGCAATGGCAATTGAGAGCTTTCCCGAAAAGAAATTATCTGCCCTATGGAGAAGACATCATATGGGCTGTGAAGAAATCGCAAGGTTTGGTCGACTGTAAATAATTTGAGAATTTTGATTAACGTTGTCATTACTGACTTTGTCCACGGGCAGAACTCCTCTTTACCGTCTCTTTTGCCTTCTCGTCTCATTATTTTTTAGCGCGCCGGCGTCGCGCCTAACTTAACTATCCTTCCAGCTTGGGCCTAAATTCACTGAGTTTTCTTATTTCGTGCCCTTTTTCTCCCAACACTAGTGATCGGTATTTTAGTTTATTTTTACCCATAATATAATAATAATTTCCACAATTTTATTCTGTTTTTGTTTGCTATCTTGAAGTCTAGATTCTTAAAGACATGTGATGTATTTCAAGATTTATTTTAGTGTTTTTATAATTTTTTTGATATCTAACGTTCTAATGTTTACCCAGTAACTTTAGTTTTTGTTAAAACAATTTTCGTGATTATTTGATATAATCCTTGTGCTGTCAAGCCAAAACAAAGTGTAGATCATTTGAACTTGGTGGATCTCAATTCTCTCCGTTTTTTTTTTCAACACGCAATAGTGCACGTCATTTCAGCATACTCGCGTCTTGGAAATTTTGTTTTGTCTCGACTGATGAAGGAAAGTAGATTTTTTCGATAATATTTTTTGGCTTAGCTTCGTGTCTACAAAGGAGAAAAGTGCTTCGGAGTATGAAGTGGAATAGTGTATCGTAAATCTTCTATATACGTACAATTTCTTGTCGTAAATCTCCTTGCATGTTGTAGCTGTTGAGAATAAGAAAATGATATTAGCCATATCAAGACCACGTACAAGGAACATTTTAAAACTGATTCCAAGACGGCCGTTGATTAGTTAACACGTTTACATTATTGTAGGCGACACTGAAAGGACCCTATCTCAATGATACCGTGAGCATTAAGTTTTATGTTTTAGTTTACCACACCGTCGCAGGGGCGGATCTAGGGGGAGGGTGCAGGGGGTGCGCACCCCCCCCTCCCCCCGAGATGACCTGCGGTTTTCTAATACAACTGGTATTCCGCAACAAAAAAAAACTATGTGGTTTATTGGTGTTGAAGTAGAGCAAGAGACGAGTGCACCCCCTCCTAAAAAAAATCCTGGATCCGCCCCTGCGTCGGCTTCCTTAAATTGCTTATGCATTACTACTAATTCAGCCAAAAATATATAAAGGCAAGAACCAAAAACTTTCTAAGGCGAATTGCAAAATGTCTTCGTCACTAGTCAAATTGAATGTCCTCACATTTCAGTGAGTGTGAGTAAGGTTAGAATCTTTTTAGTTTTACGACAAAATAAATAGGAAACTGCATTGTGTGTCAGAATGAATTGTGGAGAAAACGTTCTTACCTGGAGTAGGATTTGCTGGAGTAGAAGGCTGTAGCAGTTTAATTAGCTGGTCTAATTTTTTTGATAGTTTTTCATCAAGTTTCTTGAGAGCCTCGCTAGTTTCAGCGCCCTGTCCAATGTACTGATTGCATACAACTGTCTCACCGTTTTTGTCGGCGCGAACTACATGTGTGTTGCTGGTAATGTTGGCCCCATTCGCTGCGCATTGCGCGAAAATTACAAAGAAAAATGCAGTAAGCCAAAGTTTCATTGCGTTATCTTGGTAAATGGGTGAACTGCACTGCAATATTTCTCCAAAATTCCCTTCAACAGAATAACTCAAACTGTATGAGGTTGTCTCACTTATTGACCTGAGATTCGGCTTGTGGGGAGACTAGAAAATTTTCCAGTAGGGTTGTTAAGTAAATAATTGCCATTCAAAATACTTAAACCGCAGAAAACTAAAGAGGTGCTATGTAAAAAACTTATCAAATATTTTTTAGAAAGAAAGAAGTTATAAAAAAGATTAGTATTTCCTTGCAGTAACTCTTAGAAATCAAAGTGCGACGGCCAACAGAATGCCTTTTATTTTACTGCCCCGCTGCTTGAGTTTGTTTTTCTTTAATAATGCGCTGAAGGCGAGTAAGTTAACTGTCGTGAATATTTTACAGAGCTTGAAGTATATTTCAAAGTTGTTAAAAAAAACGTCGACGTTATTATATGTTAATCCCAGGAAAAAATGCACATTGTAACAGCTGAAATTGTATCACTGCGCTCTGTTTTGAAGACAATTTTGAAATTATACTAATTGGTTTTACATATAATTGTTTGAATCTTTTGTTTGCAAACGTTGACAAGTTAAACATCAAACAAGAAAAGATGAATACCTTGAGGTGGTTCTTTTTCCTGCGGAATTTGAGACCTCAGCTCTTCCCTTTGATTTCGCAACAAGGTTATTCTTCATTTAGTTATTTTTTTTACTTTCGCAAATGCCTTAATTCTCTTCTTTTAGTAGCAACTCTGTTGGAGGCAACTGGTCTTTTTTTAACTTATTCCATCCTGGAGTTAAATGATTCTCGATTCAGACTACCGCATGTCATGCGTGACTGACAGTTTGTAAACTACGTAAAAGATATAAGCCTGGAGGAACTCAACCGAAGTAAGATTGCATAATTCTCTCAGACGGAAGAAGATATTGTTTGTTTTTGATAATTTATCCTACTTTTTCACATAATAAACCTGTTACTACTTTTGGGTTCTGGCGATAAAAAGTTGGACAAGTTAAATGACTGAGTATTCAGTGTATATAATGGTTTATTTTTCCATCAAACTTTATTCTAGCGGGGTCTACATAGGGTGTCTTTTGTTTTAATTACTTTTCTATGCGTTGATGTAAATATAAATAATACTGATTATTTGGGAAGATTACATTCTCTCGTGTTGTTTAACTGTTTTATCTCAGGTGTCGAAAATTTATTCGGGTCATATCTTCTTACTGATTTAAGTAAAAACAAAATAAAACTGTCTACTAGATCTTTTGTTAGTTTACTGCTTTTAAGTTTGTCCGCTTACTTGATCTTTAAAAGTACATGTACGTGATACTTATTACTTAGAGTGTAATAAATCTAAGCAACAGAGATCGCTAGAAACATAAATAACCATCCACCTGGTCCACATCCAACAACAGAGGGTGGGAAAGGAGGCACTGGGTAAAGTTCTCCCCCCCCCAACCCTTTCCCCGGCCCTTCCCCCGCTTTGTTCCTTCAGCCTACTCTCCCCAATGTTCCTTTTCTTTCAAAAAAAAAACGACAAAAAGAACGGTTAAATGCTTTACGCGATTGGTTTACTGAGTCAGCTTACACCCTCGCACTCATTCCTTCCTCTTATATCTTATTCACTCTCTTTGGTGTTGGCGTTTATTGGTATGTGCGTGAGTATCTGTTTGTTTTTCCTGCGGGAAGTTGAATAGAGATCCAGTAGGAGTAAAGGGGCGCCTTCCATTCCGGATATTTTGGTTAGAAATCAAATGGAACGGACCATTTCGGTTCGGTCCGACCGCAATATTTAGGACCAGGTTTGAGGGTGGTCCACTTTGCCGGTCCGCTCATTTCGGTCGGTCGGACCGAAATGTTCCTTTCCATTTGACAAAATTGTTGACCCCAGTACCGCTCTTTTGCATCCTGCTTATGAGAACGATAGACCTCTTCAGCTTGCTTGTTTTGTTTTCCCAGTACAGGTCATGTGTTAATACTCTAGAGAACTGTTTCTTTCAAATCTTGTCTTATTCAAGTGCAAATGTAAGTAAAATTTATGACAAGACAAAGGGTTAAGTTCCCCAGGGACTCTATTGGTAAAACAAAACATACAAGGGGAAGAGGTCTATTACCAAACGCCCGGTGGCTTTGGTCGGGTATGTGCCACCAGAATGTACCGTTCCTTTTGGAACGTGGAATTTCGAATTTTTGTTGAATTGAAAGCGCCCAGGCTGTCACTCAAATTTTCCTTTTAACCATGAAAAAAAAAACACTGAACTTTATTTGTCTAGAATTTTAGTCACGGCTATAAATGGGGTCGTTCCCGTTCTCCAATGTATGCTACCTAGTTGCATTCCTACACAAAAAGATATTAATTCTTGCTCTTCCAATGTCATCGACTCACGTTTTTGAAAAGCCTTTGTTTTGCCCGTCCACGCTAAAACGATAGATCTTTGTTTGATTCAAGATCGAAATCAACTACTGAAAACGAAATTATTCAGGAAAACACAATGATTTATCAGCGAAACCGTGTTCATGGCCTTACGCAAAGGTTTTATTTTATTACTGTCTTTCAAAATCCCTTATTCTAGAGTCTGCTTTAAAACTATTAGTTAACAGCAATTTACAGTTCCTAAGTTGCCTTAAAGCCCTTTTGAAGACTGTTTCTGCGTATTATGGCCCTTACTGGACTAAAATGTATCCCATCGCTTTGATGTGCTGGTCGCCGTTATCTGCGGCTATAGCTTCGTTGCCACACGTGTTGGAGTCATCGTGATACCCTCCAGTGCCAAACCCGATCCTGGAGTCACAGCTGCTACAGTCATTTTCGTTGTTTCCAATGAAACCAATTCTTGCTTTGGAGGCTTTGCTTTCGGTACCAATTGCGTTGAATCCTTCCTTGTTACAGTTGGTCTCTAACGAGGCCCGAGACCCAATGAGCTTCTTCCACGTGTTACGGCCCAGTGAAGTAGCTCGGTATTTGCCATCTGCGATCAGTGAATACAAGGATCTGGCTTGATGGATGATGACAACAGACTTGAACTGCTGACCGATCTTCATTCCAAGACAGATCTTGTTAAACGGTGTGTTCCAATAAGTCGGTAACTTGGTCTCGTGAGCGTCCAACCCAGTCTTCCCTGCTGGAAGGTTGAAGTCCACTTTGTTGCTCCAGAGATTGGAATTGTAGTGAAAGGTTTTCTGGGTAAATTTGAAAAAGAGAAACATCATTTATATAACTTACTATCGCTTTGATGTTTTATCTATTCGACACATATGGTACAGTTACATTTTGTTGTTTACTAATCTTGCCCTCTGATTTTATTCTCTTAGTTCCTTGTCTGGTACTCGTGACTTAAAATGAATTGATACATCATTGCGCTAACTCTTTTTCAACCTACACGTACTAGAATTCCTTTTTCCTCTTAGCTTAGACTCTTGACTTGCATTGTAAGTTATCGTTTATAATAGGAATAAGAAGGTGCCAGTTCAAACTAATTGTGAGAACATTCAACGTTTGATACCTTTGAGCCATCGATCTTCGTGACCAGCGTCCATCCACCTCCTCCGCATGCATCAAGCATATGCTTGGTCATGTGACAATATACGGGAATCTTTCTGGATCCAACATCAAGCAAATACGCTTTGTTTCCTTTGGACCTGATAAAACATGCAACTTCATTGGTTCACCTCATCCTGGGATATTTCGCTTATATGGGATTAGAGAAGGCTGTCTTAATAAGGGCGCTATGGCAATTGAGAATTTCCGAAAAGAAATTATCTGCCTTGTCAAAGAGACATCATATGAGCTGTGAAGGAATCGCAAGGTTTGATTTGACAATTTGATTAACGTTGTCATTATTGACTTTTTCGATTGGCAGAACTGTTTTTTACCGTCAGTTTTGCTTTTTCGTCTTATTACTTTTTCGTCAACTTCTGGTGTCGCGCCTAACTTAACTATCCTTCCAGCTTGAGCGTAAATTCACTGAGTTCTTATATTTCGTGGCTTTTTTCTCCCAAGGAACACTAGTGATCGGTGTTTTAGTTTATTTTTACACATAATACTGGATCGATTCCCGCCCTTTGTCATCTTAATCTTAAAATGTTAGACAAAAATTAAGAACCAATTCAAAGGGGACAGATAGCAAATTTTTGTTGCTGTAAATGTATATTAGGTCGTGACTGTTCATCAGTGGGATGCCTGAAATGTTTCCATTTCCACAATTTTATTCTGTTTTTGTTTGCTATCTTGAAGTCTAGACATATACTGTATTTCAAGATTTATTTAAGTGCTGTTATAGTTTTTATATCTAATGTTCTAATGTTTACCCAGTAACTTTAGTTTTTGGTGAAACGATTTTCGTGATTATTTGATATAATCCTTGTGCGTCGAGCCAAAAACAAAGTGTAGATCATTTGCCTGTTGTGGATCTTAATTCTCTCCGTTTTTTTCAACACACAATAGTACACGTCAGTTTCAGTATACTCGCGCCTTGGAAATTTCGATTGATGAAGGAAAGCAGATTTTCGCGATAATATTTTATGGCTTAGCTTCGTGTCTACAAAGGAGAAAAGTGCGTCGGAAAATGAAGTGGAATAGTGTATCGTAAATCTTCTATATACGTACAATTTCTTGTTGTAAATCTCCTTGCACGTTGTAGCTGTTGAGAATTAGAAAATGATATTAGCCATATCAAGACCACGTACAACGAACGATTTAACACTGAATGCAAGACGGCAGTTAATTAATTAACGCGTTTACATTATTGTGGGCGACACTGAAAGGACCCTATCTCAATGATACCGCGAGCACTAAGTTTTATGTTTTAGTTTACCACACCGTCGGCTTCCTTAAATTGCGTATGCATTACTACTAATTCAGCCAAAAATATATGAAGGCAAGAACCAAAAACTTTCTAAGCCGAATTGCAAAATGTCTTTGTCACTAGTCAAATTGAATGTCCTCACATTTCAGCGAGTGTGAGTAAGGTTAGAATCTTTTTAGTTTCATGACAAAATAAATAAGAAACTGCACTGTGAGTTAGAACGAATTGTGGAAAAAACGTTCTTACCTGGAGTAGGAGAAGGCTGTAGCAGTTTAATTAGCTGGTCTAATTTTTTTGATAGTTTTTCATCAAGGTTCTTGATAGCCTCGCGAGTTTCAGCGCCCTGTCCAATGTACTGATTGCATACTACCGTACCACCATTTTTGTCGGCGCGAACTATGTGTGTGTTGTTAATGCTGGCCCCATTCGCTACGCATTGCGCGAAAGTTACAAAGAAAAATGCAGTAAGCCAAAGTCTCATTGCGGTTACTTGGTAAGTGGGTGAACTGCACTGCAATATTTCTCCAAAAAATTTCCTTTAACAGATTAACTCGTGCTATATGAGGTTGTCTCATTTATTGACCCTGGTTTGTAGATAGACAAGGAAATTTTCCGGTAGGGTTATTAAGTAAATAATTTCCATTCAAAACACATTAACTGGTGAAAACTAATGAGGTGCTGTCTAAAAAATAATACTGATAAAATATTTCTTAGAAAGAAAGAAGTTGTAAAGAAAAATTAGTATTTCCTTGCAGTAACTCCTAGAAATCAAAGTGCGACGGCCAACAGACTGCCCCGCTCCTTAATTTTTTTTTTCTTTAATAATGTGCCGAAGGCGAGTAATTATAAGTTAACTGTCGTGAATATTTACAGAGCTTGAAGTATATTTCAAAGTTGTTGCAAAAAAAAACGTCGACGTTATTATATGTTAATCCCAGGAAAAAATGCACATTGTAACAGCTGAAATTGTATCCACTGCGCTCTGCTTTGAAGACAATTTTGAAATTATACTAGTTGGTTTTACATATAATTGTTTGAATCTTTTATTTACAAACGTTGACAAGTTAAACATCAAACAAGAAAAGATGAATACCTTGAGGTGTTTTTTTCCTGCGGAATTTGAGACCTCTTCACTTTGATTTCGCAACAAGGTTATTCTTCATTTAGTTATTTTTTTTACTTTCGCAAATGCCTTAATTCTCTTCTTTTAGTAGCAACTCTGTTGGAGGCAACTGGTCTTTTTTTTAACTTATTCCATCCTGGAGTTAAATGATTCTCGATTCAGACTACCGCATGTCATGCGTGACTGACAGTTTGTAAACTATATAAAAGACATAAGCCTGGAGGAACTCAACCGAAGTAAGATTGCATAATTCTCTCAGACGGAAGAAGATAATGTTTGTTTTTGATAATTTATCCTACTTTTTCACATAGTAAACCTGTTACTAATTTTGGGCTCTGGCGATAAAAAGTTGGACAAGTTAAATGACTGAGTATTCAGTTTATATAATGGCTTATTTTTCCATCAAACTTTATTCTAGCAGGGTCTACATAGGGTGTCTTTTGTTTTAATTACATTTCTATGCGTTCGTGTAAATATAAATAATACTGATTATTTGGGAAGATTACACTCTCTCGTGTTGTTTAACTGTTTTATCTCAGGTGTCGAAAATTTATTCGGGTTATATCTTCTTACTGATTTAAGTCAAAACAAAATTAAACTGTCAGCTGAATGTTTTGTTAGTTTTACTGCTTTTAAGTTTGTCCGCTTACTTGATCTTTAAAAGTACATGTACGTGATACTTAATACTTAGAGTGTAATAATTCTAAGCAGTAGAGATCGCTAGAAACATAAATAACCATCCACCTGGTCCACATCCAATAACAGAGGGTGGGAAAGGAGGCACTGGGTAAAGTTTCCCCCCCCCCAACCCTTTAAATTCCTTCAGCCTTTTCAGAAACAAACGACAAAGAGAACGGTTAAATGCTTTACAGGATTGGTTTACTGAATCAGCTTGCTCTCTGGCAGTCATTCCTTCCTCTTATATCTTATTCACTCTCTTTGGTGTGGGCGTTAATTGGTATCTTCGTGAGTGTTTGTTTGTTTTTCCTGTGGGAAATTGAAAGGAGATCCTCTCATTTCGGTCGGTCGGACCGAAATGTCCCTTTTCATTTGACAAAATTGTTTTCTCCAGCTCCGCTCTTTTGCGTTCTGCTTACAAGTATAATAACCAAATCCGCGGTGGCTTGGGTCGGGTCTGTGCAACCGGAATATACCGTTCCACTGGGCGCGTGGAATTTTCGAAATTTCAAACCGGAATTTTTATGGAATGGAAAGGGCCCAGGCTGTCACTCAAATTTTCCTTTTAACGATGCAAAGAAAAACCACTGAACTTTATTTGTCGAGAATTTCAGTGATATAGATCGGATCGTTCTCGTTGTCGAATGTATGCTACCTTGTATTCCTACACAAAAACATATTGATTCTTGCTCTTTCAATGTCATGTACTCACATTTTTGAAAACCCTTCGTTTTGCCCGTCCACGCTAAAACGATGGATCTCCGTTTAATTCAAGATCGAAATTACTACGAAACTACTACGAAATTATTGAGGAAAACACACTGATTTATCAGCGAAACCGTCTTCATGGCCTTACGCAAAGGTTTTATTTTATCACAATCTTACAAAATCCTTTATTCTAGGTTCTACTTTAAAACTTCTTGTTAACAGCAATTTACGTTTTCTAAGTTGCTTTTATGTCCAGTGAAGACTGTTTCTGCGTATTATGGCCCTTATTGGACTAAGATGTATCCCATCGCTTTGATGTGCTGTGCGCCATCGTTGCCACACGTGTTGGAGTTCATCGTGATACCCTCCAATGCCAAACCCGATCCTGGAGTCACAGTTGCTGCAATCGTCCTCTTTGTTTCCAAGGATACCAATCCTTGCTTTAGACCAGTCCTTGTAGGTACAAACTACATTGAATCCTTCCTTGTTACAGTTGGGTTGTAAAGAGGCCCGAGACCCAAGGAGCTTCTTCCACGTGTTACGACCCAGTGAAGTAGCTCGGTATTTTCCATCTGCGAACAGTGAATAGAGGGATCTGGCTTGATGGTTGATGACAACAGACTTGAACTGCTGACCGATCTTCATTCCAATACAGATCTTGTTAAACGGCGTGTTCCAATAGATCGGTAACTTGGTTTCGTGAGTATCCAACCCAGTCTTCCCTCCTGGAAGATTAAAGTCGACTTTGTTGCTCCAAAGTTGAGATCTTGTAGTGAAATGTTTTCTGAAAAAAAAACAAAAAAAAAACGGTTAACTCATTTAGAAAGAGTACTATCACTTTGCTGTTTTCTCTGTTTGAGAAATATGATACAGTCTCGCCTCGGTTTTCACTGGTCTTGTTGCCAAGTCCTCACATATTATTCTGTTCTTACTTTGTCTGTTACTACTTACAATGAATTGAGTTAAAACTTTTCAAACCTACACGTAATAGATTCCCTTTCTTTCATTTGACGTGGACTCGTGACTTACATTGTAAGTTCACCTTTATATTGGGAATTAGGTGATGACAAACGTGGAAACTTGTGAGAACATTTAACTTTTAATAGCTTTGAGCCATTGATCTTCATGACCAGCGTCCATCCACCTCCTCCGTATGCATCAAGCCCATACTTGGTCATGTGACAGTATACAGGAATTTTTGCAGATCAAACATCAAGCAAATACGCTTTATTTTCACTGGACCTGTTAAAACATACCACTTTATTGATTACTCCAAGTTTGTTTGTTTGTTTGTTTCTGTTGAAGTTAGGACGCCATGGAAATTCAGAATTCTCATAAAAGAAATCTGTCTTATCAGATAAGCAATGTTTGGTCGAAATTGAATAATATTATAAAACATCCACGGGCGTTGTTATTGCTGACTTTGTCGATAAGGAGGACTCTTCTTTACCGCCATATATATAATAAATTACTCAATCTTCTTACGTTAGTGATTCGTAAACTATATCTTTTCAGCTTGATCATTTCGTAAATTGTCTGAATTTTTCAGTCTTTTTTATATATTCTTTTAACTATTTTTTCTTATTGTTTCCTTAACATTTTCTTATCGGTATTTTAGTTCATTTGTAACCATTAATGCACCAATTTTCACTTTTTATTTTCTAAAATACTGAAGAAAATTTACAAGCAATTCTCTGTGTTTTTCGTTTGTAAACTTAAACACTAGTCTCTTAAATGTCTACTCTAAATTTCAAGATTTAGTGTTGAGGGCTTTTCAGTAGCGCTGCAATGTTCGCTTACATCATGACTTATTTCGTTTTTTGTGGTTGGAAATGAAGGAACATTACTGAAATCCAAATAGTAATTTTCCATAGTATAGATCGTTTTCACTGTCACGCAACAAAAAAATAAATTGAAAACCGTCCAGTGGAAGAAGCCAAGAAAACGATATGTTATAAAAGACTAATTTTTAAACAATTTGTCCAAGTCTCAGGTCTTTTTGGCCCACAGTTTCTGAGTTATTTGCCGAAACGTTTCACGCATCTTTGTAGAGCTTTGTATGGAGACGCCATATTGGTGCACAGTTTTGGTGCACCAATATGGCCGCCGAAAACCAACAAAAACATCAGGAGTTCACTTGTTCTATAAAAGCTCCTTCTTTTCACTCGAGAACTAGCATACGTACGCATAAACATATCTTCTAATACTTGAAAAGGTTATACTGCTGAAAATCAAGAGAAGAGACTTTTTTCAACGAGACAACATTCCTATTTTGGTGTCACGCACTCTGAAAACTCGGAAGTTCAAATTGCTGTATTTTCGAAATGAAACATACTATGGGACTGAAAACTTGTACAAAGATTAACTTTTTGTTTATCTTCAACCTAGTGTAAATAAGAATTCGTAAAACCTCGCTATTTTGACTTTACAATTTGATGACGTCACTGTGAAAACCATCTATTGAAGCATTCTCTAGATTTCCTCTACCTAGCTAGCTACATAAATTTACGTACTCAGTTTACTCTGTAACCAGTTTGTTTTTCTGTACTGAAATACTTTTTGTTATCAATGGGTCCAGACCTTGTGCTGTTGAGTCAAAAACAAATGTGCATTCTTGGTCCTCTAGTTCTTGAGCTTATCTTAAACACGTGATACGACACGTTCTATTTCACCTGGTATTCTTTTTTTGGATCTTTTTAAGATTCAATTTAAACGCTTTTATTGTATGGAGTTTCTTTTTGCGTTAATTTGTTGAAAAGTTGGAAACTGTGTTTACGATTGGAGTTAACTTACGTGTAATTAAAATGAGAACAATTAGAGTATCCTTTGTCTCATATACTTATAAGTTCTTGGTATAGATTTCCTTGCACGTTGAAGGTGTCGGACCGAAAATAAAATGATATAAATCGTGTTAGTTGTAAAAAGAAGACTTTCCACACCATTCTGTCGGAGGTACTTTCAGATATGGGATATTTTTCATGGTTTGTATTCAGTTTAATCACTCCTGAAGTCTCGAACTATTTAATCAGATAACGCTGTTCAAAGAATTTCTTACCAGTATTAGGACAAGGCTGTAGCATTTCAATTATCTTATCTAGTTTTTTGTCGATTTTCTTGTCCGTTGTACTGGTTGCAGACAAATGTTTTGCCATCGGTACTTTTCGTTCCATTCGTTGCGTTTGCCGTGAGCAACAGAGAAAAAGCTAAAATGAACCAAACTCTCGTCTTTCGATTAAAGTTTGCTGTATGGAAGCGTTTGTTATCGAGTAAACTACAATATTCTGTAACGTTCCATTAACCGGAATACTTTTACTCCCCAAGGCTGAGTCTCTTTTTTTAGCTTAGTCTTGTCTCGTATTGAAGACAAGAAAATTTTCCAGTCGAAAGATTAATTAAGTAATTACCTGGTCCATCATATCCGTTTAAAATGACGGCGGTGAAATCTCACCTATAAGCGCTAGCAGTGTGAACGCTAAATTTGTAGTAATGTTCAGAGTAGACGAAAATTGTGCTTGAAGGCTCACCCCGTGCTTCTGTATAAATTTTGTCTGTAGCAGACGGCTGTTTATAGCCGTGCCTCAGTTCCTTTACGTATAAAGACAAAGCAGAAATTTCATAGAATGATATATCACTTAAAGCATTGGAAATACGGAAGTTAAGGGTCTCGACCGTTTACAGCTTAAGTCGTGAATTATTTTGAAATTTTTCCTTCATTTAGACAAGTTTTTTTTAACTTCGTTACGTGTTTTTGCTGTAATTGAGAGTTTCTCCAATGAATTTATGGCTTGCTGTTTAATCACTACATGGATGACTGGCTAAGGATACATCAGACATTTGTGTGCTGGAGCAGAGTAGGGAGGGGAGGGTAAGGAGAAACTCTTCTTTTCCCCTGAACCCCGGTCTCCCCGAGAGCTTGCTCACGTGACCTCTGCAGCCAGGATAACCAAGAGAGTGATCGCTCCAATGTTGCGTTACTCTCTGTGGGAATTACCGGGTTTTTCGTACATTTTTAATCGTTTTAAAAAAGCATGAATATATTTGCGGAGAAATATTTTCTCCTGATATTCGTTTATGTGGAGGAAAGAGATGCGACTAAGTAACCTACAGAGGTTGTGTTTCTTATTTATCCATTTAATGTTATCTTTTTTCTGATATTATCACAAATCCGCTTTTATTTTTTATGGCTCTCTGAAATGCAGCTGTTTTGCTGATAATGGCAATTTACCATTTTCACACTACCCATAATACACCTCACTGTATGCCCTCGTAAGGATTTCCTTTGGACGTCTGTTATACCCAGGAAAAATTGAAAACAACGGTTAATATGCAAAACTTTGTAAACTGAAGGGTGTTTAATGGGCAATACAAAAATGGTCAATGTGAACAGTTTGGACCGCGAGTTCCGATTTAGATATTTAATTTGGCTCTTTTACTCCCAGCTATGCAAAGAATAGCTTTCTGAGGCCGGATAACTATGACAGTGAATATGTGCAATTCGTGTGTTATTTGCTGTTGAACTGTTCGTGAAACAGTCGCATTTGATAGCTATTACGCTCAAGCATGATTTATTCGCACAGTCTTTTCGAATGGTTAATGACAGTAAGCATGAAAACCTGTAGGATTAATGGTCTGTCCGAAGAGGCATTCTCTTTGTAAAATTCGATGTGTAAAGACTCCATTCATGAATCTGTATTTTTAGTGTAAAGCAGCTTATGATATCAGAAGTTGACTAAGCTGAAGGAATATTAATTTTTGCCACTGTTGCTTTTTGCGATTGTGACTGAGATCTCGCGCTAAGTGTAACAATGTGGTTATTCCCGGTGTAGAGATCCAAGTCCCCATAAACACCTCCTGCTGGTGATTCGCCTCATGTCCAACGAGTTTAACATTAAAGGGATTTAGAGTTTACGACAAAAAAAAAACGGCAAACGTCAGATTCAAATTGGGAAATTCTCAAAATATCTTAAAACAATTCTTAAGGATAAACTGGCGTGAATTTTCTGGGGTTTTTTTTTGAAGTTACAATGAACAGTAAGCGAAAAGTATAGGAAAACATTGGTCACTTGGTGCAAATTTATGTTTTTATTTTTTCAACGTGTTTCAACCAGTTCACGTGTTTAGAACCGGCCATTGTAAAGGTTATTCAGGAATATGAACATGAAAGTCACGTATATAATTTTTTGTGGGTATATTTTGTTGAGGAGCGCAAAACTGCAAGGCATACCACTGCTTAGGGAAGCTAATGGTGTTCCCTTGACGATAGTGTGATTGATAAGGAGAAAGTATAGTGGCGTCACTCAGTTGCGTTTGAGAACAATGAAATAATTCAAACAAAAACTAGACCCTGAGCGATCGTACTTCTTTCCTCACAGACACGCGCGGCGAGCGAAAAAGTGAAATTATGCAAATGAAGTTAAAAAGCGGGAGAAATTGGGGCAAGCTTGGGCAGAGAGAGTCCTTTTTCCTCTTGGCACGGGCTTCCGCCCTCGTTCCTCACGACTTCGCCGCTCACCCCTGCTCTCGATCTTTTGTGACTCAAAAAGAAAGTGAAGAGACTGTTCTCAGTCTAGCAAAAATGTACGTGCGCGAGTTTTTGTGACCAGAGACGATACTTGTTTACTCTAAGTGATACAGAGACTGAAGCATAATAAAGAAAGAAACTTTCTGGCCTTTTCAATTGAGGATTTTATTTCATCTCATTCTTACAAATCCCTTATTCTAGATTCAATTTTTAACCGATTTCTTAGTTGCATTTAAAGGCCGTTCGTTCTGCGTTCTGCAGAACTTATTGAACCAAGATGTATCCCATAGCTTTGATATGCTGGTCGCCATTATCTGGCCGGGCTGTAGCTTCGTTGCCACACGTGTTGGAGTCATCACCGTACCCTCCAGTGCCGAACCCGATTCTGGAGTCGCAGCTGTTACAATCATTTTGCTCGTTACTAATGATACCAATTCTCGCTTTGCTGTGTGCGGTACTGGCACCTATGGCATTGAATCCCTCTTTGTTACAGTTGGGTTGTAAAGAGGCCCGAGAGCCAATGAGATTCTTCCACGTGTTTCGGCCCAGTGAAGTAGCTCGGTATTTGCCATCTGCGATCAGTGAATACAGGGATCTGGCTTGATGGTTGATGACAACAGACTTGAACTGCTGACCGATCTTCATTCCAAGACAGATCTTGTTAAACGGTGTGTTCCAATAAGTCGGTAACTTGGTCTCGTGAGTGTCCAACCCAGTCTTCCCTCCTGGAAGATTGAAGTCGACTTTGTTGCTCCACAGTTTAGAATTGTAGTGAAAGGTTTTCTGATTGAATTAATAAAGAAAACATCATGTAAGTTATTCAGCTAACGCACTATCGCTTTTCTCCTTTATAATTTGACAAATGTAATATCAGCATATATATCGTGGTCTTCGCTGCATTGATAAATCATCGAGCTAACAGTTATCAAGCCTACACTTACTAGATCCACTGTTACCCTCTTTGTTGACCTTAATAATAGTCTGAATTTAAGTGACAGACCGACAGAACTGCTTGTGATAACATTTAACTTTTGATACCTTTGAGCCATCGATCTTCATCACCAGCGTCCATCCTCCTCCTCCGCATGCGTCAAGCATATGCTTAGTCATGTGACAATATACGGGAATCTTTGCAGAGCCAACATTCAGGAGGTACTCTTTGTTTCTTTTAGACCTGGTAAAAAAAAATAATAATAAAACTTCATTGGTTCACGTCATTCTGAAGTAATTGCCTCATCTGGGGTGATAGAAAGGCTGTCTTAGAAAGTGGAAATCTAAGAATATCGAGTGACGCTGTAATTGCTGACTTTGTCGATAAGCAGAACTCTTTGTTAGCGTCTATATTTTTTCCCCTTGTTTATATTGTCACCAGTCTTTGGAGTCGCTCCTAATTAAACTATAAATTACTCAGTCCTGTTAAGTTGGTGATTCATATACTGTCCTTCATCGGGAGCGTTTTGTTAATTGTCAGTGCTTTCTTTTTTCCTGATTTTTTTTCTCACAAACGTAGTGATTGTTATTTGAGTTTATTTTACCATTTCTGGACCAATGTTTGCTTTTTGTACACTACAATCATCCTAACTGTTGGCCAAGATTGGTTCAGTGTTTTTATGATTTTCAAAACCCTGATTTTGTTCACATAATTTAGCTTATATTCTTTTCAACTTTGTGGTGTCAAAATGAAGGAGCATAAAACCAAAAAAGTATAATTTTTACAGTTTTGATGCATTCGTTACACACTTCTTTTCTTTTCTACATTAATTTACGGTTATTTTGCCCAGAAACTTTCGTTTTTGTGTAACCGGGGATTTTCGTCATCATTCAGTGATATAAACCTTGTGCAGATGAGTCCAAACATGTTTGGATCCTTTGTCCTTTGTGTGTGAATTCTCTTCGTTCTTTTCAATAACGCAAAAGTACACGTCATCTTTTACTCTTGTCTGTAGGGAGCTTGTGGGTTGTGAGTGGAAGCCGATTTTGGCGATATTTTTTTCTGACATAACTCTGTGTTTGCGACGAAAAAAGGTGTTTTGGTGTATCTTTAACCTTCTTTACTTACAGGTTCTTGTCATAAATCTCCTTGCACGTTGAAGCTGTTGAGAATAAGAGAATGATATTAGCTATATCGTACAGGGAACTTTAAAACTGAGACCAATTTTTGCCGTTGATTCAAGACTCGTTTACGGTAAAGAAGACGACAAATAGAGCCCTCTCTCAATAATACCGTGAGCACTGAGTTTTACTTCATTTTTCGCATTTTCGGCTAGTTCCGCGTTAAATTTTTTGTGTCTTGCTACATTTTTAAGAGCAGAAACATCAAGGACAAGAAAAAAAATTTCTTTGTGTTTGGTGAAATTGAGTTATGTTACATTACATTTCATCTTAAATGTGTCATTAGTTTAATCACATCTGTGTGTTAGAACGGAATATAAAAATTCTTAAATTACCTGCATAAGGAGAAGGCTGTAGCAGTTTTATTAGCTGATCGAGCTTTTCATCGAGTTTCTTGATAGCATCGTTAGTTACAGCGCCCTGTCCAATGTACTGATTGCATACAACTGGATCACCATGCCCTTTTTTTGTTGTCTTAGTCCCATTCGCCGCGCATTCCGCGAAAATCACAAGGAATGCTACAAAAAGCAAAAATCTCATTGCGGTAGCCTGGCAATTGGTGAAGTGCAATATTTCTCCAAAGTTTTCTTGAACAGAATGACTCATGCTGTAAGAGGATGTCTAAATTTATTGACCTGAGATTTGGCTGGTAGCGAGACAAGAAAATTTTCCACTCGGATTATTAAGTAAACAGTTGCCATTTAGGTCATTTTTGGTGCTATGTAAAATACTGATAAAAATCTTGTGGAAAGAAAGGTGTCTTTTGCTGATTATTTCAGCCCTGCTGTTAAAATTTGCTTTAAAATATTAGCTGCATGATCAAAGGCGAGTAAGTAAATTTTCGTGAATAACTACAGGGCTTGAAGTTTATTTCTATTTGTTCAACGGAAAAATCGACGACAAAAAGTAGAAACTCTTAAGTTGAAACAGCAGGAATTGTATTCACTACCGTAATACTATGAAGATAATTCTGAAATAATTATACTAAAAGGCTATAATTATAGTTGTCTGTGTTTATTATTTGCAAACTTTGAGGTGCTATTGTTCCTACGGCAGTTGAGACCTCGACTCTTTACTTTCGTAACTAACGTCATTCTTCCTCGACTAATTTTCTTCCTAAATTTTCTAGCCTTTGCAAATGTCTTAGTTACTCTTCAGCAGCCTCTTCAAAGTACCAACCCTGGGTATGATATCTTGTCTTGAAAGACTCTCGAATGTCGTGAGACTTATAAGAGACACTGACAATGAAGAACTCAGCCGAAATGACATTCCATGATAACACGTGGTGAGACAAAATACTGTTTATTTTTTAGGGTATTTGCATTTTGCTTTTCACAGCATAAACCTTGAACATTTTGAGGCCTTGAGCTTAAGGTTGGACGTTTAATCAGTTTAGTACTGTCTGTTGTCTGCTTTAGTACTAATCATGTTTTATTGTTGAATTAACTTTATTGTACAGTGGAACCTCGTTATAACGAAGGACCAAAGGACTGACAAAATTTGTTCGCCTCAACACGGTGTCGTTATATCAAGGTTCTTTTTCATATATTTTACTATTACTGGGTAAAGAAAATCGTTTGTTAAACCGAAGACTTCGTAATATAGAGGTTCGACTGTAGAAGTATTTTATCAACGTGTCGAAACCCTATTTGGCCGATTCCTTCCCCTGTTGTGTGACAGGTCAATTTTCAGCTGAAGCTTTTTTAAAAATCTTTTTTTATCATTTTTCAAGCTTAATGAGTAGTTATGCTGAAATAAGCGCATGCACTTAGTCGCTTGGTTTCTAGAAATTGTAAGACAACCATCCGGCAAACGCGCTTTTAAAAGCTATCTCTGTTTTCCTCAGACAGATCAAAACGTTTTTATAATCGGAAGTAAGTTATTATTGTAAAGTTGGACCTAAATGGCTTGAAATTGTATTGTAAATAAGAAGGTGATTTTGCAAGTTTAATATTCCAATCATGAATAAATTTGAAATCAGTTTAATTGCTTTTTACTATCAGACACCTTTCATGAAGACCTTCACTTTTCTTTTTGTTCTTTGTGTATTAAAACTTTTTTTGAACCGAAACAATCGCTTTTTTCTCGTCAAATTTCATAACGAAGAACAGATAAGAAAAACAAATAAGACGTACAACAAGTTCCATTGCTTTCACTTTTGAACATAATTGTTTTGATTGCGTTTGATATATTTTAATGTGTTTCGACCATTTCTTGATTCGAGATCTGAATGGTTAAAATCGATGTCAGTTTATATATTTGTTGTCGGTAAATTTTCTTGAGTAACACAAATTGCGTGATGTTCAGTTTTTAGGCGAACCACAGTTCAGTGGACGATAGTATAAATATAACAACCTACGTGTATATTGAGAATGAACCGGCGCTATCACGTTGGTTTTTCGAGAGCCGCACAGAAATTTACAGTCCTCCAAGGAGGACATCTTTGCGACCGGCATCAAGTATCCGCCTTAGAGTAATGTCCGTCTTATTGAACGTCAACTAAAAGGAGGAAAGAAAGGCAGAGACCAACTCTAGCTGTCCGTTCTGACGAAGTGTTCGTCTTATTGAGGTGTAGTCGACCGTGAAATTAAATTAAATTACCTTTGATTCATATTTCACAGTTTTTATGGACTGAAGACTTGTTTCAGTTCAGCGCCCCAAATTTTTGATAGCGTCTTTTTTTCTGGAGATGCCAAAATTGATCTGTATGCTTCTTCATCTCATAATATGATTTCGGAACCCATTAAAATGATGGCTTTCCGGCTTGAGTTTTTTGTTCTGAATCGTTCGTTAACCCTCGCTTTGAATTGCTGCCAAGAAGAGTCGAAAGTTTTCAGCTCAAAACTTGCTTTCCGCAAGTCTACAACAACTAGAACCATGTTAAGGTAGAAAGCAAATGTATGATGTGGACTGAAAACCTTTGCTATAAACTTGGTCTGATGACCATTATACTTCAAAGGAATCCTCTCTAGCTTGCAAGCTCTCCAGTGTATTTTGTGTCTTTTATCACAACAGCGACAATTTTATACTTTACTACTCCTCCCATGAGGTAAATCCTTGTTGGCTCCCACATTTTGGGAGCCACGTGACCAGCCACAAACCAGGGTTATTTCTCGAGGCAAGGGAGGGAACTCTGGGAACGAGGTTGATCTGATCCGCTGAGCGCCTGTATTGTGGGCCCTCCATTCGGCGCCATTTCTCGCTATTTGAACGCCTACAACAGGCGAGCATTCAACTACATTAAAAACCAGCGAGTAAAAACCTAGCTTTTAAGAACCTGTCGGGCTAAAATTTGAGATAGGTTCTTATGTTCTAAAATCTCTTTTAAAAATATTGCATACACTTTGACAAATAAGATAAGTCAAACCTCATTTCTACATAAATACTAATTTGGTATGTAAATTTTATATAAGGAATAAGTTGACTTCTACCAAATACTCTCATCTATAATGTATTGTTTTCTTCAGAAAATTTTGAACCTATTTTAGAACCTAAATAGCCCTAATTTTTTTGCTCGTTCTAGTACCATTTATGTAAAGCCCCATGCAAACGGACGCGACATTGTCGGCCAACAACTCCCAACATTGTTGGATGTCATATATTGCGTCCGTTTGCACACTCTGTTGCATGTTGTTGGATGTTGTAGCGCAAAGTTTGGGCCAACAATGTTGGGAGTTGTTGGGCTAACAATGTTAGGAGTTGTTGTATCCGTTTGCACGTAGCTTAAGAACCTGTTTAGGCTAACTTGGAAAAATGCAGGTTCTTACTCGCAGGTTTTTACTGAATCTGTTTTTCAGTCAGTGATTTTTTGAAAGATAAATTAAGAATTTTTGTTTACTTTGGGCACACTTAGGGCTGCGATTGTTGATACGTTTGCTTTTGTATCTTTCAGGCTGTCTATCAAGAGTTGTGTAAAGATTACAAGGTTGAGATGCCTCAAAGTAAACCGCTATCACCAGGAGAGATTCTGGGATGCACTGCTCCAAGGATAAATGACAAAGATGCATTTCTGTAAGATATGACGTTAATACCTGCTGTGTTGAACTATGCAGTGAACGTTGTTAAAGTATAATGACATTTTCCATTTGGTTTGCAATGAATTGTTTTTATCGATGGGTATTGTGTCCGATTTAGACCAGTTAGTGAAATATTAGATTCAATAAGGTCTCTTTTAAAAGTACATTCCATTTGACCGTGTGCCGTTTCAGTTAAAGATCTGCTTGGTAACCTTTAAAACAGGGGTTGATTTAATAAAGCTTTTATAAGTGTAATTTACAAGTGCAGCTATTGTTTTCAGACTCTAACACAATAGCTACACTTGTAAATTACACCTGTATAAAATTGACCCCTGCAGACAAATGACCCCTGAAAGTGAATGCACTTGTATGCAGATTGCAGACATCGATAAGATTTCTATAAAGAATTTTATTTCAAATGTTTATTTTGGCATTTAATTCCTGTAGTTATCTTGGAGACGGGAGGTTTCATTTAGAAGCTGTGATGATTGCTAACCCATCCGTGCCAGCCTACAGGTTGGTATTGGCAGTATACATATCTTTACAGTGTAAGATAATACAAACAGTGGACACAAATAGAGACAAAGTCCGACCATGCATCAGATCCTTTACAGTAGCAAATGTAACGTAACCCATCGGATTAGTTGGCTAAAATGACAAAAGTTTTCTCCTGGCTAGTTTTAGAACGATTTTCGTGTGACCTTGAAAAATGGTGTTCGTTATTTGCTTTACCAGCCAATGGATGATAAGATCAAAACACGGACTCTTCATTTTCCCGCCAAAAAACCCTAATATGGAGAAGGTATTGTTCGATTGTCCAATCGTGTTGCGGTATGACGTCAATGAGAAGTATCCATTGATTTCTAGAAAATTCTCGGGCATTCATTTGAGGGTCACACGAAAATCGCTCTACCTCTCACTGGCAGTTGAAAATGAGAATCCCCAGTGGGTTTCTCAGGATATTGGATTTGCCTTATTTGAAGGCCGGAATTCGGGATTTTAAAGCAAAATAGGGCGATATTCTGGAATGAAAGTATGCAAGGGATGTGGGATGCGGAGAATATTAACCATCAGGATTACGGGATCTAGCGGAAATTTGGGTTGGGATGACGGAATTAATCGGAAATTTGGGTCGAGATTACAGGATTGAGCGGAAATTTGGGTGAAGATGACGGGACTGAATAAGGCTATTGGAGACCTTTTGATAATGTGGGTGGAGACATTTTGGTCAATAGACCTTTCGGGCATTGCGCTGAAAATTTTACACAATATACAAGGCGAAGCCTCGTTTCGACTTACCGCTTTTTTCCGGTTCACCTGCGTGAAAGGTCTATTACACAGCATACAAATTCCAAACAGCAAACGCTCTGTCATGAAAGATATTGTTCATCATAGTATGTGTACAAAGGGTTTTCTTTATCGTTTGTCTGACCGTAGTCCGATCAAAACCCGTCAACCATGAGTGAGGTTCGTGATACGCCAATCAATAGCAACCGTGGTGGTACTAATAGTCCCATTCAGCGGCAAATCGACACTATTCGCCTGATGAAGACCTGCAGTACGCGGTCGAAACGTCTTGATCAATACCTAAGTGATTATCGTGCTTCAAAAGATAAGCAAAGCGTGTTAAACAATCGTTCTGTGAGAACATTATTTATTTTTTTGGATTGGAGGGGGCGTACGAATTCGTGGGGGGTGCTTATTTTCGGGCATTTAGAGTATTAAAAGAGCTAAATTAAACCGATAACAAATTTAAACTACAATCCTTTTCATTTATTTGTTGTTAAATATTTACTTATTTATTCACTTATTTATATTTTCCCTCTATTTTAGATACGATCCCTACAGTAAAATATTTTCCCGTGAATATTATGATATCGATGCTATGTTCAAAGCAAGGAGAGACGCGATAAATGCTGCGTCCAAAGCCAGGAAATTTGGCCTCATTCTCAGCACCTTAGGAAGGCAAGGGAGTCCTAAGGTCTTGGAGGTAACTTGAGAAATTGTAATAGTTTCTTGTAATCACTGAAGAACAAGTCAAATACCTTTTTTTCCTTTTTTCGATCACCACGTCTCAGAATGAAATGATAGAAGCGTTTACTACTACCGTTTCTCTTTTACGACCCCTCCCCCAGGGAGTACTTCTCTATATAGTTGATATAGGTATGTGCCACCCTCGAGGGTATGGGTTTTGAAGGGGATCGATGTTTTCGGCCCCAGCATTTTGAATTTCCGAATTTTCACAGTGCGTGGCACCACAGTGGTAGCCTCGGCAGAGATGTCTGGTTAAAGAAAAGCTATCTAGATCTTCAGCAGTTTAAGCAGTACAAGCATTTTAAGCAACTGGTAGAAAATGTGTTTATGCGAATGCTAATTTGCTTACAAGCAAAAAGACAGCATTTTTATCGCAAAAGTGAAAACCTGATGTCTTTGTTGATTTCTGGCCGCCACCAGTATTGGTGTCTCATGTTAGTTCACCAGCATGGCGTCCCCATACAAAGCTCTATAAACTTGGGTTAAACTTTTCGGTAAACCAGACCTGAGACTTGGATATGTTGTATATTTATGAGTCTTCTGTAACATTACATTTTGTTGGCTTCTTTCGTTCAACGGTTTCAAAGTTTAATATTTTTTCATTGAGTGACAGTAAAAACACTCTATATGTTGTCATCTTTGAGTAAGAGAAACCACTTGCTTAACTGTAGTAACTTCTGTAGTAACGACCTCCTTACTAGTCGTCCTTGGATAGTTCGGATGTGTCGTCGCCTCGACTGCGAAGTTGCAAAGTTACTACACGAGAAACCCAAGCACGCGAGCCGCGACAAGCGAGGGCTTCTTTTCTTGTCTGGTCCTAATGCCTTAACATAACGTCGTGGTTTGCAATCGCGCTGGCTGAGATAAAAACTAGACGGATCTTAAGAGAAAAGGCGGACTGCAAGCAGTCTAGTCGTCGCCTGTCAAGCTTGGCGGGAGAATCGCCCTCGGTTCCAAGCCTCCTATGCTCACTAGGATAGCGCGAATTGGCCCTCTGAAGGTTTGTTGTGGAGATAAATGTAATTTGCCTTTACTTACTTAAATTTACAGAACTTGGAGCAAATGTTTAAGAAGGCTGGACTTGAATATGTGGTGGTTTTGATGTCTGAAATTTTCCCAGACAAACTGCGATTGTTTGAAGATGTTGATGCGTAAGTTCAAAATCCTTGTTCTTTTGGCCTTTAACTGAACATATTCTTGAAGACTACAAGAAAAGTGGTCTCATTTATGTGATTCTTGCCCTTATATTTTAGGTTCCGTTTACATGGAAGGGTAACCGTCGTGTAAGGCCATGTGAAATGTTAGCTCTCCTTTTCGTAAAGAGGGTTAGCCAGAGGGCTGTCTTGCCCCTAACATATTTTAAGACGAAAATTGAAATTGAGTAATTTTAATTTTCAGAGGACAAAGACCTTGTACCAGAATAATTTAAATAATACTGCATAATTTTTAGTATATTTTTTAACGGCTATAGCACCGAAGAAAATTTCTTATGAGAACCCGAGAAAATATATGTCAAATTTCACAAAATGACATCTTACACATGACCTGTCTTTTCACAATTCTTGTGAAATTTGGCCTTCAATTTCCTGGTGGATCCCGTGTTAATTTGAATTTGACTGATCCGTGATCAGTCTACACAAGCTAAGTTTCCAATCCTAGGAGGATGAACCTACCTCAACATTTAGCCTTCTAAAAGGGAGAAGAACACCCTAGCAAGCAGATAGGATACCCCTTCCCCGCTAGGGTAGCTTACCTTTCATGTATGCGAGTTTTTGAAACAGTAGGAGAGGATCACAACCTTCAACATCAAACGGGGTATTAAACTGGAGCAGTTTGGAAACAACCAGAAACGAAGTTGGCTTCTTTACCCGTCATTCATTTTATTTATTCACTTTCATCAGAAACTCATGAGTTTCTGCTTTCATTTATTCTCAGCCCTCCGTTTGCTGGAATGTTTATTGGATGGAAGCAGGAAATGTGTATGTGTCAGAACGGAGGGCGAGGGGGTGGGGCAAGAGCTCGCCCATACTCTTCCTCTCTCCCCTAGCGCTTGTTTTGCTCTACTTTTCTCAAGTTTCCACAGAGAAAATAGAGAGCCTATGGACAGTCTAGAAACGGAATTAGCGTTAAAATATTTCAGGAGACGTGACACGTAATATAATGTACTAAACAACAGCAGACGAAGGACACACTTTATTGCATGCAAAGTTCTGTGGTTGTTTTTTATTCTCACAAACACGTGTCATTTTTTAGCTGGGTCCAAGTTGCCTGTCCAAGATTATCGATTGATTGGGGATATGCGTTTCCTAAACCTCTTTTGTCTCCTTACGAGGTACGTAACCTGCTCTTTTATCCCCCCAAAAATTAAGTTATGAAGGACTTCCTGCTGTCAAATACTTGCCATATATAGTACACCCGCCTCGTTCCCGTTCCCTCGCTCTCACTCCTACTTGTCTACTTGTCCCTGCTCGGCAGGGAAGAGCAGGAGATACCCTGGGAACGAGGTTGGATGGTCACGTGGTCATTATGATGTCAATTTATGTTCGAGTAAACCTGCGTAGCAAGCATTTCCGTTTGGTTTCGGAGCAAAGAAAGACCGAGGAACGGGATTTTCGGTTTTGGCCGAGCGAGAAATGAAACGAGAACCAAAAAATGAAAGAGGGGGGAAGTGTCCTTCCTTTCTTCCTGACCCCTCCCCTCTTACTCGCGCCATTTTTCGCGAGGTCTTTGACTCTCGCTCCTCGTTCTTTGCTCCGAAACAGAACGGAAACGCTTACTACACAGGCTAATGTTCGAGTATGTTGTGAAGTTTTGGTTTTTCCTCGGCCGCATTAAAACACACAACACGGCCAGCCTGCAATAAAGCGGCCTCTCAGTGCTGCCTTTCGCTGAAACGTTTCTCGGTCGTATCAGCGGGTTTTGCCACATTTTTCACTTTAAATAACGTATCAAAATGTTTCAACGGTTTCGATGGGCGCCGAAAAATCCATTTGTATGTAGACGAAAGGAAAACTTGACAAGAACACTGAGAAAATTCGTTCTGACGAAGAGCTAGCGCCCGAAATCGTCATGTATGAATCAGTCGATGGAGTTGATAAAACTTCTTATTATATAAACACCAATGAAATACCAGGTGAGCTTTCGCGCGAAAACATGATATCTTCACATGTGAAAATAACATGTTATCTTCACATGTGAAAAGATCACCGTTGCGATGGCTACATAATAGATCGCGCCTTTCCTAGGAAAAAACTGTTTCATTGAAATGGTTTGGTATTTCATTGGTGTTTATATAATAAATAGAACATTACATTATCGCTTGGAGATACGAAATTTCTCTTCTCGTGTTGAGAATATTTCACTCGTTCGCTGCGCTCACTCGTAAAATATTTTTCAACACTCGAGGAGAAATTTCGTATCTCCGCGCGGCCATGTAATATCCTCTATTTATTTGCCACTTTAGAAACGAGAAGAGGACTGGAGCCGAAATGTATCCCGCAATTGTTTCTGGGATCGTTGCTGGTGAGGCACCGGTACCACCGCGGTCAAACGTCTAAATCGTTATTTTTGTTTTTTATTGCTGGGATTTCATTTACCAGTTAGAGAAAAATGGGCAAAGATGTATAAATCAGTTAGTCAACATAACTATCTTTCCATTTTTCTCAAAATTTTGAGCTTTTTTCGCTGAAAACGCTTCGCGCTAAAAGAGAATCATGTTTGAAAATGGCGCCCATAATAACGTCAGCATCGGTTTTTAATCACTTAGAACTTTTTTAGTAAACTTTTAAAAAGTTTAGTAAACTAACAGGATGTTGGTAATACCCTAAACTTTCGATAGTGAAAGTAGCAACCTTAACTTTCAAGTATTTCGCTTGACTTTTGCAAATTTGACTCGTTTGACCGCTGTGAAGGCACCGGTCAATTTTGTCTAGTAGCAGTCCCAGAAGTCTTTGCAGAAGTTAACTCGGCCCAGTCTCCTCCTCGTTTCTAAAGTGGCGAATTTCACTTTTATTTCACAGGTGTCAGTTGTATTGCAACAGATTGAATGGCAAAGGGATTACCCAATGGACTTTTACGCGAATGCAAGTCTTGGATCGTGGACTGTGAATAACGAAGTCAACAGACAAGCTACTGTTAGTAGGAGAAGGAAACATTTACAAACTGAAAAACTGACTTCTGAAGAAAAAGGAACAAACGTTGAGAGCAAGGACGACTGCGGTGGAGAACGCAGCGATTGTTGTGGTAAATGTCATCAAGAAAATTCACAGAAGTTAAACAAAACGGAGAAAATACATCAGTAGTAATTGTAACCAATGGAGTTTTTGTTGAGAAACGCTACCGGTGCTTGTTTAAAAAGTGATTTCAATTCAGTGTTGCAATGCAAAACGAATTTGCAGTGAGTAATCTAGCCAGTTGTTGCAATAGGTGGTTGAGGATAATGAAGGCCTGGAACTCGAGTTAATCTCTTTTTTCCGTGCCTCTACTGTCTCGCGCCTTCATTCATGCGCGTGGTGATTTTCGGCGTGTCTCGCGCGTTTCGCTCGACGCGGACTAAAAAAGAGAGAGACTGCTCGTAGCTGGGAACAAGGCATTGGTAGTTATGCAAAGCCGTGTAAAACTGGTTCGTATCGCTCTTATCTCTCGGGGCGGGAAGGGTGTGGCTTTTATCTCTAAACGAAAGAAGCGCAGTCAGAAAATATCGACTGTCTTTCAAATCCTTGAGTTCTGTCCAAAGAGTAATTGAAAAATGTCTAGTTTACATGTACAGACGATTCATAGTAACACGCTTTAGAACTGTTACACTTTCTGGGTTGAATTGCTTAACAGCATGATGAGAGAGAAGACGCAGTTGAGACTCTTTCTTCACCCTCCCCCCTCACCCAACCCTTTTTTCGCGGCGGTGTGAAAAGCGTCTGGGAAACGCATCTGCCATCAGAGGACACAAACTGAGGAAATAGTACAGTACAGTTGGTAAAAGCAAAGCAACACTCCTTCTAAACAATATTAGCTTCACTCACCGTGTAGCCGTCTTTACCTTTAGACGTTTTTCCTACGAAAGCAGAAGGGGAACGAAATGACCGGATACCCAACGGCTACACAACAGGTCAGTTTAGAACACGGACTGCGGACTGGGTATATAATACGGACTAGGTATAAGACGCGGACTGCGGACTTGGTATAAAATACGGACTACGGACTACTTTGGTAAAAACAGTGCTTATTGGTTCTAGTTAAGGTAAAATGAGATCAATAGATCGCTAAATAGCAAGACACGTGAGTTTAAGTTATAACAAGAACGCTCCAAAAGCTTAATGTCTCGCTTGCTTGTCGGAGATAGGTAAGAAGTGAGGAAGCGATTTATTCTTCGCGAAACAGGATTTCGTTACTAAAAGTTTCTCACTTCCTTGACGATGATTGAGTCGTGAATAAGTAAACGAAAATCGAGAGAAATTACATCATTGCAAGAGAGAAAAACTAGTCCTCTGGGAGGACATGCGCTTACTGGCAATGAATAGTCTGTACGAAGAAAGGGACAATGACGGGTATCTTCGGTGCGAAGCATAAACGTTTAACGCCGGGTGCTACGAGGACAATTGTTTTCCAAAGAGAAAATTTAAGTTATTTAATAGTTTGTATCACTCAGTGTACCTTGTTTTTTTCAAATCGTTTGTCGTTTCTATCGGCCATTTGCACTTAGAAGTCATGTGACATCGTTTTTATGAAAATGAAAGTTATATGATTTTGCCTTCGAAAACGATTGGTTGGTCATATCTTTAACAATATAATAGTGATTTGGTTTTCAACCCGCACCATTTTTTAAATGAAAACGGGTAAGTTCTTAGCTGGCCACGTGACCAAAATGTGATTTTTGAAATTATGAATTACCTCTTTCTGAACGCAAGTTTTCCACTTCAAGGAAAATGTTAAAAGGATGATGTGGTAACGTTTAGAGCACATCTGAGCGTAACTATCAAACGTTTAACAAGTTATAAGCAAAAAGGAGTTTGGGCCGCCATGTTAGAGGGCAAGAGTACGCCCTCCTACATGGCGGCGAATGCAAATCATACTACTTTGTTGGAAAATCAAAGTGCCATAAAATATCTCTCTTAAATGCGTTTCCTCTCAAATTTCGGGTAGAAGATGATTTTTATGTGCTCTGTCAATTTTTGGAATCAGCAAGATTCCAACTCACTGTTTAAAGGAAACATTGGTCACGTGAACTCTAAGTGCAAGTGGCCTATTGCCGTGCATTATCTGTGGAAAACGTATGTAACGAAACATCGCAACAAGTGACAACGGACCGAAAAACCACGTGCTTGCGAAACAAAATTGTTCTTCTAGGCAGTCACGTTGTGTAGTGACTGCAAATTGCGCGTGCACTGTAGCACGTAAGGTTGGTTCGGCAGCTACAGGAAGAGTTAAAACCTTTACAGAAATTCTCGAATTGAGTTTGGCCAGATTAATTTCTTTGCTATTTCTGTAGATTCGTAATTGTTTTATGTGTTGATTGCGTTGTACTAGTAATAAATATTTTTTACTCGTTTGTAGTAGAGTCAAACCTCTTTAATGCGGACACCAAAGGGACAGAACCGAATTGTCCGCTTTACAGAGGTATCCGTATTATAGAGGTAGGGAATGTATGATTTTTGGCATTTCTGGGACCAAACGAACTATCCGTTTTCGAGAGGTGTCCGTAAGGAGAGGTTAGACTGTATTAAACGTTGAAAGTCACAATGTGCGAAAATGCAAACACGAATCTGTCGTTTTACTATGTAAACATTTAGGCCCGTTTAAATGTGGGTGGGAGACCCCAGGCAGGTGAGGTAACTCGCCAAGGTGGGGTAACCCGCCTGTCCATATAATCTCCCATTTTAATTTGATCACGTTTACATGATAGGTTGGGTGACCCGCTCCATGTTACCTCACCTATCTGGGTTCCCCCACCTCCATGTAAACAGGCCCATTATTAAAATGTCACAAATTCGCATAAATGCAAAACATTTCATCTTTATTATGGTAATAATCTTGGACAGAAAATACAATAGTCCCAGACCGGGCCAAACCTCACCAACACAAACTAAAATAAGGGAGCATATTAAAATATCCCTAAGAACGATCAGCATCAAATTCCTCCTTGTCATAACAACGCTATAAAACAGAGAATGGGAGATAGCATGTATCGACCACAGTCCCTTGAAGGTTACGCTTTACCGCACGTACGGGAACAATAGAACATGGCGCGTCATTTCAATCATCGCCGAAAATAAACCGCATGCTCATCACGAGACTCATTTGCATACAATGAAAGTCGTGCCGATTCTTATCCCCAGTTTCCACGGTCTCCGCTAGGAACGCCTGGGAGTTTGACCTACCGTTTGGGGAAGACACAAAAAGAAAAAAAGAAACGCCCGCATTTTTAGAGTCTCGGTCTGCCACAGCAAGCTCGACTAAATACTCTTAGAAATTCTTGGTGGAGGTGTGCTGCCCAGTTCTCTGAATCCTGAGCCTGACCAAAATGCTATTTTCAACAACCATTTTTAGACCTGGTCTCGGTCTCTAACAATCATGACTGAGGGCCTCTTCATATGAGCCCGGTTGACCGAGCTGAATTTTGCCTTGGATTCACATGAGAAATTTCAGCCCGGTTTCCGAGATGAGAAAAGGTCAACGATCCAACAAAGCAAACATAGCGAAACACAAAAATTTTTAACTTTCCGGCCCATCTGAGCATCGGTATTCTTAAAGCTGTATCACGGCAGTTAAATGGGATGCTTATGATGTGGAAAATACAGCAGGCAATGCAAGACGATGCCATCCGGACCGCCAGAATTCATCCCGCCGTTCATCCCGGTAACCGTGATGAAGTGTTCATATGGCAAAATTTCCAGCCTGCTTACCGAGATCTCGGTTGGAAAAACCGAGATCTCGGGAACCGAGCCAGCCCGCCCTCTTATATGAGCACATCGATAATTTTACAAAGGATTTAGAGGTAAGGCGAGATCTCGGAACCCGGGCCAGCCCGGTCAACCGGGCTTATATGAAGAGGCCCTGAAAGGGGTAGTCACAAACGCGGCCGGTGTACATGTTTACATTGGTCAGGAGCAGTGTGTAAATCATATCATCATAATCATCGTGTATAGGTGAGTAATTCCTCCCCCCCTAAATACCGCTTTCGCTTTCTTCAGTTTTTTCTTCTGTTTCTCATCGCGGAATGCCCTTATATTGACCTTCTCGTCTGAGTTCTTCATTTCCTCATATCCCCAAGGCTTTATTTGAAATGAAGATGAAATAGTGGCATCTATTAGAATGTTACTCTGACTAACACCAATGCTATTTTTTTTTTTTTTGGTGCTTCTTTTTAGTTCAGAACTCTACTGAATTGAATTCTATTCTCAGGGCCCGCGCAAAGGTAGGGGCTGGGAGGGAGGGGGGGGCAGGGCCTCCCCACTTTTTGAAAAAAAAAAAATTAAGAAATACACATTTTCTAATAAAAGGAATCTTTGATGGAATAAGAATATTAGACTGGCGGACCTCGCCAGAGCATCCAAATTTATGATTGGTCCGTTTCGATCCTTTATCACTATGGCAAGCTTCAAAGTGACTATCTCTACAAAACTACACTTAGTCGTAGACTTCTGCGTTTTCACCAGCCAGGTGATGTAGTATACGCACAGGCAATGGAGTCTTTTTTTATCAAGGTTCTTGAATCTCCACTGAGCTACGATTTCTTAAAACAAATTGAACTCGATGACATTGTAGACAACGTGAAGAAGTTTCAGGAATTACCTCAGCAGAGCATGAAAAATGAATTTGTTCCGATTTGCAAGTTTCTGCTGTTAAATCCCGCAACCATCGCAGGAGAAAAAGGTCCTTTTCGGCAGCTCGAAGGTTAAAAACATGGTCCCGTTCAACAGTGATTAAAAAAAGGTCCTAAATAGCCGCAAGGAGAGAACGGACAAACTTTGAAAGTGAATGAAACACGCGAAAATTATGCTGCTGCTGTGTTTTTGTTGCTAACCATTTTTTCGTTCAGTTAAACTATTAAAATCAGTAAATGATCCGTCCGCGTTTTATACTCAGTGCGGAGTCCTCGTTTTATACCCAGTCCGTGGTCCGTGGTCCGTGGTCCGTAGTCCGCAGTCGGCTGGTTTTTTTACTGACCTGCTACACAACATCAATAGGTGAAAATGGTCAGCGGTGTTCAAAACAAGATGGCGGATGAAACAGTGGATGAGATAGAAAGGAAAGAAGGTGGTTTTACCAGGGTTTCTGCCAAAAATAATACAAGAAAAAGATTTGTTGGAACTAAGTCACTCGTGGGGAAGAAGTCGGATACGCTTGCAGGTATTTTTTTAGTTAAACAAAGACGGTAACTATTTGAAATCAGGGTGTGTGTACAAACATGTACGTGTATAATGTCAGGTCCACGTGTTTATAACGTAACTGTAGAGTCCTCTGGTACATTATACAGAACAAGGCTGTGCCCTAAGAAAAACTTAAGGGAGCCCAGTGCTCTGAACCTGTGAAATCCAGGGTGGCCAGTATATGATTTCTCTGAAAAGTCTAAGAGTTTTTAGTCACCCAAGAGTATTACTAGAGCACAGCCTTGCAGAGTATGAGGGGGTGTTTACATGAGAAAACTCGCATCGGCGCGAGTTTCACACTGGGATGACTTTCTGATTTCGTATCGCGTTTACACGATGACTGGGTCATTTCTTATCTTGTTATTTTAAGGTACATTTCATGTTGATAAAATACACGTGTGGTTCAAAATCGCAAACATTATGCATGTGCTACCCGTTCCAGTCTACCAGCAGACCGATTTCACACCGAAATTGGTGGTCATTTCGCGTTTACATGATAACGTTGGGAGATTTTGTACCGGAGTGAAATTCTTGCCGTGGTACAAGAACCGGGGTGAACTCATGCCGGGGTGACTCGCCCCAGGATAACATTTTGTGGTGTTATCATGTAATCAAATATAGAGCCATGAGAGGGAACCGGAGTGAACTCGCTCCGGGGCGACTTTCGCCCCGGTGTCATGTAAACACCCCCTAAGCATAAGTTGCAAAGAATAAGGAATATAATATATAGATTTAGCCAGGGCTTAAAGCGAAGCTCTCGATAATATTTATAGTTTGTTCAAACAAAATATAAAATCGTGTAAATGGCAAAGGCAACGCTAGAGAACGGTGAAAAACAACAATAGGTCTAATCAGCCAGAAAGCAAATTTTGCAGGTGTAGCAAATTTTTTTTGTACATTTCTTTGCCGTTGTTTTGCACGACTACAATGTGAAACTTCCAGAAACTTCTTAGTTTCATGTTTTTTGAAGGAAAGGTCATACGTGTTCTTGTTCAGTTTTTTTTCACTCCCGCTCATTTTCACCTTGCATTGGTGGCTACTAGCATTTCTCCTTTCGTTACCACCACTACAAAATTTTCATGTTGTTATTCCAACAAAAAAATGTCTCCTTTTTTTTATCTCTCGCTCTAGATCTCTGCTGCTGTTTTTCTCATTGAGCTTCACTGGCCTGCCGCTTACTTTGTCTTTTTTGGGGGCTGTTTGTCTCTTGCTCTTTATTTCAAATTTGTGGACTTGACAATTAATCTAAGCTTAATACTTTAGACAACATGGATACATAAACAATTTCCGCTTTCCGTTTTGGTCTTTCTTGACTCTTTAGTTGTCTCTGCTTTGCAAAATGTGGGTGGCTAAGTGATTCCTCAATTTGCATTCGGGTTGCTATACCTGTTGATTGAGTTATTTTACATTGGTATGCCTGTGGTGTGGGTGGACGGTTGTCTGGTGGGTGTATGGTCAAGTGATTACCAAATTTTCTTGGATATTTAGAGTTTCTTACCTGTGGTGCTCCACTCTGCGGGAGCTCTTCTATTAGATGGGTGTTGTGTTACGTAGGTTTGTGGGACTCCGATGGACTGTTTGGTGGTTTTAAAAGCTTTTAGCTATGGGGTTACTGGAATGGGGTGCAATTCTCAAAAGTAGTTTAACGTGGGGGCTGCACTCTTCTATGATGGCAAAATATAGGGGTTAAATTTTTTTCCATGTCCTTTCATCCCTAAGGAGACTTTTAATTAAAGCTACATAAAAGGTAGAGGAAGAGCGGTTCTTTCTTTGTATGAGAGGTATTTTGGGGGTTACATTTTTGTGCCATTTACAGTTACTTGGAGGGTGGGGTGAAATTTTTTGTTGGACTTCTTCAAATCCTAAATAACAAACCCCCAGCTTTAATTAAAAACACCTCTAAAATAGAGAGAGCTCATTACAGTTTTCTCACTGCGCAATAGGTTTTTCTTATTGAAAGTTTTTACTGCCAAGGGACAAATGTAACAAAACATCTTTGACATTTACAAATGAGTTGTTCTTCTTTTTTTTATTGCAACTGGTCACACTAACTTCATCTTCATGTCATAATTCAAAATTTGATTTTTCATACATTGACTGCATTACTTTAACTTCTCAAATTGATATTAATATTATCCCATATTCTATAGCAGTTGCTAAGTTGTGTTATTTTGCTTAGTGATATAGGTAGACTTTTCGTCAAAAAACAATGATTTACTCCTGCAACCACCTAATCTAAGTTGTTACTTTCCTTTAATAAGCTCATTGCCAAGGAATGTTTCATTGAATTTTTTTTTCAGAGGTTGGCACAAATATCAAGAGAGTTGTAAGGCAGATTCCAGAGGAAATTCTAAATAATGCAGATTTGCAGGATGCTATTAGACAGGTGAATATTACTGGAATACTCTATTTAAGAATACATGTGTACACGTGTAAATGCTTTTAAATGGTACAATCAAGACATCAAACCAGATACTATATTGAATTTTGTGATGTGTGGAGCAGTCCAGAAGTTGCATTGTGTACCACTGTGTCATGCTGCCTAAGAAATTTTATGTTTGAATTTATCATTTTTGTTTTCTTTTAATATCTGAGTTGCAGGGCAATATTATTAACTCTTGTTGATGCCAGACACCATTGGAACCATCAGGGCTGTGCTGTAACAGTGCCTGATGGCATATGTTTCTACCCCTACCTTAAATGCTTACCTCTTTGCTTTAGTGTTACCTATGCCTCAGAATGATTATCGTAAGAATTTAATTTCCTATAAAGCTTTCAGTTCTATGCAACTCTCTAGACAACAACACAGGAGCCTCTGAGAATATCTCTAAAATTGACTCGTAATTAAGATTTACATTTTTATTGGTAATTATGTAAAATTATGAATTTTTACTTTTGAGATAATTGTGAATATTTTTCCTTACAACCACATCTGCTTAACTTACATGTAGCTATTATTTTATCATGTTTGCATAAATGCTGGTCTTCTTCTTCTTCTGGTTATTATTATTATTATTTGAAATTGCAAAGTGTTTGTAGTGTGAGAGTTTACTATAATGTAGATTGTTAAAAAACTTGAAATTCTTCTTCTTCAGTTACCCCCAAACTACAATTTTGAAATCTTTAAGACTGTTTGGAGGGTCAAAGAAACAAGCTCTAAAAGAGGTAAAAAGATATAATCAAGTCTCTTGTACTCTGTATAATCAGCGTGCAAAGAAATTAGTGTCCGATAGGCCGAGCCTAGTGGATTTTGCTATCGTGCTAGTGAATTCTGTTCCTAACTTGCCTGATGAGCAAGTGACGTTTTTTGAGGAATTCAAATTACAGAAGAACTGTGAAATCAATTCTGCTCATCAAAATGTTTTTGGGGCTAGTTGAAATGATGTTTGGGCTAGTAAATGCTAGCTTCAGCTTGCCTGAATGGTAAGTTTCAAAATGACTTTCTTTGCACCCTGAAAAGGTTGTGTGTCTCATAAACACGATGATAGAAGACCAGCCTGACAGTAGATAATTATGAATAAGAGATTTTTACAAAATTCTGACTGGCTAATGACACACAGACTACTGCAACAGGGAGGTGGAGGGGACCATTTCTTTTTAGTTATTATTTGGGAAGGGATGTGGTTTCTTGTCTCATTTAAGCAGAAAATAATCTGTCTTAACTGAAGATAATGTTATTTTAACTTTGGTTTCTGGAGTTGTATTTGAATGATAATAGGGACCCTAGCAAACTACGATAGCAAAAGCAATGGGAACTTCAAAAAAGCAATAGGTTTACAGTGTAGGTGAGCAAACTAACAACTCTGCACATGCGTTATGCTTTTTTGCAAATTGCTTTGCCATCCCTGCATGTGAAATGGCCAAATCGTTTGTTCGCTTGAGAATGGGAACAGGAAGACAATAAATTCTACCATCTCTTTCTGAACTTGGGGGCATTTCCCTCAGCTCCTCAGTTGCAACATAAATTCCCTTCTTTTAAGTAACTGAGCAGCTTAGGACAATCGCAAAAAAGCTTGCAAGGATGCAAAGTCTATTTTTCATTGGCGTTTTCATGGACATTGCCATCATTGGATCGTTAAGTCCATAATATCCCTGACATCACAAAATGCAGTTTATGGAACAAAATGCAGAAGTGGGCAATTGGATTGAAATTTTTAGTGTGATGATTTATTCTATAAATGAGCTCTATTCTTTTAGCTGTAAAGAAAAAGAGGTGTCCATGGCTAGAAGTATTTTAATGTAGTCCATTCTTGTCTACAAATTGTAAAATTTAGCATGGCACGGATTCGTTTTCTTTTTAAAGGTGTTATTTATGGCCAGTTGTCAGGGGCACCCAATGAGAATATAGTTCAAAACCACTAAACATAGCATTGTTAAACATATTTTAGTATTTAAACGGTAGATATAGGCATATTTTTATCCCCTAAAAATTCTTCATTTTTTCGGATTTCCTAGCTGAAAGTCTAGTGATCCGAAAATTATAGGGATCAAAACTTACCTTTTTGAAAATTTCAGCCCGAAAAACCTGTCTTGATATAAAATGCTGTGGCTTGTCACACCAGTCGTCATTATTCAGTCAGCTTGCACAAAAGAAAAACAGTTTCAAAATATTCTGCACCCGCCCTCCCTTTGGAGATAGATAGATAGTTTATAAAAATACACCACAGCTGTGTATGGCTGAATTGTCTTTCATTTATGGCTGAATTGGAGACATCTTTCTTTGTAATAAATCAATAAATCTTTGGGTCACCCACCTCCCTCCCTCTTGTGGTATTCTGAAGTGTGGTTTGTGACTTCCCCCAGCCTTTTTAAGCATTGTTTGTGTCTTGCCATCTTATTTGTTTGCCTTCATCTTGTCCAATCCAGCCTGTGCAGTGCTGGGGGGATAAGAAAGGATCTGCCAATATTCTTGTCTTACCCCCCAGTAGTGGGGCAGTAAGTGAGGCTTTGTGCATGTAACATGAAGTTGCTAATCACATGCTATTGGGCTGTCCGTTTATTTTGACTGTTTGCCTCATTTTGTTCCATGACTTTTCATGAGGATTTTAAAGTGGATAGTGGAGTGCAGGGTGCAAAGAAAGTCATTTTTACAGCTTGCCAATTTCAGCAAGCTGCAGCTAGCATTTACTAGCCCAAATGTTATTTCAACTAGCCCCTAAAATTTTTGGATGAGCAAAATTGATTTCACAGTTCTTCTGTAAGTTAAATTCCTCAAAATACTTCACTTGCCTGTCAGGCAAGTTAAGAAAAGTATTCACCAGCCTGGTAGCAAAATCCCCTCGTCCTATAATTATGTCTTTGCACATTAAAATATGGCATTTTAATGTTCTTTTGTGTTTTCTGCACTAAAACACTGAAAATAATAATCAACAGTGCAATGAATTAATTATAGTTTGATGTGATCTTACTGTTTCTCACTACCACTTGTTCTTTTGTGTTGTTTTAGTGGCATTACAGTTCCCAGAAGGACTTCTCATGTTTGCTTGTACAATAGCTGACATCTTGGAAAGGTATGGTTGACTTCCATCATTTTGCCCCCAATTCTCAAATTAAATTCTTGACACCAAAGAAGGGCGAGTGTTTTAACAGGGTAGAGATCTGCCAGTAACAGTGAGACTGTGAAGAACCCTTGAAGTGGCCAGATTTCTTTACTTGACTCCCTTCCTATGTTTAGGGAAAGTACCACGAACAAAGTTTCCATCTCAGATTATTTGTTTACCTTTGTTCCTGTTGCTCAACAAGTTTTGTTTCTTTGTGAAAGTCGCGTTATTTTCCTTCATTTTCAACTGTTACCACCTCTTTTGCATTAATTTCCTTTATTCGAAAGTCGTTTTTCATTAAATTTGCGTTAATTTCCAATACCTAAATTTCATGGAGTGTTAATTTCCTATAATAAGGTATAATCCTTATTCATTGAACCATTAAGGGCCCGTTTACATGGAGGTGGGGGACCTCAAGAATGTGAGGTAACCCGCTCAGGTGGGGTTACCCGCCTGTCCCTATAATCTCTCATTTTAATTTGATCACATTTACATGATAGGTGGGGTGACCCGCCAGGGCGAGTAGCCTGGTCTACCAGACTGGGTAACCCTCTCAGCCAGGATCAAATTTTGCCATGTAAACGTTTGAAGGGGGTAACCAGCGCGGCGGGGGTTGGATTAAATGATACATCAAATTTGCGCAAAATTCATTTTGGCAGTGGCTTTGCATCATTATCAAAGGTAACAATAAAAAAAGCCACAGCACTGAAAGTTCCAGCAAGAGCAGCAGGGAGTGTAGAAGAGCAATAATCATCACCAAAACACGTGGTTTGCCAGTGTTTTTTTACGATGTCTGCGCTTAGCGACAATTCAATAATTTTGAAAAAGTGCACCCCGGAATGGCGGCGTTGTAAGACTGCATGTAAATGAGGGTTATTTTTTACCCCACCTAAGCGTGTGACCTCACCTACCTGGGGTTCCCGCTAGTGGTGTAACGATTAATCAAATTCTCGATGTAACAATTAATCGAATTCTCGATGTAACGATTAATCGAATTCTCGATCGATTATTCGCGATTATGACCATTTGGTTTGATTCACGAATCTTTCCTTCCACGTTTCAATTTGGGTTCGATTTTTGCAGACCTTTTCCAGGGTGCTCTCAGTGAGTTATTATATTTTAAAATCAGAATCCAGAACTCTTTAAAATGCGCGTTTTTGATTGACGAGCAAAGACGATAGCAGTTTGTGGGCCATTTTGTGTTGCCTGTCAAAATGCTGTCTTCCAACCACCCCTTGAGAATTTCCAAACAAGGCAAAACATGTGCGACACGCTATTTGTCAGGTTCTCAATCATGGCGACGAACCAAGCGACTGTGAATCCTCCTGTCCCTGTTACTGTTCTCAAATTGAGGGTTTAGGGTTGCATATTGTTAACATTACGCGTTATGTTATAAAAATTACGAAACATTTATATAATTGAGTCGAAATAATCGAAATCGAATCGAATCGCAAGGCACACGTAAACAGTCCCTGAGTGGATAGAGGGGAAAGCTGCATTCTGTGTTTCACAGTCAGTCTGTTATTGTATTTAGATTCACAGAGTGTGATACTGTTATTATGGGAGATGTCACTTATGGGGCTTGTTGTGTTGATGACTTCACTGCTAGAGCTCTTGGCTGTGATTTGATGGTTCATTATGGCCACAGCTGTTTAGGTAAGGACCTGTATAATTAATTAATTATAGTAATTATAATTAATTTTACCATTAAAGATGGGCTTACAATAGCGACAAAGGCAGAGGTGGAGTCAAAAAAAGGCATAATTTAAAAATAAATAATGAAAAAGACATTATTTGAGGTTCAAGGTTTTCAGGATTAACTTTTCAAAAACACACGCATAGATTTTTTTTCAAACTTTGCCAAGGTAAACTGCCTTAAGTATTCATTTAATCAATCAATCAAAGAGTATATTTAACTTCGAATTAGTTGATAGTAAAATTCAGTGCTAATATCTCCAAAGAAAATTAGCACACTAGAAGATTCTAGCAGAATATTACTAGATGTTAAGAAAATTCCCATTAATTATCATGTCATTGTTATTCTGTTACTATGGGCGATGATGAAACCAAAACGTAATAATCAAAGCTCGATTGATATGTTGTTTCATTTTGTGGCTTTTTCTTACTTGCACTACAGCCAAAATTACACGGCATCAAACACGAAGGGATAAGTCCATGACAAATAGGTGCGAGCCTCATTAATTGTTTCGGAAAGAAATTAACCGTTTGCCTCAGAAAAGTAGAGCTGTCACTAAGATTTCAAGTTACCTGCAGTAAATACAACGAGTAGGTGGGGAATGAAACACCTGGGGATTTCTTTTGGTTCTCTTTTCTTTTATTTTCTTATGAAAGAAGCCACGCGTGCTCATTGTAGCTGGGGGAAATCTTCCGCTCTATGGCCTTTAGTGACCACCTTGTGATAAGCCACTGACCGTATACCGTTAACTGCAGCTTATCCGTCTTCATTAGTGGTTTTGGGATGGTTTATCATGGAGAGGCTTATATCTGAGGGGGCTTTTAACTGGAATAGAAAAAGCACTGTACAGGCCCCGAAATGATCCCAAACTCTGAAATGATCCCCAATGCGACCACGAAATGATACCGAACCTGAAATGATCCGTACCTCTCTTCACATGGACCCCGAAATGATCCCCAATGGGAATGGTATTCCACCACAGAATTATTAGGTTTTTCCCGGGTACTCCGTTTCCCCCTCTCCTCTAAAACCAACATTTCCAAATTTCAATTCGACCAGGAATAAGGTAGACGAAGAATCACTTTGTGGATGTGCTACCTCTAAATCATTATTTATTTTATAATTTATTTATTTATTTATTACAAGTCTGTTGCAGCGCTTACGTTCTTGAATCGCATTATTTTAACATTACACTAAAGTATGTGATTTTTAGCGCTTTTGTCATCTTATTGCCTTTATGTCTACTTTTGCATCTTCAACATAAATAGTGTTAAAACACCATTTTTAAAATTCATATCCAATCGTGAAGGCATGCATGTTTTATCATCATTTTTAGAATTTAATATCCATGCCATTTTCTCTATAACTCGGGCTATAATCACCTAAAAAAAATTTTATGCTTTGGAATGTTTTTAATTTCTTGATGTTGTCAGTTGCAGTTCATGGTTTTGTTAAAAATATACTAGACTTTGCGTATTGAATAATGTTATCGTCTAACCCAATTAAAAGTGTAATCCCAAATTAATGTCATTAAAGAATACGAGCAAGTGAAGATTACAGGTGAAACTTTAATCAATAATGTGCATTTTGCTCGATTCATAGTTCTAGTATATCATTCCATTCCAAAAATTAATTGGGGATCATTTCGGGGTTGGGGATCATTTCGGGGCTGGGATCATTGAAGACGCTGTACAGCACTTCAAAACAAGCTATAATAGCAGTGCTGATCAAAAAGCATTTACTGGTTTTTTATTAAGCTTCAAAATGTCGTAACAAATCCAATTCATTGTAATACATGTTCAGGCTAGACGGGGACGGGGGTCTCATCATCGGATGTATTTTTTTGCAGGTGGGGTGGGGAGGAGAGTTTACAGTATACCACCATCCCTCTTTCCTCCGCAGAGGCCTCTTTGTATTGTGGGGAGGCTGGGGAGAAAGAAAAAGAGAGCGCGCGGGGCACGATAGGAAGGGGAAAGAGAGAAGAGACTCCCGCCTTGTCCCTTTTCCCATCTTCCCCCGTGCGCTTTCTATTTTTCCGATTATTGCTAATTTTATAGGGATACCTAGCAGGAGCCTCAGTGGAGGAGAGAGCCACCACCCCATTGAGACCGTGTGGATGGCTAGGAACGTTTTCTGCTCTGGTTATTTGGAAAGCTGTAATCAAGAGTAATTATTTCTGTTGATACCTTTACAGTTCCCATCGACTCTACAAAAGGAATCAAGATGCTGTATGTATTTGTGGATATCAAACTGGACGCTACACACTTTGTTGATACTGTCAGGCATAATTTTGAAGTTGGTTCCTCTCTGGCGTTAGTGAGCACGATTCAATTTGTGGCAACTCTTCAAGTATGTAAATGTTTTACTATACTTATTTACAATGTGAAATTTTTCTGATGGACGGTAGTTATCAGTCCTCGATTGTTCGTTTCTCTCTGGGCATGTATTGCAAGCAAGAGAGATTGATTCAGGCGCTAGGCAATGGCACACTACGAGCAACTCGCCCTCGTTTCTCGCGGCTTGCATCTTCGTTGCTCGCTACACGCGTGTTGCGCTTGCTACCCGCCATTAACTTTGACGAAAAATATTACTCTACACTTACCTTTTTGTCAGCAGTGTCAGCTCGTGTACTGACTCTTTTATTCGTTCGCTCTTCATTCTCTTATCTCCTACTCGCTCACGTATTTTTGATAAACAAGAAGCTCGAGAGAGCTTCAATCCGAGCTATTCAACTTGAAACCGCTGAAGCGTTTTTCTATTAACCCGTTCCGCGTCATGAGAAAGCATCACATCCGCCACAAGGTTATTGTTCATTGCCGGCCCCATTACAAATATACACATTTAGTCAGTGTTAAGGAGTACTGCGATTCTTTTTTATCACTTTCTTGTCTGCCATGTGATAGTAATTAATTAATTTTGTTATTATTATTATTATTATTATTATTTAGTTATTTTTTTTATACCTGGCATTCATTGTTTGTTTGCAGAGAGACCGTGATTTTCTTTTTTGTGCTGGTTGTTAGATTTGCTGTTTTAAGTGAGAAAAAGAATTTTTTGTAACGAAGAAAAGGGTAGTTTTTTGCGAAGGAAACTGAAACTCATTTATTTTGTTGCTCTTATTTGGAACTTTAGCGCTTTTGATTGCATCGTTTTCTTTCACGGATGCCGTTTGCCTTTTTAGTGGATCAGTCACAGATCTAGTCTTGGAAGTTAAAATGGGATTCCTTAGAATTGAGGCGTAAATATCTTTCTTGGTCTTACTGTACAATATTTTATTGGGATATTGTGACGTGGACGCCTCCAAATTTTATTACCTCGTAGATCCATCGCGAACTCTTAGGAACCATGATTTTAAGCTAGGGCTGCAGCGCTTTCGCACTAATTATAATATTTTAGGTGTTCATTTGTTCGGATTTCCTAGCTGAAAGTCTAGTGATCCAAAAATTATAGGGATCAAAACTTACCTTTTTGAAAATTTCAGCCCGAAAAAAGGCACCCGAAAATTCTATGTGGCCTTTTTAGGGTAAAAATCCGTTAAAAATGGGCAATTATACCATTTTTTAGATGTTTGAAAATGCTTGGAGAGGCTGGCAAGCAAGAAATTTTACAACAAATGTTCCGAAAATTATAGATCTCAAATTGTCCTGTTTTCCGAACAGATATTTTCCGAAAATTGACGTTGGGTGCCCCTGAGTTTTTTATTTTCATAGGTCTATAAGTAACTTATAGTACATCTGTATTTACTGTATTTGTTGAACTTGGATACCTGTCTTGATATAAATGCTGTGGCTTGTCACACCAGTGGTCATTATTCAGTCAGCTTGCACAAAAGAAAAACAGTTTCAAAATATTCTGCACCCGCTCTCCCTTTGGAGATAGATAGATAGTTTATAGAAATACACCACAGCTCTGTATGGCTGAATTGTGTTTCATTTATGGCCGCTGAATCATAAACATCTTGCTTTGTAATAAATCAATAAATCTTTGGGTCATCCCCCCTCCCCCCTCTTGCGGTATTTTGAAGTGTGGGTTGTGACTTCCCCAGCCTTTTTAAGCATTGTTTGTGTCTTGCCATCTTATTTGTTTGCCTTCATCTTTTCCAATCCAGCCTGTGCAGTGCTGGGGGGATAAGAAAGGCTCTGACAATATTCTTGTCTTACCCCTCAGTAGTTGAGCAGTAAGTGAGGCTTTGTGCATGTAACATGCCACTGCCACTGCCACTGGGCTGTCCATTTATTTTGACTGTATGCCTCATTTTGTTCCATGACTTTTCATGAGGATTTTAAAGTGGATAGTGGAGTGCAGGGTGCAAAGAAAGTCATTTTTACAGCTTGCCATTTGGGCAAGCTGCAGCTAGCATTTACTAGCCCAAACGTTATTTCAACTAGCCCCTAAAATTTTTGGATGAGCAAAATTGATTTCACAGTTCTTCTGTAAGTTAAATTCCTCAAAATACTTCACTTGCCTGTCAGGCAAGTTAAGAACAGTATTCACCAGCCTGATAGCAAAATCCCCTCGTCCTATAATTATGTCTTTGCACATTGAAATATGGCATTTTAATGTTCTTTTGTGTTTTCTGCACTAAAACACTTAAAATAATAATCAACAGTGCAATGAATTAATTATAGTTTGATGTGATCTTACTGTTTCTCACTACCACTTGTTCTTTTGTGTTGTTTTAGTGGCATTACAGTTCCCAGAAGGACTTCTCATGTTTGCTTGTACAATAGCTGACATCTTGGAAAGGTATGGTTGACTCCCATCATTTTGCCCCCAATTCTCAAATTAAATTCTTGACACCAAAGAAGGGCGAGTGTTTTAACAGGGTAGAGATCTGCCAGTAACAGTGAGACTGTGAAGAACCCTTGAAGTGGCCAGATTTCTTTGCTTGACGCCCTTCCTATGTTTAGGGAAAGTACCACGAACAAAGTTTCCATCTCAGATTATTTGTTTACCTTTGTTCCTGTTGCTCAACAAGTTTTGTTTCTTTGTGAAAGTCGCGTTATTTTCCTTCATTTTCAACTGTTACCACCTCTTTTGCATTAATTTCCTTTATTCGAAAGTCGTTTTTCATTAAATTTGCGTTAATTTCCAATACCTAAATTTCATGGAGTGTTAATTTCCTATAATAAGGTATAATCCTTATTCATTGAACCATTAAGGGCCCGTTTACATGGAGGTGGGGGACCTCAAGAATGTGAGGTAACCCGCTCAGGTGGGGTTACCCGCCTGTCCCTATAATCTCTCATTTTAATTTGATCACATTTACATGATAGGTGGGGTGACCCGCCAGGGCGAGTAGCCTGGTCTACCAGACTGGGTAACCCTCTCAGCCAGGATCAAATTTTGCCATGTAAACGTTTGAAGGGGGGTAACCCGCGCAGCCGGGGTTGGATTCGTGATACATCAAATTTGCGCAAAATTCATTTTGGCAGTGGCTTTGCATCATTATCAAAGGTAACAATAAAAAGCCACAGCACTGAAAGTTCCAGCAAGAGCAGCAGGGAGTGTAGAAGAGCAATAATCATCACCAAAACACGTGGTTTGCCAGTGTTTTTTTTACGGTGTACGCGCTTAGCGACAATTCAATAATTTTGAAAAAGTGCACCCCGGAATGGCGGCGTTGTAAGACTGCATGTAAATGAGGGTTATTTTTTTACCCCACCTAAGCGTGTGACCTCACCTACCTGGGGTTCCCCGCTAGTGGTGTAACGATTAATCAAATTCTCGATGTAACAATTAATCGAATTCTCGATGTAACGATTAATCGAATTCTCGATCGATTATTCGCGATTATGACCGTTCGGTTCGATTTACGATTCTTTCCTTCCACGTTTCAATTTGGGTTCGATATTTGCATACCTTTTCCAGAGTGCCCTCAGTGATTTATTTTATTTTAAAATCAGAATCCAGAACTCTTTAAAATGCGCGTTTTTGATTGACGAGCAAAGACGATAGCAGTTTGTGGGCCATTTTGTGTTGCCTGTCAAAAATGCTGTCTTCCAACCACCCCTTGAGAATTTCCAAACAAGGCAAAACATGTGCGACACGCTATTTGTCAGGTTCTCAATCATGGCGACGAACCAAGCGACTGTGAATCCTCCTGTCCCTGTTACTGTTCTCAAATTGAGGGTTTAGGGTTGCATATTGTTAACATTACGCGTTATGTTATAAGAATTACGAAACATTTATATAATTGAGTCGAAATAATCGAAATCGAATCGAATCGCAAGGCACACGTAAACAGTCCCTGAGTGGATAGAGGGGAAAGCTGCATTCTGTGTTTCACAGTCAGTCTGTTATTGTATTTAGATTCACAGAGTGTGATACTGTTATTATGGGAGATGTCACTTATGGGGCTTGTTGTGTTGATGACTTCACTGCTAGAGCTCTTGGCTGTGATTTGATGGTTCATTATGGCCACAGCTGTTTAGGTAAGGACCTGTATAATTAATTAATTATAGTAATTATAATTAATTTTACCATTAAAGATGGGCTTACAATAGCGACAAAGGCAGAGGTGGAGTCAAAAAAAGGCATAATTTAAAAATAAATAATGAAAAAGACATTATTTGAGGTTCAAGGTTTTCAGGAAGTTAACTTTTCAAAAACACACGCATAGATTTTTTTCAAACTTTGCCAAGGTAAACTGCCTTAAGTATTCATTTAATCAATCAATCAAAGAGTATATTTAACTTCGAATTAGTTGATAGTAAAATTCAGTGCTAATATCTCCAAAGAAAATTAGCACACTAGAAGATTCTAGCAGAATATTACTAGATGTTAAGAAAATTCCCATTAATTATCATGTCATTGTTATTCTGTTACTATGGAAGCGATGATGAAACCAAAACGTAATAATCAAAGCTCGATTGATATGTTGTTTCATTTTGTGGCTTTTTCTTACTTGCACTACAGCCAAAATTACACGGCATCAAACACGAAGGGATAAGTCCATGACAAATAGGTGCGAGCCTCATTAATTGTTTCGGAAAGAAATTAACCGTTTGCTTCAGAAAAGTAGAGCTGTGACTAAGACTTCAAGTTACCAGTAAACGCAACAAGTAGGTGGGGAATAAAACACCCGGGGATTTCTTTTGGTTCTCTTTTTCTTTTATTTTCCTATGAAAGAAGCCGCGTGCGTTCATTGTAGCCGGGGGAAGTCTTCCGCTCTACGGCCTTTAGTGACTGCCTTGTGATAAGCCAAAATGTCAGCCATTGACCGTATACTGTTAACTGCAGCTTATACGTCTTTATTAGTGGTTTTGGGAGGGTTTATAATGGAGAGGCTTAAATCTGAGGGGGCTTTTAACTGGAATAGAAAAAGCACTGTACAGGCCCCGAAATGATCCCAAACTCTGAAATGATCCCCAATGCAACCACGAAATGATACCGACCCTGAAATGATCCCACCTCTCTTCACATGGACCCCGAAATGATCCCCAATGGGAATGGTATTCCACCACAGAATTATTAGGTTTTTCCCCGGGTACTCCGGTTTCCCCCTCTCCTCTAAAACCAACATTTCCAAATTTCAATTCGACCAGGAATAAGGTAGACGAAGAATCACTTTGTGGATGTGCTACCTCTAAATCATTATTTATTTTATAATTTATTTATTTATTTATTACAAGTCTGTTGCAGTGTTTACGTTCTTGAATCGCATTTAACATTTCACTAAATGATGTGATTTTTAGCGCTTTTGTCATCTCATCGCCTTTATGTCTACTTTTGCATCTTCAACATCATTTTAAAATTTTAAAAAATATTCAAAACACCTTTTTTAAAATTTATTATCCAAGCGTAAAGGCATGCATGTTTTATCATCATTTTTAGAATTTAACATCCATGCCGTTTTCTCTATAACCCTGGCTATAATCAGAAGTAATTATGCCAAAAAATTTTATGCTTTGGAATGTTTGTAAATTCTTGATGTTATCAGTTGCAGTTCATGGTGTTCCTGAAAATGTACTAGACTTTGTGTATTAAATAATATTTTCTTCCAACCCAATTGAAAGTGTAATCCCAAATTAATGTCATTAAAGAATGCGAGCGAGTGAAGATTATTAGTGAAACTTTAATTAATGTTGTGCATTTTGCTCAATCCATCGTTCATTCCATTTCTAAAATTAATTGGGTCGATTTGGGGATCATTTCAGGGTTGGGGATCGTTTTGGGCTGGGATCATTGAGGACGTTGTATAGCACTTTAAAACAAGCTATTATAGCAGTACTGATCAAATGCATTTACTGTTTTCATATTAAGCTTCAAAATGTCATAACAAATCGAATTCATTTTAATACATGTTCAAGCTAGAGGGGGGCGGGAGTCTCATAATCGGATGTATTTTTTTGCAGGTGGGATGGGGAGGGGGGTTATAAGTGGCAGTTTACAGTATACCACCACCCCTCTTTCCTCCGCAGAGGCCTCTTTGTATTGTGGGGAGGCTGGGGAGAAAGAAAGAGAGAGCGCGCGGGGCACGATAGGAAGGGGAAAGAGAGAAGAGACTCCCGCCTTGTCCCTTTTCCAATCTTCCCCCGTGCGCTTTCTATTTTTTCGATTATTGCTAATTTTATAGGGATACCTAGCAGGAGCCTCTGCGGAGGAGAGAGCCACCACCCCATTGAGACCGTGTGGATGGCTAGGAACGTTTTCTGCTCTGGTTGTTTGGAAAGCTGTAATCAAGAGTAATTATAAACAATTATTGGATGAGGTTTTTGTGATATCCGGAATAATCAAGGTCGAGGTAAGTGTTATCAGCCGAAGCCGAAGGCTGAGGCTAATAACACTAACCGAGACAGTACGGTACAGATTAGTGAATAATCTGTAGGTTGCGCTGTTTCCCAGAATTAACCGTAGGCTTTTAGCCAATTAGAAGACAGATGGTGACTACAATGTATAATAATTTCTGTTAATACCTTTACAGTTCCCATCGACTCTACAAAAGGAATCAAGATGCTGTATGTATTTGTGGATATCAAACTGGACGCTACACACTTTGTTGATACTGTCAGGTTTAATTTTGAAGCTGGTTCTTCTCTGGCGTTAGTGAGCACGATTCAGTTTGTGGCAACTCTTCAAGTATGTAAATGTTTTACTACACGTACATGTATTTACAATGTGAAATTTTTCTGATGGACGGTAGTTATCAGTCCTCGATTGTTCGTTTCTTTCTTGGCATGTATTGCAAGCAAGAGAGATTGATTCAGGCGCTAGGCGATGGCACACTACGAGCAACTCGCCCTCGTTTCTCGCGGCTTGCATCTTCGTTGCTCGCTACACGCGTGTTGCGCTTGCTACCCGCCATTAACTTTGACGAAAAATATTACTCTACACTTACCTTTTTGTCAGCAGTGTCAAGCTCGTGTACTGACTCTTTTATTCGTTCGCTCTTCATTCTGTTATCTCCTACTCGCTCCCGATCACGCGTTTTTGATAAACAAGAAGCTCGAGAGAGATTCAATCCGAGCTATTCAACTTGAAACCGCTGAAGCGCTTTTCTATTAACCCATTCCGCGTCATGAGAAAGCACCACATTCGCAACAAGGTTATTGTTCATTGCCGGCCGCATTACAAATATACACATGTAGTCAGTGTTAAAAAGTACTGCGATTCTTTTTTATCACTTTCTTGTCTGCCATATGATAGTAATTAATTAATTTTGTTATTATTATTATTATTATTATTATTATTTAGTTATTTTTTTTATACCTGGCATTCATTGTTTGTTTGCAGAGAGACCGTGATTTTCTTTTTTGTGCTGGTTGTTAGATTTGCTGTTTTAAGTGAGAAAAAGAATTTTTTGTAACGAAGCAAAGGGTAGTTTTTTTGCCAAGGATACTGAAACTCATTTATTTTGTTGCTGTTATTTGGAACTTAAGCGCTTTTGAGCGCGTTGTTTTCTTTCGCGGATGCTGTCTGCCTTTTTAGTGGATCAGTTACAGATCAAGTCTTGGAAGTTAAAATGGCAGTCCTTAGAACTGAGGCGTAAATATCTTTCTTGGTCTTACTGTACAATATTTTATTGGGATATTGTGACGTGGACGCCTCCAAATTTTATTACATCATAGGTCCATCGCGAACTCGTAGGAACCATGATTTTAAGCTGAGGCCTCAGGGCTTTCGCACTAATTATTTTAGGTGTGTTTTGAAATCGTTACCTCCGTGACTGGAATTCTCTCCTGTCTAAATATACTTATTATATTTTTATTAATTATATTTTGTTATTATTATTATTATTATTTTATTTCTTATGTTATATCAAAAATGAATAGATTTATCATATTGCCTTTGTAATATATTAGCCTAAGGTTTTTTAAAAGGTGTTCATGTTTATGAAAGGAGAGTGGCCCTAGAATGGGAATTCAGTTTCCCCCTGCTGCTATCACGCCACCTTTTCCTGTACCTTTTTACTATTTTTATTGTATGGATGGTAAAGTATTATTAAACTCAAACTTAAATGGTCAAGCCTCATTTTCACGAAAGTGGTAACCTTTCTCATTAATGTTGATCAAGGTTGAGAAACATAATATTCAGCTCTCATGTAGAAGTTTCAGCGAATTCATAGCACTCTTAGTTGGCATCTTCGTTATCTTTTAACCTGAGGCGATCCTTCATCTTTTAGAAATGATATAGAGAAAGATATTTAATCAAAGAACAGTCTTTTTGTTGAATCAGTTTTTTTTATTTCAGCGCTAATCGTTTCTTCGATTAAAACCACATATTATGACAATCAAAAGTATGTTTAAAAGGCCGTTTCTGCCCAGTTTTGAAGTCGGTTTGAAGGCAGCACTATTTTTCTGCGTATTGCACTTATTGAACCAAGATGTATCCCATCGCTTTGATGTGCTGATCGCCATTATCTCCCCCGTGTTGAGCTTCGTTACCACACGTGTTGGAATCATCATTGTACCCTCCAGTGCCAAACCCGATTCTGGAGTTACAAGAGCTACAGACATTTTGATTGTTGGCAACGATACCAATTCTTGCTTTAGAGCCGTTGCCATCGGTGCATAGTACGTTGAATCCTTCCTTGTTACAGTAGGGCTGCAAAGAGGCCCGAGAGCCAATAAGCTTCTTCCACGTGTTACGGCCCAGTGAAGTAGCTCGGTATTTGCCATCTGCTATCAGTGAATACAGGGATCTGGCTTGATGGTTGATGACAACAGACTTGAACTGCTGACCTATCTTCATTCCAAGACAGATCTTGTTAAACGGTGTGTTCCAATAAGTCGGTAACTTGGTCTCGTGAGTGTCCAACCCAGTCTTCCCTCCTGGAAGATTGAAGTCCACTTTGTTGCTCCATAGTTTAGAATTGTAGTGAAATGTTTTCTGGAAAAAAAATCAGTTAACTCATTCATAAAGAGTACTATCACTTTGCTGTTTTATCTGTTTGAGAAATATGATACAGTCGCCTTGGTGTTCACTGTTCATGTTGCGAAGTCCTCACATATTATTCTCTTCATACTTTGTCTGTTACTACTGACAATGAATTGAGCTAAAACTTTTCAAACCTGCACGTAATACATTCCCTTTCTTTCATTTGACGTGGACTCGTGACTTACATTGTAAGTTTACCTTTATATTGGAAACAAAGTGATGACAAACGTGGCAACTTGTGACAATTTAAATTTTAATACCTTTGAGCCATCGATCTTCATGACCAGCGTCCATCCACCTCCTCCGCATGTATCCAGCCCATGCTTGGTCATGTGACAGTATACGGGAATCTTTGCAGATCCAACATCAAGCAAATACGCTTTATTTTCACTGGACCTGTTAAAACATACCACTTTACTGATTACTCCCAGTTTGTTTCTCTTAAAGTTAGGACACCATGGAAATTTAGAATTCTCGTAAAAGAAATCTTTCTTATCAGATAAGCGATGTTTGGTCGAAATTGAGTAATCTTATAAAATATCGTGGAGCGTTGTTATTACTGACTTTGTCGATAAGGAGAATTCTTTTTTACCGCCATATATATGAAAACTGCTCAGTCCTCTTAAGTTAGTGATTCATAAACTATCCTTAGTTTGAGCATTTCGTAAATTGTCTGAGTTTTCTTTTTCAATTTTTTTTTCAATTATTTTTTTCTTAATATCGGTATTTTAGTTCATTTGTAACCATTAATGCATCAATTTTCACTTTTATTTTCTAAAATACTGAAGAAATTAAATTTACAAGCAATTCTCTCTGTTTTTCGTGTGTAAACTTAAACACTTGTCTCTTAAATATGTACCCTAAATTTCAAGATTTAGTGTTGAGGGCTTTTAGCGCTGCAATGTTCGCTTACATCATGACTTATTTCGTTTTCAACTTAGTGGCCGGTTGAAATGAAGGAACATTACTGAAATCCAAATAGTAATTTTCCATAGTATTGAAGCATTCTCCATATTTCCTCTACCTTAGCTAGCTACAAAAATTTACGTACTCAGTTTACTCTGTAACCAGTTCGTTTTTCTGTACTGAAATAGTTTTTGTTATCACTGGGTTTAGACCTTGTGCTGTTGAGTCAAAAACAAATGTGCATTCTTGGTCCTTTAGTTCTTGAGCTTATCTTAAACACTTTTAAATGTTTCACCTGGTATTCGTTTTTGGATTTTTTAACATTCAATTTAAACGCTTACGGAGTTTCTTTTTGCGTTAATTTGTTGACAAGTTGGAAACTGTGTTTACGATTGGAGTTAACTTACATGTAATAAAAATGAAAACAATGAGAGTATCCTTTGTCTCATATACTTACAAGTTCTTGGTATAGATTTCCTTGCACGTTGAGGCTGTCGGAACGAAAGTAAAAGGATATAAAGCGTGTTATTTGTAAAAAGAAGACTTTCCACACCATTTTGTAAGAAACACTTTGAGATATGAGATATTTTTCATGGTTTGTAATTAGGTTAATCACTCCTGAAGTATTGAACTATTTAATAATAAATTCATCACAAAACTCTGCTCAAAGAGTTTCTTACCAGTCACAGGAGAAGGCTGTAGCATTTCAATTATCTTATCTAGTTTCTTGTCGATTTTCTTGATTGCTTGGTTTGTTTCAGAGTTTTGTCCGTTGTACTGGTTGCAGACAAATGATTTGCCATCGGTACTTTTCGTTCCATTCGTTGCGTTTGCCGTGAGCAACAGAGAAAAAGCTAAAATGAACCAAAATCTCATCTTTCGGTTAATGTTTGCTGTATTGAAGCGTTTTTTATCGAGCAAACTACAATATTCTGTAATCTTCCCTGAACCGGAATACTTGTACTCCACAATGCTGAGTCTCTTTTTTTAGCTTAGTCTTGACTCGTATTAAAGACAAGAAAATTTTCCAGTTGAAATATTAACTAATTAATTGCTGGTTCATCATATCCGGTTAAACACGGCGATGAAATCTAAACAATAAGCGCTAGCAGTTTGAACGCTAAATTTGTAGTCATATTCATTAAAAGCTCTTAAATTCGTTGGGAGTAACTTATAAGAGTAGACGAAAATTGTGCTTGAAGGCACGCACCGTGCTTCTGTATAAATTTTGTTTGTAGCAGACGGCTGTTTATAGCCGTGCCTCAGTTTCTTTACGTATAAAGACAAAGCGGAAAATTCATAGAATGTAAATGACTTAAAGCATTGGAAATACGGAAGTTAAGGGTCTCGACCGTTTACAGCTGAAGTCGTGAATTATTTTCAAATTTTTCCTTTTTTTAGACAAGTTTTTTTTAAACTTCGTTATGTTTTTTGTTGTAAATGAGAGTTTCTCCAATGAATTTATCACTTGCTATTTAATCACTACATGGATGACTGGCTAAGGATACATCAGACATTTGTGTGCGGGAGCAGAGTAGGGAGGGGAGGGTAAGGAGAAACTCTTCTTTTCCCCCGAACCCCGGTCTCCTTGAGAGCTTGCTCGCGTGACCTCTGGAGCCAGAATAACCAAGAAAGTGATCGATTCAGTGTTGCGTAACTCTCTGTGGGAATTACTGTTTTTTTTCGTACGTTTTTAATCGTTTAAAAAAAGCGTAAATCGATTTGCAGAGAAATATTTTTTTCTGATATTAGTTCATGTGGAGGAAAGAGATGCGACTAAGTAACCTATAGAGGTTGTGTTTCTTATTTATCCATTTAGTGTAATCTTTTTTCTGATATTATTATAAATACGCTTCTATTTTTATAGTTCTCTGAAGTGCAGTTGTTTTGCTGATAATGGCATCTTACCATTTTCACATTACCCATAATACACCTCGCTGTACGCCCTCAAAGTTTGCATAAGGATTGCCTTCTATTTCCCTTGGACGTCTGTTATACCCAGGAAAAACTGAAAACAACGGTTAATATGCAAAACTTTGTAGACTGAAGGGTGTTTAATGGGTAATATAAAAATGGTCAATGTGAACAGTTTGGACCGCGAGTACCGATTTAGATATTTAATTTGGCTCTTTTACTCCTAGCTATGCAAAGAATAGCTTTCTGAGGCCGGATAACTATCACAATGAATATGTGCAATTCGTGTGTTATTTGCTGCTGAACTGTGCGGCATGATTTTTAGTTAATTTTTGCCACTGTTGCTTTTTGCGATTGTGACTGAGCTTAATCTCGCGCTAAGCTTAACAATGTGGTTATTGCCAGTGTAGAGATCCAAGTCCCCATAAACAGATGCTGCTGGTTATTCGCCTCATGTCCAACGAGTTTAACATTACAGGGATTTAGAGTTTACGACAAACGGCAAACAGATTCAAATTGAGAAATTCTCAAAATTCCTTGAAACAATTCTTAAGGATAAACTGGCGTGAATTTTCTGTTTTTTTTTTTTTTAAGTTACAATGAACAGTAAGCGAAAAGTATAGGAAAACATTGGTCCCTTGGTGCAAATTTATGTTTTTCTTTTTGCAACGTGTTTCGACCAGTTCACGTTTTTAGAACCGGTCATTGTAAAGGGTATTCAGGAATATGAGCATGAAAGTCATGTATATAATTTTTTGTGGGTATATTTTGTTGAGGAGCGCAAAACTGCTAGGCATACCACTGCTTAGGGAAGCTAATGGTGTTTCCCTGACGATAGTGTGATTGAAAAGGAGAAAGTATAGTGGCGTCACTCAGTTGCGTTTGAGAACAATGAAATAATTCAAACAAAAACTAGACCCTGAGCGATCGTACTTCTTTCCTCAGAGACACGCTTGGCGAGAGAAAAAGTGAAATTATTCAAATCATGTTAAAAAGCAGGAGAAATTGGGGCAGAGCTTGGGCAGAGAGAGTCCTTTTTCCTCTTGGCACGGGCTTCTGCCCTCTTTTCTCACGACTTCGCCGCTCACCCCTGCTCTCGATCTTTTGTGACTCAAAAAGAAGGTGAAGAGACTGTTCTCAGTCTAGCAAAAATGTACGTGCGCGAGTTTTTGTGACCAGAGACGATACTTGTTTACTCTAAGTGATACAGAGACTGAAGCATAATAAAGAAAGAAACTTTCTGGCCTTTTCAATTGAGATTTTATTTCATCTCATTCTTACAAATCCCTTATCCTAGATTCAATTTTTAACCGCTTTTTTACTAGAATAAACAATTTCTTAGTTGCATTTAAAGGCCGTTCGTTCTGCGTTCTGCAGAACTTATTGAACCAAGATGTATCCCATAGCTTTGATATGCTGGTCGCCATTATCTGGCCCGGCTCCAGCTTCGTTGCCACACGTGTTGGAGTCATCACCGTACCCTCCAGTGCCGAACCCGATTCTGGAGTCGCAGCTGTTACAATCATTTTGCTCGTTACTAATGATACCAATTCTCGCTTTGCTGTGTGTAGTGCTGGCACCTATGGCATTGAATCCCTCTTTGTTACAGTTGGATTGTAACGAGGCCCGAGAGCCAATGAGCGTCTTCCACGTGTTACGGCCCAGTGAAGTAGCTCGGTATTTGCCATCTGCGATCAGTGAATACAGGGATTTGGCTTGATGGTTGATGACAACAGACTTGAACTGCTGACCGATCTTCATTCCAAGACAGACCTTGTTAAACGGTGTGTTCCAATAAGTCGGTAACTTGGTCTCGTGAGTGTCCAACCCAGTCTTCCCTCCTGGAAGATTGAAGTCCACTTTGTTGCTCCACAGTTTGGAATTGTAGTGAAAGGTTCTCTGATTAAATTTAAACAAAAAAAATCATGTAAGTTATTCTGATAGCGTACTATCGCTTTGCTCTTTTATAATTTGACAAATGTAATATCAGCATATATGTCGTGGTCTTCACTGGATTGATAAATCATCGTGCTAACAGTTATCAAACCTACATTTACTAGATCCACTGTTACCCTCTTTGTTGACCTTAATAATAGTCTGAATTTAACTGACAGACAGACAGAGCTGCTTGTGAGAACATTGAACTTTTAATACCTTTGAGCCATCGATCTTCATCACCAGCGTCCATCCTCCTCCTCCGCATGCGTCAAGCCCATGCTTGGTCATGTGACAATATACGGAAATCTTCGCAGATCCAACGTTCAGGAGGTACTCTTTGTTTCCTTTAGACCTGGTTAAAAAAATAAAACTTCATTGGTTCACCTCATTCTGAAGTAATTGCCTCATCTGGGGTAGAAAGGCTGACTTAGAAAGGGCCCCAAAGAAATTGAGGAGAAAGTCTTTCATATCAAGTGGACAACCTAAGTGGAAATCTAAGAATATCGAGTGACGCTGTAATTGCTGACTTTGTCGATAAGCAGAACTCTTCTTTAGCGTTTATATTTTTTCCCCTTGTTTATATTGTCACCAGTCTTTGGAGTCGCTCCCAATTAAATTATAAATTACTCAATCCTATTAAGTTAGTGATTCATATACTGTCTTTCATCTTGAGCGTTTTGTTAATTGCCAGTGCTTTCTTTTTTCCTGATTTTTTTTCTCACAAACGTAGTGATCATTATTTGAGTTTATTTTACCATTTCTGGACCAATGTTTGCTTTTTGTACTCTACAATCATCCTTACTGTTGGCCAAGATTGGTTCAGTGTTTTTATGATTTTCAAAACCCTGATTTTGTTCACATAAGTTAGCTTATATTATTTTCAACTTTGTGGTTTCAAAATGAAAGAGCATAAAACCAAAAAAGTATAATTTTTACAGTTTTGATGCATTCTTTACACACTTCCTTTCTTTTCTACGCAGTAATTTACGGTTATTTTGCTGAGAAACTTTCGTTTTTGTGTAACCGATTTTCGTCATCATTCAGTGATATAGAGTCCAAACATTTTTGGATCCTTTGTCCTTTGTGTTTCTGAATTCTCTTCGTTCTTCTCAATAGCGCAAAAGTACACGTCATGTTTTTCTCTTGTCTATAGGGAGCTTCTGGGTTGTGAGTGGAAGCCGATTTTGGCGATATTTTTTTCTGGCGTAACTCTGTGTTTACTACGAAAATGAGGTGTATTGGTGTGTCTTTAGCCTTCTTTACTTACAGGTTCTTGTCATAAATCTCCTTGCACGTTGAAGCTGTTGAGAAAAAAAATTTCTTTGTGTTTGGTGAAGTTGAGTTATGTTACATTACATTTCATCTTAAAGGTTTTATTAGTTTAATCACATCTGTGTGTTAGAACGGAATATAAAAATTCTTAAATTACCTGCATAAGGAGAAGGCTGTAGCAGTTTTATTAGCTGATCGAGCTTTTCATCGAGTTTCTTGATAGCATCGCTAGTTACAGCGCCCTGTCCAATGTACTGATTGCATACAACTGGCTCACCATCCCCTTTTTTTGTTGTCTTAGTCCCATTCGCCGCGCATTCCGCGAAAAACACAAGGAAGGCTACAAAAAGCAAAAATCTCATTGCGGTAGCCTGACAAATTGGTGAAGTGCAATATTTCTCCAAAGTTTTCTTGAACAGAATGACTCATGCTGTAAGAGGATGTCTAAATTTATTGACCTGAGATTTGGCTTGTAGGGAGACTAGAAAATTTTCCAGTCGGATTATTAAGTAAATAGTTGCCATTTGAGACATTTTTGCCGGAGAAAACTTTTGTGGTGCTATGTAAAATACTGATAAACATTGTGTGGAAAGAAACGTGTAACGACATTTACTAGAACTCAGAGTGCGCCAACGGAACTCCGTTAATCGCGTGTTTTGCTGATTATTTCAGCCCTGCTGTTAAATTTTGCTTTAAAATATTAGCTTCATGATCAAAGGCGATTAATAAAGTTTCGTGAATAATTATAGAGCTTGAAGTTTATTTCAAGTTGTTCAACGGAAAAATCGACGACAAAAAGTAGAAACTCTTACATTGAAACAGCAGGAATTGTATTCACTGCGTAATACTATGAAGATAATTCTGAAATAATTATACTAAAAGGCTATAATTATAGTTGTCTGCGTTTATTATTTGCAAACTTTGAGGTGCTACTGTTACTACGGCAGTTGAGACCTCGACTCTCTTTTGTAACTACAACGTCATTCTTCCTCGACTAATTTTCTTCCTAAGTTTTCTAGCCTTTGCAAATGTCTTAGTTACTCTTCAGCAATCTCTTCCAGGTACCAACCCTGGGTATGATATCTTGTCTTGAAAGATTCTCGAATGTCGTGAGACTTATAAGAGACACTGACAATGAAGAACTCAATCGAAATGACATTCCATGATTCTCTGCGGTGAGACATGATACTGTTTATTTTTAAGGGTATTTGCATTTTACTTTTTCACAGTATAAACTTTGAACGTTTTGAGGCCTTGCCAGCTTAAGGTTGGACGTTTAATCAATTTAGTACCGACTGTTGTCTGTTTTAGTACTTGTCATGTTTTATTTTTCAAAAAACTTTAACTTTATTGTACAGTGACTGAGTGGAACCTTCTGATAACGAAGGACCAAGAGTCTGACAAAATTTGTCCACCTTAACGCGGTTTCTTTATATCAAGGTTTTTTCTTCATATATTTCACTATTACCAATATCGTTCTGGAAGACTATTTTTTTGTAGCTTTAGCTTGTTTTTCTGTAATTCTTATTTACCCATATAGTTTATTTAGTTACTTTACAATGTTATATGTTATGACTGCTGTAACCTTTCATCTCCGCCCGCCTCGTCTAGCTTTTGGTATCTGCGGGCGGAGATGGCAAAATGATATGTATGAAAAAAAAGTATAGTGTGTGTGAGTTCTTCAGTGAGTAAAGAAAATCGTTCGTTAAGCGAAGGACGTAATATAGAGGTTCGACTGCATAAGTATTTTATCAACGTGTCGAAACGCTGTTTGGTCGATTCCTTCCCCTGTTGTGTGACGAGTCAATTTTCGACTAAAGCTTTTCTAGCTTAATGAGTAGTTATGCTGACATAAACGCATGCACTTAGTCGCTTGGTTAAGACAACCATCCGGCAAACGCGCTTTTGAAAGCTATCTCTGTTTTCCTCAGACAGATCAAAACATTCTTATAATCGGAAGTTATTATTGTAAAGTTGAACCTAAATGGCTTGAAGTTGTATTGTAAATTAGAAGTTGATTTTGCGAGTTTAATATTCCAATCATGAATAAATTTGAAATCAGTTTAATTGCTTTTTACTATCAGACACCTTTCATAAAGACCTTAAGTTTCCTTTTTGTTCTTTGTGTATTAAAACTTTGTTTGAACCGAAACAATCGCTTTTTTCTCTTCAATTTTCGTGAAGAAGAACAGAGGGAACGAACAAATAAGGCGAACAGCAAGTTCCATTGCGTTTGCTTTTGAACATAATTGTTTTGATTGCGTTTGATATATTTTAACGTGTTTCGACTATTTCTTGTTTATCAAAGGTTGATTCGAGATCTAAATGGTTAAAGTCGATGTGAGTATATATATTTGTTGTCGGTATATTTTCTTGAGTAGTGCAAATTGCATGATGTTCAGTTTTTAGACGAACCACAATTCAGTAGACGATAGTATAAATATAACAACCTACGTTTACCTTGAGAATGAACACTATCACGTTGGTTTTTCGAGTGGTGTACAGAGTTGTACGGTCAATTCCCTCCAAGGAGGACACCTTTGCGACCGGCAACAAGTATCCGTCTTAGAGTAATGTTCGTCTTATAGAAAGTCAAATAAAAGGAGTAAAGTAAGGCAGAGACCAAGTCTAGCTGTCCGTTCTACTGCAGTGTTTGTCTTATAGAGGTGTAATCGACCGTGAATATCGTCTGAAAGAGAAGGAGCAAGTGTAATTTGTCGGTTACAAGTTACCAAATCCCTGTCTGTCCCTGTATTTCGTGCGCATTCATTTCGTTACATTTTGTCGTTACGTTCGATTAAAAACTGTCTCAGAAACTGTCGTCATCTTGAAATGGCAGACATTCGACAGCACTCCCTGTAGCAGATATTTCTAAAAGCGCAGCTCTATTGTATTATGGTCAACGGCGGAAACCAAAAGTTTTGAAAACGCTGACTGGGAAACTGCCCACCTACCCCTCCCCTAAGCCAACATTTTGCCCGAAGTGAGAAGTAAGTGTTTATTTTGTCTTAGGGGATGGGAAGGTGGGCAGTTTCCCAGAAACGTATAATAATCAGAAAATATGAGCTTAAACTCAAAGCAGTAATTTGTATTCAGGTACATGCTATTTGTTTTGGAAGGTAAATAAAGGAGCGAGGTTTGTTTATGATTGTTCTTTGAAGACAATTTTTTGTGAGAATGGCTCTTAAAATTTTGAATTCGACCCGTTTGATTTTCAATCTGTTTAGTCTAGAGAGAATGAGTAGTAGTAGTATTGTGTGAACAAGAAGGTACTCCACACTTGACAAGACACACGTGGTTTACTTTATAAAGTAGTATTTTAACACCCAATAATACAGATATTATTCTTTATTGTGCTTTTAAGAAGTGCTTCGATCTTATACAACAACTTCGATCTTACAACATAAAGAAGCAAAATAAATGACCTTTGATTCATATTTCAGAATTTTTATGGACTGAAGACTTGTTTCAGTTCAGCGCCCCCAATTTTTGATAGCCTCTTTTATTTTCTGGAGATGTCAAAGTTGATTTGTATGCTTCTTCATCTCATAGTATGATTTCGGATCCCATTTAACGGATAGCTTTCTGGCTTGAGTTTTTTGTTCTGAATCGTTCGTTAACCGTCGCTTTGCCGCCAAGAAGAGTCGAAAGTGTTCAGGGCAAAAAACTTGCTTTTCGCAAGTGTACAACAGCTAGAACCATGTTAAGGTAGAAAGGAAATGTATGATGTGGACTGAAAACCTTTGCTATAAACTTGGTCTAATGACCAGTATACTTCAAAGCAATCCTCTCTAGCTTGCAAGTTCTCCAGTGTATTTTATTTGTGTCTTTTCTCACAACAGCGACAATTTTATACTTTACTACCCCTCCCGTGAGGTAAATCCTTGTTGGCTCCCACATTTTATGAGCCACGTGGCCAGCCGCAACCAGGGTTATTTCTCGAGGCAAAGGAGAGAACCCTGGGAACGAGGTTGATCTGATCGCCTAGCGCCTGTATTGTGGGCCCTCCATTCGGCGCCAATTCTCGCTATTTGAACGCCTACAACAAGCGAGCATTCAGCTACATTAAAAACCAGCGAGTAAAAACCTGGCTTTTAAGAACCTGTCGGGCTAAAATTTGAGACATCTTCTTATTTTCTAAAATCTATAAAAAAAAAATTGCATGCACTTTGACAAATATGATAAGTCAACCTTCATTTTTACATAAATACTAATTTGGTATAGATTTTATATAAGGAATAAGCTGAATTCTACCAAATACTCTCATCTATGTATTGTTTTCTACAGAAAATTTTGAACCTATTTTAAAACCTAAATAGCCTAAATTTTTTGCTCATTCTAGTACCATTTATGTAAAGCCCCGTGCAAACGTACGCGACATTGTTGGCCAACAACTGCCAGCATTGTTGGATGTCATATATTGCGTCCGTTTGCACACTCTGTTGCATGTTGTTGAATGTTGTAGCGCAAAGTTTGGGCCAACAATGTTGGGAGTTGTTGGGCTAACAATGTTGGGAGTTGTTGGGCTAACAATGTTGGGAGTTGTTGTATCCGTTTGCACGTAGCTTAAGAACCTGTTTAGGCTAACTTGGAAAAAATGCAGGTGCTTACTCGCAGGTTTTTACTGAATCTGTTTTTCAGTCAGTGATTTTTTGAAAGATAAATTAAGAATTTTTGTTTACTTTGGGCACACTTAGGGCTGCGATTGCTGATACGTTTGCTTTTGTATCTTTCAGGCTGTCTATCAAGAATTGTGTAAAGATTTCAAGGTTGAGATGCCTCAAAGTAAACCGCTATCACCAGGAGAGATTCTGGGATGCACTGCTCCAAAGATAAAGGACAAAGATGCATTTGTGTAAGATATGATGTTAATACCTGCTGTGTTGACTATGGAGCGAAAGTTGTTAAAGTTTCATGACATCTTCCATTTGGTTTGCAATGAATTGTTTTATCGATAGGTATTGTGTCCGATTTAGACCAGTTAGTGAAATTTTAGCTCCAATAAGCTCTCTTTTAAAAGTACATTCCATTTGACCGTGTGCCGTTTCAGTTTAAGATCTGTTTGGTAACCTTTAAAACAGGGGTTAATTTAATAAAGCTTTTACAAGTGTAATTTACAAGTGCAGCTATTGTTTTCAGACTCTAACACAATAGCTACACTTGTAAATTACACTTGTATAAAATTGACCCCTACAAACAAATCACCCCTGAAAGTGAACGCACCTGTATGCAGATTGCAGACATCGATAAGATTTCTATAAAGAATTTTACTTCAAATGTTAATTTTTGCATTTAATTCCTGTAGTTATCTTGGAGACGGGAGGTTTCATTTAGAAGCTGTGATGATTGCAAACCCATCCGTGCCAGCCTACAGGTTGATAATACAAACAGTGGACACAAGTAGAGACAAAGTCCCACCATGCATCAAATCCTTTACAGTAGCCCATCGGATTAGTTGGCTAAAATGACAAAAGTTTCCTCCTGGCTAGTTTTAGAACGATTTTCGTATGACCTTGAAAAATGGTGTTCGTTATTTGCTTTACCAGCCAATGGATGATAAGATCAAAACACGGACTCTTCATTTTCCCGCCAAAAAACCCTAATAGGGAGAAGGTATTGTTCGATTGTCCAATCGTGTTGCGGTATGACGTCAACGAGAAGTATATATTGATTTCTAGAAAATTCTCGGGCATTCATTTTAGGGTCATACGAAAATCGCTTTACCTCTCACTGGCAGTTGAAAATGAGAATCCCCAGTGGGTTTCTCAGGATACTGGATTTGCCTTATTTGAAGACTGGGATTCGGGATTTTAAAGCAAAATAGGGCGAGATTCTGGAATGAAAGTGTGCAAGGGATGTGGGATGCGGAGAATAACCATCAGGATTACGGGATTCAGCGGAAATTTGGGTTGGGATGACGGGATTAATCGGAAATTTGGGTCGAGATTACGGGATTGACCGGAAATTTGGGTGAAGATGACGGGACTGAATAAGCCTATTCGAGACCTTTGATAATGTGGGTGGAGACATCTTAGTCAATAGTCCTTTCGGGCATTGCGCTGAAGAGGTGTATGGACAATTTTACACAATATACAAGGCGAAGCCTCGTTTCGACTTACTGCTGTTTTCCGGTTCACCTGCGTGAAAGGTCTATTACACAACATACAAATTCCAGACAGCAATCGCTCTGTCATGAAAGATATTGGTTTTCTTGATCGTTTGTCGGACCTTAGTCGGATCAAAACCCGCCAACCATGAGTGAGGTTCGTGATACACCAATCACTAGCAACCGTGGTGGTACTAATAGTCCCACTCGCTATTCGCCTGATGAAGACCTGCAGTACGCTGTCAAAACGTCTTGATCAATACCTAAGTGACTATCGTGCTTTAAAAGATAAACAAAGCGTGTTAAACAATTGTTCTGTGAGAACATTATTTAATTTTTTGGATTGGAGGAGGCGTACTGACTAGTGGGAGTGCTAATTTAAAGGGGCTTTAATTCGGGCATTTAAGGTATTAAATGAGCTAAATTAAACCGATAACAAATTTAAACTACAATCCCTTTCATTCATTTTTCGTTTAATTATTTACTTATTTATCCACTTATTCATATTTCCCTCTATTTCAGATACGATCCCTACAGTAAAATATTTTCCCGTGAATATTATGATATCGATGCTATGTTCAAAGCAAGGAGAGACGCGATAAATGCTGCGTCCAAAACCAGGAAATTTGGCCTCATTCTCAGCACCTTAGGAAGGCAAGGGAGTCCCAAGGTCTTGGAGGTAACTAGAGAAATTGTAATAGTTTAGTACAATCTCTGAAGAACAAGTCAAATACCGTAAAGTCCTTTTTTATATCACCACGTCTCAGAATGAAATGATAGTAGCGTTTACTACGATTATTTTTCTGTTACGATCCCCGGGGTACTCCTCTATAATTTTTTTTTTATGTAGGTATGTGCCACTGTCGAGCAGGGTGTTTATTAAACATCGGGGATCGGAGAATTCTCCGTTTACTAGGCTTAATTCTCCGGCTAACGTTTGGTATAGTATATGACTTATTTTTATTCAGATGTCGAGCCTTTTTCAAAATATTCTACTGTAATGTTACACCTTTCTCCTGCTACTAGAATTCTTAACAAAACCCCTGCTCGAAGGTATGGGTTTTGAAGTCGTTTTTTTAGTCGTTTTGGTCCAAAAATGATGGGTATATGTTTTGCCCATTATGGTCTGAAATCATGAATCGTTTTCAAGGAAACCACGAGAGCCTTTAAACGTGTTTGTCTTTTAAGCTCCAAAAGAATAAGAGAGATCCGTGTCAAATACTTTTAAGTGACAAAAATATTTCATTTGAATAAGAGAAACCAGTTGTTAAACTGTAGTAACTTTAACCTCCTTACTAATCGTCCTCGGCTAGTTCGAATGTGTCGTCGCCTTGTCGTCGCCCGTCAAGCATGGCGGGAGTATCGCCCTAAGTTCCAAGCCTCCTGTGCTCACTCGGACAGCGCGAATTGGCCTTCTGAATTTTTGTTGTGGTTAGTAACTAAAGAAGATAAATGTTATTTGCTTTTACTTACTTAAATTTACAGAATTTGGAGCAAATGTTTAAGAAGGCTGGACTCGAATATGTGGTGGTTTTGATGTCTGAAATTTTCCCAGACAAACTGCGATTGTTTGAAGATGTTGATGCGTAAGTTGAAAATCCTTGTTCTTTTGACCTTTAACTGAACATATTCTTGAAGACTACAAGAAAAATGGTCTAATTTATGTGATTCTTGTCCTTATATTTTAGGTTCAATTTACATGGAAGGGTAACCGTCATGTAAGGATGGGTGAAAAGTTAGCTCTCCTTTTCGTAAAGAGGGTTAGCCAGAGGGCCATCTTGCCCCTAAAATATTTTAAGACGGAATCCATCAGGAAATTAAGTAATGTTAATTTTCAGTGGACAAAGACCTTGTACCAGAATAATTTAAACAATACTGCATAATTTTTTACATTTTTTAACGGCTATAGCACCAAAGAAAATTTCGTATGAGAACCCGAGAAAATAAATGTCAAATTTCACAAATTGACATCTTACACATAACCATTGTTGTCACAATTCTTGTGAAATCTGGCCTTCAATTTCCTGGTGGATCCCGTGTTAATTTGAATTTGACTGATCCGTGATCAATCTACACAAGCTAAACTTCCAATCCTAGGATGATGACCCTACCTCTCATATTTAGCCTCCTAAAAGGGAGAACACCCTAGCAAACAGATAGGATAACCCCTTCCCCTTTAGGGCAGCTTACCTTTCATGTAAGCGAGTTTTTGAAACAGTAGGAGAGGGTCAGAGCCTTCAACATCAACGGAGTCTTAAACTTGAACAGTTTGGAAACAACCAGAAATGAAATGAAATTGGCTTCTTTACCCATGATTCATTTTATTTATTCACTTTCATTTATTCTCAGCCCTCCGTTTGCTGGTATGTTTATTGAATGGAAGCACTAAATATGTATGTGTCAGAGCGGAGGGCGAGGGGGTGGGGCAAGAGCTCGGCCATACTCTTCCCCTCCCCTGTAGGGCTTGTTTTGCTCTACTTTTCTCAAGTTTCCACAGAGGAAATAGAGAGCCTATGGACAGTCTAGAAACGGAATAAGCGTTAAAATCTTTCAGGAGACGTGACATGCAATAAAATGTACTAAACAATAGCAGACGAAGGACACACTTTATTGGATGCAAAGTTCTGTCGTTGTGTTTTATTCTCACAAACACGTGTCATTTTTCAGGTGGGTCCAAGTTGCCTGTCCAAGATTATCGATTGACTGGGGATATGCGTTTCCTAAACCTCTTCTTTCTCCTTACGAGGTACGTAACCTGCTCTTTTATCCCCCCAAAAATTAAGTTATGAAGGACTTCCTGCTGTCAAATACTTGCCATATATAGTATTGTTAAGGGAGATCACCCGCCCCGTTCCCGTTCCCTCGCTCTCTCTCCTACTTGTCTACTCGTCCCTGCTCGGCAGGGAAGAGCAGGAGAGACCCTGGGAACGAGGATGGATGGTCACGTGGTAATTATGATGTCAACGTATGTTCGAGTTAGCCTGCGTAGCAAGCATTTCCGTTTGGTTTCGGAGCAAAGAAAGAGCGAGGAACGGGATTTTCGGTTTTGGCCGAGCGAGAAATGAAACGAGAGCCAAAAAATGAAAGAGGGGGGAGGTTTCCTTCCTCTCCTCCCCACCCTCTCCCCGCTTACTCGCTCCGCATTAAAGCACACGATCCGGCCAGCCTGCAATAAAGCCGCTTCTCAGTGCTGCCTTTCGCTGAAACGTTTCGTGGTCGTACTAGCGGGTTTTGCCACATTTTTCACTTCAAATTACGTATCAAAATGTTTCAACGGTTTCGATCGCCGCCGAAAAATTCATTTGTATGTAGACGAAAGGAAAACTGGACAAGAACACTGAGAAGATTCGCTCTGACGAGGAGCCAACGCCCGAAACGTGAGCTTTTCAATCTGTTTATGGTGGTAAATTGTATGAATCAGTCCATGGAGTTGATAAAACTTCTTATTTGCCACTTTACAAACGAGAAGAGGACTGGAGCCGAAATGTATCCCGCAATTGTTTCTGGGATCGTTACCGGTGAGGCACCGGTCAATTGTCCCTAGTAACAGTCCCAGAAGTCTTTGCGGACGTTAACTCGGCCCAGTCTCCTTCTAAAGTGGCAAATTTTCACTTTGATTTCACAGGCGTCAGTTGTATTGCAACAGATTGAATGGCAAAAGGATTACCCAATGGACTTTTACGCGAATGCAAGTCTTGGATCGTGGACTGTGAATAACGAAGTCAACAGACAAGCTACTGTTAGTAGGAGAAGGAAACATTTACAAACTGAAAAACTGACTTCTGAAGAAAAAGGAGCAAACGTTGAGAGCAAGGACGACTGCGGTGGAGAACACGGCGATTGTTGTGGTAAATGTCATCAAGAAAATTCACAGAAGTTAAACAAAACGGAGAAAATACATCAGTAGTAATTGTAACCAGTGGAATTTTTGTTGAAAAACGCTAGCGGTGCTTGGCTAAAAAGCGATTTCAATTCAGTGTTGCAGTGCAAAACAAATTTGCAGTGAGTAATCTAGCCAGTTGTTGCAATAGGTGATTGAGGATAATGAAGGCCTGGAACTCGTGTTAATCTCTTTTTTCCGTGCCTCTACCGTCTCGCGCCTTCATTCATGCGTGTGGTCATTTTTGGAGTGTCTCGCGCGTTTCGCTCGACGGACTACAAAGAGAGAGACTGCTCGTAGCTGGGAACAAGGCGTTAGTAGTAATGCACAGCCGTGTAAAACTGGCTCGTATCGCTCTTACCCCTCAGAAGCGCAGTCGGAAAAATATCGACTGTCTTTCAAATCCTTGAGTTCTGTCAAAAGATTAATTGAAAAATTTCTTTCCATGTATAGACGATTCATAGTAACACGCTTTTGTACTGTTACAATTTCTGGATTGAATTGCTTAAGAGCGTGATGAGAGAGAAGACGCAGTTGAGACTCTTATTTTAATACCCACCCCATGGGCTCTAATGCCACATCCCCATTGGCCCATTTCCCCTTCAGCCTTCGTAGAGAAAACGACTAAAAATAAAGACGGCCACACGGTGAGCGAACCTAATATTGTTTTGAAGGCGTTTTACCGACTGCGCTGTACTATTTCCTCAGTTTGTATTGTCCGATGGCAGATGTGTTTCCCAGACGCTTTTCACACCGCCGAGAAAAAAGGTTTGGGGGGAGGGGGTGAAAAAAAGAACGCCCCATCTCCACCCCTTTTGCCATGCCCCAGTTCGTTTTGGAGCTTAAAATGGCGGCTATCCCGGCAAGTACCCGCGAGGGCCGAAGAAAACACCGACCTGCTTTTCAGGCCTTAATGTACCCTTCCCGGCTATTTTAATAGGACATTGATTGTTTTTCGTCTGCCACATTTGTGTTCCTTAAATTAAATGAAAGGTCTTTCAAGGATTCGTTTTTTCTTTATTGGAAAAATACCAACATACAACTTAAGCGAACAACAATGTAATCATATTTTAGGATAGCCTTTGCCATGTGTTAGCTTTGCTCTCTCTGCTCCGGGACAGAGATCTTATACTCGAATGCCTCTTCCCCCAACTCTTCTTTAGGGACCGGTCATTATTTATCGCCTGGGGGCAGAGGATTTTAGGGGGGATCACTTCATTTATTGGAGAACAAAAGGAGGGATCAGTCGTAACTGAGAACCCAAAAGGGGGGATCGCTGAAAACTTTAAAAGGATTCAAAGGGGGGACCTCTCAAATTTGCTTGGAAAATGAAGACATGGGAGCGTGATCGCGAAAGTCATCAAAAGTTATTAGGGGGGATTACTTCAGTGAAGTAACATTCAAAGGGGGGATAGGCTAAATTTCACCTTGTTTAGCCCCAAATCCTCCCCCCAGGGGATAAATAATGACCGGTCCCTTACAGTACTTGCTTGCCGATTATCGTTCCGGTTATTGCCTCTCACTTTCGAGGAAGAGGAGACATAAGAAATTTGAACCCAGACCAGCCACTATGGCCAACCAAACACTGTGGGCTCTGTAACCGCTTAGGTGATCCTTTGTAAATTCCGTCATACTCCACGCCGTACAATTCACCATCTGCCATAAAGAAAAGATGTTTAAAGTTATTCCATCCAACCCCCCCAATCGTCGTGCACTTTCCTAGCAACTTCTCATCTGTAGGAGAAGGAGGGTTCCATTTATAGAACGTGTCATTTTGCACGCCGTACAGAGATCCCATTGGATCAAAAAAGAGCAATTTGAAATTGGCCCATCCTTTTTTTCGAGGCACTGTGACAGCCGATCCAAGCCAGGCATCGTCGCTATTAGCCGGTGGAGCCCCTTTGTAAAGCTTGTCGCCCTCGACACCATATAGCATTCCATCTGGATCAAAGAAGAGAAGCTTGAACGAATCCCACCCTGATTTTCCAATAAGCTCGGCGTTAGCAATCCAATCCTCTGATGAGCTTCCAGAGGGAGGCCGCCCTTTGTAAAACTTGTCGTTTAATACACCATAAAGGGTACCATCTGGGTGGAAGAACAGATGTCGGAAGTCCTCCCATCCTGTTTTACCTATTTCACTTGCTGATGCCATCCAGCAGCTATGGGCGTGTGAAGGCGGGGAATTAGCGTAGAGTTTACCATAAATTACGCCGTAGAGCTTCCTGCTAGACATGACGCTGTAACAGAAAATCAAAAATAGTAAACAACCTCTAAAGTCGGTGGATTAAAAGTCAGCCCAGCAGAAACGGAAAAACATTCTGAATGAATCATGTTTGTTGACAAGGTTTTTCAAATATAATCTTGCCATGAACATTAAGTAACACTTCCTATAAATTGGAGAGGATGCTGTTTCAAACACTGAACACTCAAGTTAAGTAGACAACAATGTTTATTTGGGGTTCTATAAAGCTGATGTGATACAACTTTGAAAAAGCAGTCTCCACCTTCTCCAACATCTAGTGCTTTTCTGTTTAACTGAAACAACAGGGGCACTCAACGACTGTTTTCTGTAAAATATCCGTTCGGAGAAGCAAAAATTCCCTAGAATTTTCTGTAGCTTCCATTATGACAGTACAATTTTCGAAGCATATCTAATAAATCTCCCCACGATTTTCTAAGTTCAATTTTTCGTATCTCAGTCCCCAGGCTATTTTCCGTAGAAAAAGGAAAATGATTGTATTGGATACAGAATAAAGTTAGATTTGATAGTGTTTTATCTTTACTAATATTACCTTGTCGATATGTGATCATATGTAATCATTATACACCAAAATTCAGAAATTAGTCTTTTAATTTTGCTGCAATTGAAGTCAAGAAGACTGAAAAATCCTCTGATTTATCACAGCTTTGAAATTTGTTTGATCAACAGAACATAAAATTTGTACATACCCGCGCCGCCATAGATTTGGTTCAGTTATGTTGTAACCGGGGGGGCACCTCCTTATAAGAGGCTAATGGGGATGTGCCGCTGGATGGGGTCGCATTTTCACGACTGGATTGACTATAATGAGGTCGCATTTTCAATAGAGTTACTAGAATGGGGTCGCACATTTTCGGATTTTTTGGGGTGAGAAAGGTTCCTCTCATTTTCGGTTAGCAAACGTACCAGAATGTTTGCACTGTAGATGAAAAGTAAAGTGTTCTTCATTCAACCTAAGAAATGGGTCAATTCATTAAAATAGGAGTGACTAAGTTGGGATCGCGAAAATTACATATTTGCCCAAAAGTGACTAAATTGGGATCTATAATTGGCCACAGAATAGACTATAATGGGGTAGGGGCTCTGAGAGGCCAGCGGCACATCCCCAGCAAAAATTAACCCAAGTACTCTCCCCCGGGGATGTAACCAAGGACAGGTCGGTTTATTAGATGCCACAACAACGTACAATAAGTCATTTAATTTCTGCTCAGTGGTATCCCAAAGCCGTAGAGCCTGCTGTAGATAATGTTAAGTAATTGATACAATATTTTGTTCCCTTGAAATGAATTGAAAGTAGACATTTTTCACAGAAATAATTCTAAACAAGTAGTGACTTGGGGAAAAAAGTATCCTGAACTCTTCTTCTGTTGAACGTATACAAATTTAGAAAATTAAGATAATCTCGATGAGCAAATATGTAAAATTTTCATTTTCAACAACACTTACCACAAAAGTTGTTTGCGAATCCAATTGATTTGTGTTGTGTTTCCGTGTTCTGTTGCACACCGAATTCTCGTTGTCACATAACTGCTTTAATTCACAACTGAGTCTATTCCAAGGTGACCTGCACATAAGTACTTTAACGTCACAGCTGCGTCTGTTACAAGGTGAACTGTGATTGGTCTAAAGATATGTCATTGGGTCTTATTGGTTAGTGACGTTAGTCGGATAATGTTACCTAATTTAAAGCTCATAAAGAAATACTACTCAAATTTTTTCTGTACCATTTTGTTTTTGCTCACGGCTATGTTACCCCTTGGACGAAATAATTTTATTTTTGAAAAATCTATGTATTTTCCAGTAATTCCTGATAGTTCACACGATCTTTTGAGATCATGACACCAGTCATTCTGATATTTTCTACGAAATAATTTTTTTACGTCATGGATCACGTTTCATCTTTTACATGTCATAGATCATGCCTGTTGAATACCTTTTGTTGACTAAAAGGCGAAAACGCAAAAAGACAGAAAAAAAATACTCAGAATACATTTATAGTTGAGTTATCTGTCTTAAAATTTGTGCTTGGCAACGTACAAAGGGAATGTTTAAGTACACACTGTAAGAATCACGTCTTCCATGCTTAATTTGACTAATTGGCCACTAATGAAACCTAGTCACTGATTATTTTTTTGTTATTCAAAATACTGTATATGACTTAAAATTAGCACTTATTCTTATGCGTTGAGGCATCATTCCTTGCGCGCATATAGGATATATCGAGGATATACCCAGGACAAATTTGCCAACTTCTTCCAGTACGCGTCCCGTCAAAATGATCTTCCTTTTCACGTGCAAAAAAGTTGATATTTTTAGTCTTCCAGCGAGATTGCTTATCAGGCGATTAAACGAAGTAAAAAGAGGATCTGAGCCCTAACATCTTATTATTACTCAACTCGAACAATTCAGTAATTTAAAAATAAAATTTGCTTGAGACGAATTCAGCCGCAGTTGACTGATATTTCAGATTTGTATTCTAATGAAGGTCACTCTCAAAAGCTTGCCGGCAATCGTAATTTTCACGACCGTGTATAGAATCACGACTGCCTAACAGTCTTGACAATCCAGCGAAAGACTTCACGTCTGGCGACAATCCAGCGAAAGACTTCACGTCTGGCGACTTTTGTTTTGAGTGAGGTTTTCGTATTATTATCTTACCTACTTCCATAAAAGCAAGAGTCAGACTGCTAAAGAAGACCAGATACAATCGGCTGTAAACTTTGTAAGTCCGATTGTATGATGTGAGTACTGAGTTTACGTGACTCAGAGAGACAGACAGTCGTGACTCACTATGTAAATTTCAACGCAAAGGATGGCGGGACAGGGAAAATCTCGCGTGATCTCTCGAAGCTTCCTTATTCCAACGCAAAGAGATGTGAGCAGAAAAAGAAAAACAACGCGGGGGTGGGGTAGGGGGTGAGAGCGAAAAGAAGAGAAAAAATTGAAGCTTCTTCAATTTAGCCCTGAAATTCCTGAAAGCTGGCTGTCAAAACGTTCACCTGGATATTTTGAAAGCCAATATTGTTAAAAGGAACAAATGCGCTAGTCTCGAGAAGTGCATTTAAAATCTCCATTCGCTTAACACGTCTTCCAAAGCTACGCGTTTAAGCTTTTACGTATACTGACAAACAAATTCAAACAGCATTTCAATAAAAACAACAAAAAGCGACAACAGCTAGCATATGATCTGTTGAGTGAAAATCAACGGCAGAGAAAGTAGAACGAGTAATGCTTGGCAGTACGTTCATTTTTGGAGGTAAGGGATATAAAATGATTCGTTTGCAGAAAACAAATATAAAAGATGAATACAGGCATATTTTTTTTAAAATTCCGTAAACAGTGCGGTTTGTCGCTCGTTGCTGGATTGACGGCTTTTTACGCCGGAAACTACGCTCGAATTACTAGCCGACGAAGTGGGCGGAATGACCTCTTGAAAACAAATCTCACAGGCGTTCCCTCAGACTACGAGCAGTCCCCATTTTTCCTCAGGGATAGTAGACCGAGCGAAAGGCGAGCGCGCGTAAAAATCACACCACGCGAGAAAGGCGAGACGCGGAGGCGTGGGGTGATTTTCACGCGCGCTCGCCTTTCGCTTGGTCTACTATCCCTGAGGAAAAATGGGGACTGCTCATAGTCTAGCGTTCCCTCCTCTCTCCCTCCCTGATCCTCTTTTCTCATTCTTTTTATCGCTCTCTTCCTTCGCGCCGCACTCCACTATCCGAACGCCTGGAACAGGCTAAGCCTTGTCTGATATCAACACTTCTGAAAACTCTTCCCCTTGAAATTCATTTGCTAGGAGATAGCCATGTGAAACAAAAAAAAAAAAGTTGGAAGCTGATATTTTGCATCTGGTACAAAAGGCCGCGAGGTGCACGACCTGCAAACAACCTTTTGGTAGGTTTTAGTTCGCTACAGTCCTTTAGCTAGACAGTGGCCAGAAAACGGGTCGACTAGCTTCGAAACGCGTTTTGCGGCAAAATTCCCAAGGGCGAATGCGTTTTCAGGTGCCGCGTCTTCAACATGCGACCCAGACCATATCATGTCCTCGAATGGGTCATTCCAGTGATGATAAATGTTATCAAGTAGTGGTTGTTGATAGGTGTACTTTATGCCGTTTATTAGTAAAGAGTGGGGTCAGTGAGGAGGGGGGCGGATGGAACCTTATGTAATGACTAAAGGAGGGTGCTAACTTAAGGCAGGGGGCTAGTTAAAGCATTTACGGCACATACATGTAGCTCAAACATACTGTTTGTGACTTGTCCCTTTATTGATTACCAACTCCTCGTGAGAAAAATAATTTTTTACACAAAAACATAGTGCCTAAAAACGTTTACTTTAGTAAATGTTATGACAGCATTTTAGATTTAATAAACTTTTCTTAAGTTTTGCAATCGGTTATTTCTGTAGCATCACTTTATTGGCACCAGAGAAAGTATCCTGCTGTACTTCATTCGCGGTGCAGAGGAGATATGAGAAACTTAAACGGAGACCACCCACCATCGCCAATACGGGTCGAATCTTGAATCCAATTCACACGGCCGTCAGAAGGGGGTGGACCCTTGTAAAACTTGCCATCATTCACGCCATATAACTTACCACTAGACATGAAGAAGAGATGGGTAAAGTTACCCCATCCCCCATTACCAATCACCGCGGACGATCCTATCCAGCTGTCGTTACCAGACACGGGTGGACTCCGCTTATAAAACTTGCCATCTTTCACTCCGTACAAGGTTCCTTGTGGGTCAAAGAAGAGGAATTGGAAGGCCGACCATCCAGCTCTCCCAATCACTGTGGCGCTTCCTTGCCAATTGTCGTCACTGCATGTTGGTGGAGCTCTTTTGTAAAACATTCCGTCCTTGGCACCATAAAGCACGCCATCTGGATCAAAGAAAAGAAACTTAAACGAATCCCATCCCCCTTTACCAATAAGCGTGGCATTAGCGATCCAGTTGTCAGATGAACATGAAGGAGGTGGCCCTTTGTAGAACTTGCCGTTCATAACACCATATAAGGTACCGTCTGGGTGGAAGAACAGATGACTGAAGGCTCCCCAACCTCCTGATCCAATTTCCGTGGCAGACGAAAGCTAGTCATCCTTGGCAAAAGTAGGAGGGCTTCTAACGTAGAATTTGCCATCCTTTACGCCGAAAAGTTTCTCGTAAGACATGCCGCTAGAAACGAAAGGAAATAATCTTGAAACATGATATTTTTATCTTGTGGCAAAAAATAATTCTCAGTTTACAATATGACAAAGATTTACAGTGGAACACATGAAGTCGAACAGTTACTAACAGTTAGTCAGCAAATTTAAACAAATTCTGCCCAATTTTTAAATTCATACACAATAACTGAGTAGACATTTGTTAGTGGACAACCAAATGAGATTAAGATCTACATCTATAAATAACCATTCATTTTGACGAAGCTCTTCTTTCTGAGTACTTACGTATAGAAGCGACTTCTCAGTTAGTAAGTGAGAATGTGACAAGTATAGTTGCAGCAAGCGGCTTCTAGTCGTAGACGTCGTAGATGATATAATAGTCAGTGAGGAGGATAGCGCAATACATAGTGAAACAGAGCAAGCCCAGGAAGTCATAACTTCGTAAACTAACCGCACGTTAACAGAACATACTGGAAAGAGTCGGTAGACTTCAGAAAGAAATGAATGAAGGACTGCGGCTCACAATCGTAATCAGCTTTGTTTGCTTGAACAAACAATGACTATTTTGCGGAGTAAGTCGTTCAAGATTATTCTGCACAGGAAGGACATTGATGACCGAAATCAGTCCACCTAATTAGTTTTTGCTAAATGACGTCAGTCAAGCACATTTTATGTTGTAAAATGAGCTATTTTCTGTTGATTTAAGTCTACAAAGCTGCTTGCTGCAACTACACCAGTCAGATTCTCTTACTAACAAAGTAGGTGATTCTCAAGTCACTGCTAACTTTTTAGGTCCTTGCAAGATCCATATTATGGCTCTTGGACCTTGAAATGACTCTTCCAGTATGTTGTGTTAAAGAGCGTGAAATGCGATTAACATACTTTTATTGTGTGAAGTTATGACTTCCCCGGCGTGCCGTGCATCAGTATCAAATTATGTTGGAAAACGAGCCATTTTCCGTTCATTTAAGATTACCAAGCTGCTTGCTGCAACTACACTTGTCAGATTCTCTTACTAACAAAGTAAGTGATTCTTAAGTCACTGCTAACATTTTAGGTCCTTGAAATGACTCTTTCCAGTATGTTCTGTTAAAGAACGTGAAATACGATTAACATACTATTATTGTATGAAGTTATGACTTCCCATACTGACGCAGGGCACGCACGGGGAGTCATAACTTCATACAATAAATACTGATGCAGGGCACGCACGGGAAGTCATAACTTCATACAATAAAAGTACGTTAATATTATTTCACGTTCTTTAACAGAACATACTGGAAAGAGTCATTAGTCTTTAAAGGAAGGAAATGGATGACTACAACTCACAACCAGAATCAGCTTTGTTTGCTTGAACAAAGAATGCTTATTTTGGGGAGCAAATCGTTCAAGATTATTCAAACAAACATTGACATATTGATGCATTTTTTTTCATTTAACAGATTTTCCTTACCTCTTAACCAAAAAAACGATTTCACCTTTTCATAATCGTAGGTGTTGTTCGCCCTGCATCTTTATACAGCCGGAGTATCAAACGTGCCATGATAATCAAATTTTCCTGAGTTGGAACATTCTTCGTGGTTTAAAAAATCACAAGCGGTATGTTGAATGCATGGGTGCATAAACTGTGGCACATTAATCCCAGGCTCGACTAGATTCGTTTAAACTTGAGAGAGGTCTTGAGAGATTGTTTGGAAATAAATGAATACATAAAAACATGTCTTAAATTTTGCCTTTTGAAAAGCATCGAAACAAAAATGACTAACCTTGTGTCTGATTTGTGTATTTTACTGTATGTTCGCTTATGAAGCTATTTCGAAGCCGCCGTTTTGGCCGTCCGGTTGAAGATGGGGGCGGGGTGGGGGGAGGGGGTGGTGTTGGGTGGGACTCCCATATCAATATGACGGAAATGCTCGTCGTCTCACTTGGGAATAATTGCAGATTTTGGTCTTAATTAGGGTGGTTACGACGAAAAGCTAACATTTTTACTCATAAAGGTCTCGCTCAGGGTTGTGCGTAAATAAAAATTTACACAAATGCTGTTATATGGTGTTGGAGTATGATCTCCTTTAGGGGGGTCACTGAGCCATGCCCAGCCGATTGTTCTCTGATGAAACCATGCCCAAATGCCCATCTGTTTTTAGCTCTCTCCTCCGATCTCATCTCTCTTCAAAAGGCTTGAATCTAGGCGAGAAGGCGATCCCGCTCTTCTAATAATTAGTTTTAAAGTTTTGCTTGTGTGTGTGTTTTTTTGGAGTCAGTTGACCCGGTAGAAATCTAAGGCAGTGGACATAAGCTGCGGCAAACAAAAATATTATGGATACCGCAAAATTTAATTTACTTGGAGACTGGGGTATCTACCGGCCAATTAATACATCAGCGTAGTTTCTCTTGTCCACCATTTTCTTCTACATAATTAACAATTATTCCACGAGGGCGCGTTGGATATGAGATGATAGATAGCCAACGAGGCGCATAGCGCCGAGTTGGCTATAATCATTTCATATCCAACAAGCCCGAGTGGAATAATTGTTTTATTAAAAACGCCCACAAAATCTCGTTGAATCGCCCCAACTAGAACAAACCGGAAAAGACAAGGGACTTCCGCTATTCACATGTCACACGTCTATCAAAACTGTCAACGCGCGAACGGACTCGCCTAGACTGCATGAATGAAAAATCAAAACATTGTAGCGATGAACATTAGTTTTTTAAAAACTCATCGTGATTCTAGGATTTTACAAAGCAGAACAGCTTAAAAAACCTGGCAGATAATGTGAAGGAAAGGAATTTTTAAGTGACAGCCGTCGAATTTACTATGAATTTGGATTTTCGGTGCAGTTGTAAAAGTAAGAACAACGGAGAAAAACTACCGGTATTACCTCGGTCGCTTGTTATGAAGTTGTTTGAAGCCACACGCTGGTTTTGCTGAACGAGAAAAGAAGCTATACTGCCGCCTCGATTGCTCTAGTGAATGGTTGCATAGCCTGTATTTGTAGCTGGTTACTTGTGATTTATATTCTTGATGTCGGATAAACAAGCTGCAGTTATCTATCGGCGAGTGACTCGATCGGCGAATGGCTTCGCGATCATGAAGAAACAACACTTGTCTTCTTTCGTAGCTGGTCAAGGTACTTTAGTTCCATGTGTTTTCATGTGTTTTTCGACAAACTTTCAAACAAGCTCTGGTGGCTTTTTTGTTTGTTTTTGTCTTTTTTCTTTCGCTGAAATTGCATTTCTAGTATTCTAAGAAATGAATTAAAACGATTTGCTTGCGGGCGCCGTTCTATCCTTCGCGAAAAAAAATCTCAGCTAGCTTCCAATTTTAAACTGACGCGTACACCGACCATATATGGAGAACATGGTATATTTAACAATTATTCTTTGAAATCGAGGTGAATAGTGGCAAAATATTTACCGAGCCGCGAAAGCGGCGAGGTAAATATTCCCAAAGCCACTATTCACCGAGATTGAGAAGAATAATTGTTTTAGTATATACACACGAAGTGATCTCAACAAAATCAGAAAGGAAACCATTCAAAAGTAGGATTTGATTGACAGATCAAATCACGCGTAAGTTTAAAAATAGATCTTTGCAGAATTTTCAAACATGGCAATTCACAAGTTTACTCATTTCGCAAACAACAGCGTAATGGCTTCAATGGAATCGCTAAAAGTTTGAACTGTTTCCTTACCTGAGAAAAAAAGTAGAGCTGTGTTGTTTTCTGTTGACTCGCCAAGTTTATAGCCAAAAGGGCATGTTGTGTCGTTCTTCGCATGAAGTGCTGACAAAAATGGCGGCTCGGTTGCTCGAGGTAAGAGGTCGTCTTCCTGTATCATTCTTTTTCCTGTATACTTGAAATGTAGAATTTCTGCAAACATTTCCTTTTAAATTTGTTTGTCATAAATAAACTTCGATTTTTGAGCCAAAATTTTCTTCTTAGAAAACGCTGAGTTCACGAAACGGCTTCTTCTACGCGAATACACGGGAGTTGTAAACAATCCATCGAGCACAAAACTCCTGCTACAGTAAATTGAAAAACGCCGTATTGAATCCTTCCAAGTCTTTTCTTGCCTTAAAAAAAGTCAGCCCTAGGATTTTGTCGACTTTTAAAAGATCGTTCTCTAAAAAAAACGGGAAAAACACCGAGCTCACACATTATCCACTCGCTAGGAGGTGAATATTGTTGAATAGTCCGAAATAGCGAACCAATCAGATTGCTTAAATCACCAAGATCACCGAGTGTGTATACTAATAGCTCATATACCATAACGCCTAAGCCAATCAAAATGCTAGAATTGCATTATCCAATGATTCAGTTTTTAATAATATGTATTAGACTAAAGGAGGGTGCTTACTTAAAGCAGGAAGCTAATTAGAACGTTTACGGTACGTACATGTAGCTCAAACATACTGTTCGTGACTTGTCCCTTTATTGATTACCAGCTCCTAAAAACGTTTAAATGTTATGACACCATTTTAGATTTAAACTTTTCTTAAGTTGTGCAATCGGTTATTTCGGCAGCATCCCTTTATTGGCACCAGAGAAAGTATGCTGCTGTACTTCATTTGCGGTGCAGAGGAGATATGAGAAACTTAAATGGAGACCACCCACCATCGCCAATACAGGTCGCATCCTGAATCCAAATCACACTGCTGTCAGAAGGAGGTGAACTCTTGTAAAGCTTGTCATCTTTCACGCCATATAATTCACAATTAGGCATGAAGAAAAGATGGGTAAATTTATCCCATCCCTCCTTACCAATCATCGCGGACGATTGTATCCAGATGTCGTCACCAGACACGGGTGGACTTCGCTTATACAACTTGCCGTTTAGCACGCCGTACAAGGTTCCTTGTGGGTCAAAGAAAAGGAATTGGAAGGCCGACCATCCAGCTCTCCCAATCACTGTGGCGCTTCCTTGCCAATTGTCGTCACTGCATGTTGGTGGAGCTCTTTTGTAAAACCTTCCATCCTTGGCACCATAAAGCACGCCATCTGGATCAAAGAAGAGAAACGTGAACGAATCCCACCCCGCTTGGCCAATAAGGGTGGCTGTTCCGATCCAGTGGTCAGATGAACATGAAGGAGGTAGCCCTTTGTAAAACCTGTCGTTCATAACACCATATAAGGTACCGTCCGGGTGGAAGAACAGGTGACTGAAGGCTCCCCAACCTGCCGATCCTATTTCCTTGGCCGACGAGATCCACTTATTATTCGCAGAAGTGGGAGGGCTTCTAACATAGAATTTGCCATCCTTTACACCGTAAAGTTTTTCAGTTGAAGGGGGGGACATACCGCTGAAAAAAGGACAACAATAATAATGATTCCTTATGAAAGATAACTTAATATTAAAAGATCAATAAATGGACTTTTTTTACTAGTCAGTCTCTTACAATTTTAAGGCCTCATTGTTTTTGGTTCATTCGTTTTTAACGGAGAAGCCTATGACCATTGATCCGTCTGACTGATTCATGCAGCAAAAATAACGAGATCGGGTGTGGGGGGGTTTGGGGGGGGGTAAGCAAGGGAAGTTTGGGTGTGGATGTGCTGCCGAGGCCTTCAAACCGACAAAAATCGTCCATTTCGCTACCCGGCAAGAAACCTTATTGACCCCCCTAATTTTGTGACCCTGATTCATTTCGTTTCGCTCTTCTGGTTAAGAAGCAGAGGCGGGGGGAGTGGAGGGGGGGTCTGTACACATGCTTGACGAAACACGTCAGTACAGCTGATAAAGTTGACCCGGGTGATACGGTAACCCTATCTGTGAAATTTGCACAAAGCACAAGCACAAAGGTAACCCTCTCTCCTTGTAAACAGGCTGTAACAGCGGCCATGCCTTTTGCCCGGATATGTTTCGTGATTAATATCGTGCATTGCATTGTGCTTTGTTTACACGTAAATGAAGTTCATTGTTTGTTCATCAAGGACGTGATAAAACCGCGTTTCAGTTAGTCGGCTTTGTTCGGGCAACGATTTGTTGTATTCCTCGTTAATTCAGTTTGCCCAGTTTATCTTTGAAGTTGTTTGGTCAAGGTCGTCAAGCCATGACCTTGGACGATTGGTCGTTTAAATTCAAGTGATTGGCCGTAAAATATTTCCACAAAACGCAGTTGTGTCGTCCAAGACTTCCGTACGAAGTCAATTATGCCAAACAAAATGGGCCTTTTAAAAAATTTCTCAGTGTACAAAATGACAAAAATTTAGAGTGGAATACATGAAGTCGAACATAATTCCAGTCAGCAAATTTAAACAAATTCTGCATAAATTTTTAAAATTCATGCACAATACAGTGGAAACTCGATATAACGAAGGGCCAAGGGGGCCAAGGGGCTGACAAAATTGTTCGCTACATCGAGGTTTCGTTATATCGAGGTTCTTTTTCATATATTTTACTATTATTGGGGTAAAGAAAATCGTTCGGAGTAACTGCAGAATACCCTGCCACTTCGAAGCTGTATCCCTGAAAGAGCTGGATACGTAGATGCGCAGTTACGTCTTTTATGTGCTTCTACCTTCAGTGGCTTTAAGAACCACACATAGACATACTGTATGCTTTTTATGCTGTCTTAAGTGTATATCGAAGTGGATACGCGGGTACGCAGTGACTATTATCCACCTCTTCGTTAGTTAGAGGTTGGTTACATCGAGGTTTCACTGTAACAGAGTAAACATTTGTTAGTCGACTTTTCGGTCTAGATCTACTTCTATAAATAACCAGAAATAACTATTCATTTTGACGAAGGTCTTCTTTCTGAGCACTTACTTATAGCAGCGGCTTCTCAGTTAGTAAGTGAGAATCTGACAAGTATAGCTGCAGCAAGCTTCTACTCGTAGAGGACACAGTGACGACAGTCAGTTTAGTCTGCTACACAGCCGTTTTTAGTGTCACACAACGCTCCTCCCCCACTAAGTGGGGAGGTTGCGTTCTCGCGTTCTCGCGAGACCCGCTTCGCTCGCCCAAATAGGAGAGCATGAGAGAATGGGATCGCACATTTTCTGATTCTTTGGGTCCGACAATTCTCCATATTTACGGTTAGCAAACGGACCAAACGTACCAGAATGTTTGTACAGTAGGTGAAAAGTAAAGTGTTCTAATATCATGTCGTAACGAAAATGAAAAGAAGAGTTTCTGTTTTAGTCATTTATTCTTATTGAGAAGGTCTGTTGAAGGTTTGCCATTTTTCAATAGAAGGTATACGAAACAGGAGCCCATAACCTGACGAAAGGGGTACCTTTTCTGCGAAAAAAGGTACATAAAATGGTAAATTTACACCCAAGCATTTCTCGTCGCCTAAATGCTTAAGAAGACCTCCCTACCCTTCCCACCACTACATATTTTGTGCGCGTCTCTCTCTCTCTCTCATTTTTTCAGTCCCGGTAGTACGTAGTAGCCTGAGGCGCTTGGAAGTGGTGGGCACAAGAAAAAACGGTCGCGCGAGAAGGAGACCCCTCGCGTGTCCGCAGGCTATCCCGGTAGCCCTTGCGAGGACACATTGCCGCCATTTTGTTGCGAGCTCGTTGGAAAACAAACCGAAAAGAAGGATTGTAGACTCATTATGTATCGAGACAAGGTTAGTTAGTTAGTTGTGTTTTATTTAATGTGCTGGAGGTCATAATAGATCTTTAATCAGAAAAATTAGAGAATTTTTTTTTCTTGGCTGCAGAAACTTGAAAGGAACGTGGTCCGAACTTGTTGCTCCAAGATGGAGGATCTTTCCATCTCATGACATTAAGTTTTACAAGTAGCCGCAAGCTTTCTTCAAGGTGAGCTAGATAAAAAATCTAAGTTTTATTAACGTTTAGCTGCATTAAGGCCTACCCAGAAGTTAGTGCTTTATTGTATTCAAGAAAATGGTGTCCTGCGACAAACTCGGAAAGACACTTGCTTTGTATAATTGCGCACAAAGTTAATGTACATGTGTTATTCTTGACTGTTTCTCTTTGCGTTTGGTTATTGTACATGTATTTCGTGACCCACTGTGTTCCGTGTACCGCGTAGCTAGCGCGTAACAAAGGACTCCGTTTTGAATTTAGTCCTCAGTTATGCACCTGTCGGGTGATCCCCCGCCCCCCCCCACCCCCAGGTAATCCCGGGCCAACTAGGGATCGTAAAATGGGTGGGGGAATTCTCCTAGGGAAGGAGGAATTTATCAAGACAAAATCTCCTGGTTCAGGTGCTTGTCAATGTAAATTCAAACTGAAATTAACCTTGTCTAATGCGCCTGTCACTGCAAAACCCTTACTATACCCCCCACCCACCCCCAAAAAACATACAGTACCATTCAAAAGTAAGTTGACACTCGATTCTCGATCCTTGCGAGAATCAAGAATCGAGTCGAGAATCGAGACTCGATTCTCGATTTTTGCGTCTCGATTCTTGATTCTTGATTCCTGCGCGACTTATCAAACCGGAACAGTCTCTTTGTTTATAATCAATTAAAAGGGTTTTGTTTCGAGTAATTTGCTCTCTACTCTCGATACTCGATTGCTGCGAGAATCTACAACCTTTGTTCAAGTTTTGAGCATCTTCTAACTTCTCTCACGTCAAAAAAATCTTCTACTCCAAAAAATAACAAACTCTACTCAGCGTTTGATTCTTGAGAGAAATTCCCGAACTACATGTATGCAAATTATACAGTAGCAGTTGACATTTGCATTCGCTCGCACGGCTCGGGTGACACTTTGCGTCGAAATCTTAAAAAATGTTCCAATGGCATTTTACATTATTTAAATAGCAGAACTTGTCAGTAATAGTTGAACTTGAAAAGCAATTCATGACTTTTTATCTGTAAAATCTAAAATACATTTAACCCATTCACCCTTGAACCACCCGTAACCGCCCGTGCGGATCCACGTCCTTTCTACCCTTTGTGACGCCATCAGTTTTAACGGTCAAGGACAACTTTGTCCGCTAACTTGTGCAGAGTGAAGAGATCTTTCAAACCATACCAGAATGAGCACAATTCAGTCAAGGACACCGGAGAAGGAGGCAAAAAAACCATGTAACATTGACCTGAAAATCTCCATGAAAATCTTGTTCCATTGCTCACCTACCTTTTCTTTCACCTAATCCTAAGATCCTAAAAGCTTTCCTTAAAACTATTCCCACCAAAATGAAGCCTACTAAAATAATGTCCAGCAAGAGAAAAAAAAATGAGGCAAGAAAAGCGCAAAAAGAGGGGAGGAGAGAAAGTGAAAAGTAAAAGTCAAGACTGCTGTGTCACTTTTAAACCCAAAAACTGTCTCGAAATTTTGCTTTCTGCACATGCCCGAACTTCGTAAGGAGATATTTTGCATCTGGATCAGAAGGCTGTGAAGTGTACGACCTGTAGACCAGTTTGTGGTAAGTTTTAGCTCTTTATAGCAGGACAGTGACCAGAAAACCTCTCGAGTACCTTCAAAACGCGTTTTTCGGCAAAATCTCCAGAAGGAGCGAATGGGTTAAGAGGCAGCTTGTGTAAATAAATGACAAATACGCGACAGTGTATAAACAAAGTCTCAAGGGGCTTCTTGTTGCTTTTGAATTTTACTTGCTGATATTTTTTCGATTGCCTGTTTGTGAATGTCCATCAGCATTATCGCAGTTGAATGTCTGATTATCGGTGTCTACAGTTTCAACCCTCAAAGTTAAAATTTTTGTTCAGTGGCCATTTGGCGATCAGCTCTTTGGGTTTAGTCGCCAGGGGAAATTTTTAGGCGCCAAATTATATTAGTAACTTAATATATCAAAATTGTCATTAACAAAAGCAGTTAGCAAGTTTAACTTAGAGGGGCTATGTCACCCCACACGCATGCGCGAGCCAATGAACACAAACTTGAAAAAGTCGGCCCGTCTTTTTCAAGTTCTGTCGGAGATTTTGGAAGGCTGTTTTTATCTGTCTAAATCTCAGCCATCGTTCGATAGTTAGGGAAGTTTTGTATTAAGAATCGTTCTATGGTGATTACAGAATAATTTTTTGGCGTTATTTTGAAATTGTTTGCCTGTGGAATGTTTTTACG